TTTTTGTGCATGTGTGTGTTTTTTCCCCTGTGGGCTTATTTCCCTCCCATCCTTTCCTTTCTTCAATAATTAAAAAAAAAAAAAAGTTTGAATCTGATATTTTCAAGTCCCTGTGGATATCACTCAACTAATGTTGTTCCACTCTGCAAAACACATTGTATCGTTAAACGTTCTGAACTCAGAAGAATCAGAATCAACAGATTCACAGATACAAACTTGTTAAGCTGCACTGGAACTGGATGATTTCTCCTGGAGTTGCACAATTTAGCAACAGATTTTTCTAGAGTGCAGAATGGATGTCTGATCATTCTGACTCAAAATCAGTGCAAAGAGATACCAAACAAATGGTGGTTCTGAAACTTGCATATTAGCACCCATTATATTTAAAAGGTAGTTTGAACCTAGCAGTTTTTGCTTTGATGGAAGAACAAAGCACATGTGCTGTGACACACAGACATTCACAACATGCAGATATTGACTGCATTTTGCTAAACTCTTGAAATACAAAATCCTTGGACCATTAGGAGTCACTTTCACCACTTGTGCTTTCAGCACAGCAACGTATCCACACAGATCATTCCATATGCTGAATTTTCAATACATTATCTCTGCAGAGTGAAACCCCTGGCAATTCCTTTTCATTGGCACTCCATGGGAAGTTCATGAAACCACAGCCATGATAAACAGCTTGTGACATACCAGCGGATTGCTTGACACAGGGGACGCTTTGCCAACGTGGGAGGCGTTTCTTACAACCTAAACAGCAACACACTTAGTACTGGGTTCATATAAAGTGTAAAGCTAATAATAATTTTTTTCAGAAACAGACAATTTATACCAGATATTTTAACAGTTAGTTCTCAGAACTGTTTCTGACAGGATTTTATTCCTTTTGTCAGGTTTTGTTCAAGCTGAATTGGACATTTTAATTTATCTGAGTTAAAACCAAAAATGGAGCAATGTAGAGAAGATTTACATTCTTGAGTAATATTAAATGAACTTATGGGACAACTACAGTTGTCTTACTTTTTGGCTTTAGGAGGCATTGACATGAGATCTTTAATCCATAGCCACACAAATGCCCTGCTTTTGCTTATGTGTGGGGTTAAAAACTGACTTTGTAAAAGGTAACAAGAATAAATTGTCAAGCTTTGGATTTTTCTTCCATTTCTGAAACGACATGAGATATATTGAATTATCTGTTTATAAACAAAGCAGCTTTGGTTCAATTAATTTTACTAAGAGCCTAGTTATTTCCTCATATACAGTAATTATATTCAGTGAAAACTGACATTAATTTCAAAGACTAGGTTATTTATTGTATATTATTGTTACCTAACATATTTTTCTTAATTATTAATTTATTTTCCCTAACACAGCTAGCAGTGACAAACTGCCAGAAACAGGTATTAGATTATATTGATTTGGGGTCAGATAAGTATGGCAGTTCCCATATTACTCCTTCTAGCTGAATAGTCTCTGTTCTCTGTAGAAGAGTGTATTTCTCCTCTCAACACAAGTATTTTGTACACTTTTGTCATTTCACATCATTTTTATTTTGCAAATAACTTGGGAAACCTGCTATCCATAACAACATATGATATTTCCATTTCAGTAGATCTAGCACATTCTTGGCACTCCAAATGTGTGGATCCATGAACCACATAGATCAAACACTATCAGGTCCATGTAAGTTTACAAGAGATTCATGGGTCACATTGGGGCAATTATTCACAGAAAGAGAATCTGCCAGTTTCCACCAAAAAGGAATAAATTTGCATATCCTTCACCACCCAAAGAGAATCATGCAAATACAAAGACTATTTAGTAAACATGCAAAACTCCCAAAACCCAACAGTACAGTCAGTCAACCCATGCAGAAAACTGTGCAGAAAGACGTGACCATATGGGATCCTCTTCTGCTGCTTGAAACAAGTAAGCAGCTTTTGCCAAAAGAACAAGTACATAATTCTCACTACAGTGCTTAGCAAAGGGAATTATGATGAGTCAGCTGCCATTTCTTTCCTAAAGCAAGATTTGGCACAAGATTTCTTTTATTTGATCCTCTTTTGAAATCAGATTGCAATAAGGAGAAAATCGGTGTTTTCTCAAAGAGCAAAAAGTCAAACCAAGTTACCAGCTCTTGCCTTTTTGTTTTACACAGTTTTTACCTTTTAAAAGTTTGACCTTCTGACTCTAAGCTAATCTCCTCTGTCCACTCCTCACCTAGCAAAGCAATTTGATGCCACATTTCAAGCACTTCTACAAGTAATTTTCACTGCAAGGATACTTTTCTCAAATTTAACAATGAAATAATCTGCTGCCTGTGATTGCCTTTTTTTGTTTTTTTAAAGTCTTTAATCACTCAAGTCCAAACAATCTTTTTCTTTTAACTGATACATTCTGCTTAGTACATCTGCAGGTAATAGGGTTACAAGGTATGCAACCAGGAGAGCAAACTTCTCCTGATTTACATTTAAAAAATGTGAAAATGAAACTACCTCTGGCCTGCATTCACTACTGAAAAAAATGAAGAATCCACCCCATTCCCTCTTTTAACATTGAAAGAGGCAGAAGGGTAGGCCCAGTGGACAAAGATGGTGATGGATCGGGGCAGGGAGGCACGCAGGGGAATGATAAAGGAGCATGCATCCAAACAGATCCCGAGGTCACCTGGGAAGCTGGTGTTACCAACAGGGCTGGACCTCGTGGAGCATTTGAGGCAGGAGGTGGATGAGCTGGTGGTGCTGGGGTAACCGTGGGGGGAGGCAGTGGCGGCGGAGGCGGCGGCGCGCGCTGTTTGGGTTTGTCAACTTCATCTAAGTTGATGTCATCGAGATCTGTGGTGTGCAGCTGCAGGCCCCCGGCAAAGCGCCGCATCGAGGCGACGGGGGGAGAGGCAGAAGGACGTCCGCTCGCTGGCTACGGGTAACAGAGCAGAAACCTGCCTCAACGCTTCCGAAGAATGGGCAGCCCTAGAAAACCACTCAACCCAACTGCTCCTCCACAGGAACATCTTCGCTTCTCCCACACAGGATATACATAAACCTTTTCATCTCTGAAAGCCTTTCAAAAGCACTCCTTGGGATTCCAGTTTGAAAAGAAGAAAAACGGGAGTGGTGTGACAGCAGCTACTTGCGTAAGGGGGCCGACAAAAGAAACCCCACAAAACCCCAGTGGCATGAAGTTTTCAGAAGGCAAAATCACAGGACAAACCAAGATAACACAACTTTTGCTTCTCTGGCTCTTATGAGGAGAAAGCAAGAATTACTCCTCACAAAGGTGATTATTTGAAGGAAAATAATCAAAGACAGCCCTTGAGATTCTTTGCTGTTAAAAAAGGAAAAGGGGTTAAAGTTTTGTAAACATAACCACACATTAGTACAAGAAAGGAAACTAAGCTTGAGCAGCTATCAAAACAAAAATTTAGTGTGCTGTTAAATTCAAAACCTCAAGGGGCTTGAGATTTTTTAATTTATGTTAATCCACAAGGGGCTTGAGATCTTATAATTTATATTAATCCACACCAGATCTATTGGGGTACTAAACAACTTCAGAATGCAATGAGCAGCTCATCCAAAAAAATAAGGATGTCTGTGAGGTTGGAGTCTACATATGCTGTTGGAGTTGCTAACATTTCTTCTATCAGTGGTCCAACTGGACTATCTGAGAAAATTCATTTTGATATTTTGTAGACCCAGCTGAGGAAACCTTACATAGATAAGCTGTCTGGCAGACACATTCATCTTAGTCTAACATGGCAACATGTCCCTCAAGTGGATAACACTTCTCACATTCTTCTTATCTAACATGCTCACCTCTTTGTGCTGAAAAATTGCTATTTCTTTGACAGAGGAGATCTTGACTGCTCTTGTTCCCAAGAAACAGTTCCAACCTGTAGCACCCGAATATCCTTCAGCTGCATTTACTCCTAAGGGGCACTCAGATTTTGTGTTCTACATGTTTTAACTGCTTGGGCAGGTTTGTAGAAAAATTGTAGTAGAGCAATTATATATAACGTAATGGAAAAACTGATGGAACAAACACAACAGAGTGCTGGTCTTAAATCCAGGTTGAGCTCTGAAAATACAACAGTGTTTGTAATGTTCCTTCTTACTTTACAAAGGGGGGCAAAGTTCTAGCAAAACACAGTCTGCCAAGTTTGGATAGTGAGAGAAAACCTCTGCATAATCATTCCACTAAAGACCTGCACTGAAAAACCACATGGATCTGAGCCTAGGGCCATGAGGAACAAAAGATCAGCTGCTTTTTTCAGAGCTGCTCCACGCTGACCTGGCGGAAAAGCATGTGAGAGCATTCCCCAAGGACCCTTTTGTGGTTGCAGTTTCTCGGGGATCCCATGGGAGCTCAGCAGATTGCAGCATTCCTCCTGGAAGTGGCTTTCCTTGGAAGACAGCCAGAGCAACAGGATGGTGGGAAAGCCTCACCACACATCTAGAACCATCAGGCTCTCAGGAACAATCACTTTCTGCAGCTCCCTGATTAAAGGGGACTACTTAAAGCACAAGCCCAAACCCTATTCCTTGTGAGTTTCGTATCTTTTTGTAATTTTCTTACCCTGTTCCTTTATTTCACACAATACAAGGAAGATTGCAAGAGCTCATCATCAATGATCTTGTGTTCACATGATACTAATAAATATAGCTGGATCTAGCTTTTGTTACTGGCAGCATGTCCCACCTAGCCCAAATATTTCATGATGCAATAAAAAACCTGTTAATTTAGTGGTGATAATAGAGTTATAAAGGACAATATACAATCAGTTCATTAAAATAATGTTTAAATTCTCATAAACTATAGGAAAAGCAAATTCTATAGATTGTAAGTCATCAATTATTGACATTTCCCCCCCCCTCTTAGAAAGGACTGTGGGGGGAAAGACAAAGACAGATTTTTTCACTGGTAAAACCTGTTGCTTTTAGGAGACAACTTTCCTTCATGTAGAGATCATGCAATATATGGAAAAGCTAGAATTTTACCTCAGGAGACTCATTCTCCACAGAGGAGATCTGTTCTAACCGTGTTTGACAAAGTCTTTCCACCCAGTGCTGCACCTTTTCTGATTCTTCCAGGTCTTCTCGTTCTGTCTCAGATACCTTGATCATAATATTGGTGCATTAGAAAAGGTTATACATATGGTCATAAGACAAATATATTTCAAAAGTATGAAATGTCACCTAAGATAATTTTCAAAATAATAATAATACTTTAAAGGATTCCCTATTTTGCTGTTTTTCAGTAAATTAATCATTACACATGGACACAACTGCAGAGATATCCTCATTTAGACAAAAGCTGACTAGAAATAAGAAAATGTGGCAACAGAATTTTGCAGTAAAACAGTTTTTAAAATTTCATTATCTCTGAAATAATTAAACAAGTGTCCTGCTAAAATAATTCCACTAAAAATCCATCTAATTTTCTTTCACTATAGCTTTGCACTTGATAAATCACAACATACCTCTTGTACAAGACGATTTATTTTTAATTGCTTTTCTCTCTCCAGCATTCCTTCTTTCTCCTTGGCAAGTTTTTGCTCAAACTCCATTTCCTTTTTATTCTTCTTCTGTTCACAAAAACTATCACTTTTTGATTTCTTTCGTTCTTTCCCTTTCTGGGAAGGTTTTGTGACAAAAATGTTTACATCAGGTAAAACCACCACAAACTTTGATCTTGTTACATGAGTGTCTGCCTTGAAAAATTAATTACAGTCTATGCAAGTATGGAGACAGTTTTTTAAAAGAAAATCCAAAGTTCATTTACCCAGCAATTTGCAGGAAAGTCGAACTTTGGAGGTCTTGTGCCCCCCTAACATAAGCTGGATGAGATCAGAGAATTCAACTTTTTTGTTCCTCTGCAAAGTTACAACTTTAGGGCACACAGGCCCATTACAAAACTGAATATTTAAACAGTTTTCATGGGGTCTTGATTTTCCATCTCTCTGCTTTGGCATTTATGTACAAATATATGAATGATTACTTTCAGGTGACAGATGCTCATGTACATGCAGATGTTCGTAGTCCATGCACACAACAGCTTCATGCATATGCCCTAAAATAAGCATTGCATCCTCTAATAAAACTAAAATAAGGAATTATAAAGGAAAGGTTTAGATCAGTGCAGAAACTGAGTTGCTTCCAAGAAGGAACACTGCATCACAAAGACCATGTAGCTCCTACAAGCACTGAGTAGAATCTGCTCAGATGAGTTAAATAATACAGCACAAAGTGACTCTAAGATTTTAGATGTAGGATACAAACAAGGGGAAAAGCTACATAGTCTTTTGGAAGCCTCTGTTCTTGTTGTCTTCAAAACACACACTGCTCCTTATTTCTTCCTTAGTGATGTCACATTTTCTGCTACCCTTTCACCTTTGCACAGGTAGGACTTTGTTCATTTTGGAAATACCATGTTCTCCTTTCATTTATGAAAAGTAAAACAGAGGAACAGGTGGGCATTTATTGACAATTACTGTCCCAGCCAGAAAGGCTGTGCTTCAGGTTTGATTTTGTTCTTCTCATCATCATCATCAGTTATTGACTTTTCTTGCTTTGAATTCCCAAAACCACCACAAAGTGCTTCACATTAAATAGCATTATTTGTCTTCCTTTCACCTTTTGCACACTAATATTGATAACAAAGCCTTGGAGAACAGACATTTTCCCTGGCAGCTACAGAAGCCAATTCCCCCAGTCAAGCAGTTAACTGGAACTTTTACTGCTGAGTTCAGTGGGATGTGGTCTATTGCCTCATGGTTACATGGTGGTGGTGTTTTAGGGAGGGGAGCAGGGGGAAAAGGAACCCCAAAAACATTGGAGATAAAGCTTAACTAAAAAAATCTAGCTTTTCACACTTATGTTTTAACATAAACCTAATTCTGTGGTCTACTTTATTCAGGGCTAATTAGTTTTCACCTTAACAACAATTGCCAATATCATCCTCTTAAAAATTCAAAGATACATTTAATACTGTCTGCTAGATGTAACATCAGGCAGGTCAACTTGCTAGGTATCAACATTTGAAGAACCACCAAATTCAAAGGCACTCTAAGCAGTACAAAAGCCCAAGTCTTCTAGAACATGAACATATATCTGGCTGTCTTAGCTGAACTCCCAGCATCCAGATACAACAGGATGATTCATCCTTTCCTACAATTTTCCCCATGGATTCAGTTTACTTCCTATTATAGACATTTTTAGTACAGAGTGAAATTTTGTTTTTAAAACAAACAAAAAATCATTAACAATGGGGAGTAGGATAAAAATTCATTACTACCAAAAGCAAATGATTAAAAATAAAACTTGTCAAGTTTCCAGTGCACACAGTGTGGTAAAGTTCAACAGGAATTGTGTTAAGACCATTAGTATATGAAGAGGTATTTGGGCATTCTCTGAACTATAGTTGTAAGCAGCAACACAAAATTTACCCTCTTTGTGTGAAGAGTTTCCACAGTAAGCATGTATAATTTTCAGATAAAAATCCTAACTGCCCTGGCTTTCACACAGGTTACAGATCCATGATGATTTAGAGTCACTAGCAGTACAAAAAGCTATTGGAATGCACCATCTTCTCCTGATCTCTTTTAAGGGGAACAGGTATATCCTGGGCACACAGAAGGTCAAAGCAATAGTCCTAAAGAGTGTCACAAATACTTCATCTGTCAGAAACAATCCTGACCTCCTCTGAAACCTTGAGTTCTTGCCAGATACACACACAAAATCTTCATGGCACTTTTACCACAGTTAATTACCAAAAACCCACCACTAAAGCACACAACACAACAGCAATCCCCCTATAATATGGCTAATATACATTGCAATAAATAAAGAGAAGGAAGCAACAGCAAGTATAAAATATTATTTGAAACTCTCATAAATTGAAATTGCAATACTTCAGCAGTATTCTATACAGAAATATTCTATCAGCTTAAATATTGTTAACTTTTTTTTTGTTTTTGTTCATATGTGCATGCCTAAAAGCCTTTTGCCTTCAGCACTCCTTTTACAGGGAGATTTGGAAGGGTATAACCGGATAATTTTTGTCTCTACTGTTTTTATATACACATGATTGAGGACTTTTGGAGAACATGAGGACATGCACTGCCCACCTGTAATGAACACCTGCGAAGTATTGTTGTACAATTCCTTCTGCACATGGCAGAACCCAGAGCCTGAAGGACTCAAAACGACAAAGTCCTAGACACATGCATCCCAAAGGCATCTTAATTTGTGCACATGTTAAAAGAAGGAACATTTGACTATAAAGAATGTTTACTAGTAACAGAGACAAAAAAAAGAGGAATTCCAATTCAAACACACACAGCAAACAAATTCACATTTCAAACTTTGTACCTTACGAATTGTGGGAAATTTCCCTTCATACCGATAAAACCATCCAAAAGCTACAAAAGGCAAAGGAAAAATTATTTTTTGAAGAAAAGCCATACTCATGGCTCATACTCAGACCAATCAACGCTGATACATGTAACTGATTAAAATTTATTTGAAGGCGCAACACCAGAAGTTTGATATTACTTAAAAGTTCTTGGCTAAATTATTGATAAGTGGTTCTAGAACATTTAGTCATAGGCATCCCTTATTTTAATGATACACATTTTATGCCAAACAAAGAAAATGCAACAAGTAATCTTCATACAGAACAACACAGGCATGTACATTGCTAAGATTTCTATAGTCAGACCCCTATTTTAGAGTAGTTTTAGCAAGCCTTGTGAAAATTAAACAAGTGTGCAAACTCATTCAAGCTTGTGGCAGAACATGGCTTTTGAGGAGACATGAAAAGCTCCATTTCCCAGGACAAAATATTTCAAGCCAAGTGCATAATATTATAAAATATATCACTAAGTAAAAACATACAAAAGAGTGTATTACCATAACTTCATATAAGAAACACTGCTAACACAGAGTGCTCAATATAGTCCACATTTCTGTAGAGTTGTTAGATTTCATATCAAGGTATCTTTAGATGCAGTGACAGCAGCAGTGTCAAAATCTTTCATCATTTACTAAAGGACCATGCATATTGCCCTAGGAAAACTAAATGGTCAGCTGAATGTCAAGACTGACTGTCAGGAGGAGGTGAGACACAGGAAGAATCTGAATCAGGATAGGAAGTCAGAGCTGAGTGGCAAACCTGTTTGTCCTGCTTCATGTTCACTTCATCCATGTCATCTGTTTCAAGTGGGTCATGTTCAACTCCCTTTAAATCTTCTAGAGAAACAAAGGAGGAAAGGGGTGAGGGGACAGAAGTGACAGTAACTGGGGGTTCCCATGAAGTGAAAAAGAGAGCAGTAATGTGTGACTAGAAGTTTCCGTGAAACAAAAAAAAAAAATGTAGTTAGTGATGGGATGTTTTTCTAAAGAATTGTTAAAAAAAAGGCCCTACTTAAAACAATCTCCAACCTCCTCCACTCCTGAAGAGCTGTTAGAATCTACATGTGGACAACTGGTCTGCTATGTGGTGAAGGGAAGCCTGAGGAGTTTGTTGGCTTTTCCTGTAACAGAACCATCAGCAGACTTCCCCAGTCACACACAAAATAATATGATAAAATAATATCAGGTTAGGAATCAGCCCAGGTCTCCTATAAATTATGCAACAAGAGCTTTCCACATTTTTCTTTGTACAATACAATTTTAGTACACTCTCCACATACAATTTGCAGCTTCCAATTTAGCTTCTTAACTACCAGCTAAGTTCCAACTCTCTTAATTCCCTTTGGAAAGTAAGTCAGAAAGCCAGCAGCGTTCTGGACTGCATCAAGAGCAGCATGGGCAGCAGGGCAAGGGAGGCAGTTCTGCCCCTCTGCTCTGCTTCCATGAGACCCCTCCTGGAGTGCTGCATCCAGCTCTGGGGCTCCTAATGTAAGATGGATGTGGACCTGTTGAATAGGTCCAGCAGAGGGTCATGAAGATTATCAGAGGGCTGGAGCACCTCTGCTATGCAGAAAGGCTGAGGGAGTTAAGGCTGCTCAGCCTGGAGAAGAGAAGGCTGTTGGAAGACCTTAGGTCAGTCTTTCTGTACGTGAAAGGGACCACCAGAAAACTGCAAAGTAACTTTTTAAAAGGGCATGTAGTGACAGGACACAGGAGAAAGGCTTTAAACTAAAAGTGGATAGATCCAGGAAGAAATTCTTTACTGTAAGGCACTGGAACAGATTTCCCAGGGTAGGTGGTGGATGTCCTATGCCTGGCAGTGTTCAAGGCCAGGTTGGATGGGGCTCTGAGCAGCCTGATCTAGTGGAAGGTGTCCCTACCCATGGCAGGGGGTTGGAACAAAGTAATCTTTAAGATCCCTTCCAAGTCAAACTGTGAAAAGGTTGACAGGTAAACACTGAACAGAAACAACATGCAAAACAATGCAGCAAATTTCCAAGGTTGATGCTTCATACCATTTCTTAGTAAACCTTATTATTTTTATTTTTCCTGCTGCTGATTGTTGAAAACAGTGACTATTGGAATGGATGTAAATTTTGTAAGATAGGTACCTGTTAAGTAAGAGTTATTTAATAGATTTATCATATGTCTCCAGCCTTCTGAAAATAATCAATTCATAGCTAGCTTAACTTGGAGACAAAGTAGTGGTATATTCCATAGAGCTCAGTGATGTGTCTGAGACAAACAGAAGGAGGCAATTTGACATCAATTACTTACTTTTGTGTTTGGAACGAGGGGCAGAGTGCACTTCTGCAGTTACAGTTTTTAGAGACTTGGGTGGTTCTTTAGGACCCCAATCTTCTTCCCACTCCTTTTTAAATTTCTCTTCTTCTGCTGTTATCCTAGAGGAAGCAAATGCAATTAGACATTCTGAGTACAAAACCAACATCATCACTATATATTCATTACCATTATAATTTTTCTGCATATCTGTTTTTTCTCCTGAATATAAAACATAATAAACTGCTTCTTCTTCATAACTGAATTCCTTTCATCAATTTGTTTCACTTACTAAGCTACTAAGATAATTTTGAAAATACAGCATAAGATAGTCTCATTTAATATTTATAATTCTAAGGCCTATTATATAAATACCTGCACAGATACTAAGCCATGAGTCACTCACTATAGTACTGATACTCGCCTTAAATCAAGTAAAAAAAAAAAATCTCTCATTTAGCAATTTTTCATTTTAGGATGGGAATTACTTATTAGAAAAACTTGGAACACTGAGGGACAGAATATCTATCATACACCTAAATCAGGTGTCACAATGGCAAATTATACCTAAAAAATATGTGACTCCTCTATCTTTAAATCTATTTTGATGATTGCCTCCTAAACACATAGTTCTAGGTTGCCGTAAAAATACCATTGAAATGGAAACTATATGAAATTCTGCATTCTAGGAAAAAAAGGGAAAAATTAAAAAAGAGAGGAGAAAAATAGACAGGTACAGACAGAGAATGTGGGTGGTGCAGAGAGTGTCACAACTCAGGAAAAGAGCATGCAAAAGAAGTAAATTACCTAGTATGGAACCTTGATCAGAGAAAAAAAAAGGCGTTTCAAACAAAAATTCAGCAAATACCAAGTATGTCGCAGCAGAAGTGCTGAATAACCTAACAACATGTAGCTTCATATATGTTGTCTTAAATGATCCAAGATCTATTCTTGACTATACCTTGCCTTGAACTAGTAATATGGTGCCAAAATTTACCAGGTCTTAGATATATATGATGCTATTTATATTTGGATTATCTTTTGCATCTCTAAATTAGCTAAAGTAAATTGAAAAAATATTCACATGGAGTCAAAACACTCTTAAATCTGTAGCTGAGCTCACTATTTAAATATAGAGGCATTGTCAGGGAACAATGGACAAAATTTTTTTTCATTTAATTTTAGTTTTAAAAAGTTGGAGTTACAATGTAACTTGCAGTACATAGTTAGGGACATTTGCCATTTAGGCACGTACAAAATTTTTTCATATGTGAGATACCAAAAAAGGGCACAGTGACTTTATACAAGGAACTCCTGCAGGAAGGATTCTTAGAAGAAGGCAAGGCATGATACTCACAAACAATTAATACAGAAAAATATAATATTTTAGCCTGCCACACCTGCTCATCAAATCTCAGCTTTAGACTTCACCTAGGTTCCTCTACTACCATTCTCCCTCTTCCTCACCCACCAGATCGACACCAACTTAACAGTTTTGATTGTGATATGGAAAAGCTTAAAAATGCCTGAGCAACACTTAAAAATTATACAAGGAAGTATAAAGCTGTGCTAGACTTTCCAATGAGCAGCCCTCAGGGCATGAGAGCCCTCCGTGAGTGAGTAAAGATGCTCTTAGTGCAGAACAACACAGCAGACATCCAACATCCATTATAACAGACAGGCAATCTAGATTTGGAGAACAGAACCATCCTTCACCTGTGATGGTCTGCTTTTATAGCAGCTTTTGGCAATTGCAGGAATTTCTATATAGGCCACAAATAAAGAACAGGATGTTACCAGCTCCCTGGGATCAGAAAAGGGAAATGCATAAGAATTCATCCATGTGCTGTTGTAGAGCCCACAGCAGGACTGCCAGAAGATTTTTCTCTTGTGACAGCTGGGGAATATATTTCTTTATGCACCTTATAAATTCAGAAATCCCTGCTCTTTTTCTATCAGAAAATTTTAGCTAATACAGATACATGAAAAGAGACTTAAATGAACTAAATTAATTAAAACCCCTTAATATGTCAAAGGGGCAAATCCAAAGCCTTGAGGGTCAGTTCTAGCCCTAAAAGGCTGAATCAAAACAGATGTTACTCTGCAATTTGCATTTTCATGCAATTTCCTGGCATCATTTAGAAGTTAATTACTGTGATAACAGGTTTATTTCAAACTTCCAAATGTAAAAGAATGCTTAAGTTAAAAATATAGTACTGATCTGTTTCTTACCAGTACTGCTTTTTTTTCTCTTAGAATTAAATGTAGTGTTTCAGTGACAACAGAGTAAACAAGTTCTGGACATAGAATTTTCTTAAGTTTCTCTATATATTAATAATACTTCTAAAATAAGTGCTCAACTTCAACTTTACACTGAATTTATTATTGCTTCATGTTTACTTATAATCCTAATGTTTACAGGTGCTGATTTTCAGATCAGTTTCCTATTCTTTAACTGTGGTGTACTTACTGATATGTACTGGATCCTACCTTTAGCTAAATGGAAATAATACACAATTTTATTAGAAAGCACTATGCAGAATGTTTTCAGCAGATCTAATCTAATACACAAGGAATCCCTTTCCAGGTGGCACATTGCCTGTGTAAGGTTTTTACTCACTGCTCTATTTCTCTTCGATATCTCTCTTCTTCCTCTGCAGCCTTCTGGGAAATCTCCAGCTTTCTTCTATAGTAAGTGGAATTAGGACAACATGATAAAAATAGTATTTTCTGAGTAAGAACCTTAGCAAAGTGTATCAGCATATAGTTAGTTAAAGTTAAAAATAATACATTTGTATTGGGGGAAAATACCCTGTTTTAAAAGTCATCTTTAAGACACCAAAGGTTCACTATGGTTTCCTAGGAACCTTGAGAACATTCCTGACCATCTGGATAATAAGGGCATATAATCTACTTAATTCTTTAAGTTAAGTCTTCTGAGGCAATACTATACTGTGTTTTTGTACGAGTATAAAATTTCTAACTGTCTTGCTAAAAATAAAGCATGAGTGAATAGCATCAGGAAAATAATGACTATCACACTGAATCATTGGGGTATGACAGTCAGGGAGCAGAGTGACCCTTCTGCTCAAGATGGCTTTGAATGATATGAGCTTTGAAAGCCCAGAATATCAAGAGCATCATAGGACAAACATTTTATGAACAGAGCCTCTGCAAAACCAAAACAAAGTTAATCCAAGTTGAGAATCATCTCACTTCTGTGAGAAATATCACAGAAATATTTATGTGATCCTGTCTGCCATGTCCTGTCCAAATCCAAGCTAAATTTTTCAGGCTGTCCTATAGAGAGTTCTCACAATCTCTCTTTCTCTTGCTGCTCTTTGATGATTTTGTTGGTCTCCAGTGCAAGCCGCTTCTGATGCATTAACTCCTGGCGTTCCTGCTCACGGAGACGTGCTTCTCTTTGCCTTTCTTCTTCAGTCATGAACAGCTCCTTGCCCTGCAATCAGAACCACCACCCCCATCAGTTGGGAAAATATCTAATGAATGCAGTTCTTCTAGGAGATAATTCAAACCCAATTACATAGTAGCACATCTGTGGATGCTGACAGTCTGGACAGAGAGAAAGTCAAATAAACTTTCCCAGGTGTTATTCTGGAGGAGCTTGAGGAAGTTTATTTGACTTCCTCTCTGACCAGACTGTCAGCATCCACAGCGTATCTGCCATTTCCTCACATTGCTCTTCCTGAGGAACACACCCTGGAAGATCCTCAAAGACCTGACTGCTTACTCCAAGGAGCTATTCTAGTTTCAGCCTCTCAGTTACTATGTACCAAACACCTCAGACAAGGTTTGCAACTACTGAAGTCAACAACAATACCACAGGGATCACAAACACATGCTCAGTGTGTCATCCAGAAAAAAATTCACATTATACTTGCTTGAAATCTCACTGAGCAATGAAATGCCAGAGAACAGAACACTGAATGATTCCCAATGTGAAGACAACTACATAGTTACTTTATTTTAATGCTCTTATGCCTGGCTGCTGCAGAAATGTGTTATCATTCAGGAACCCAAATACAGGACATGTACATCCCCAAAACACTGTACAGTTTATGTATTTCAGTTTGTTCAGTTTATATGCTTCAGTTGGTTCTTGTTTCATTTGCTTTACAATTAAGACACTATTTCCTGTTCAAGAAAGATATTTCCATACTCCTATAGGTAGAACACTTTGATAACATTAATCTAATTTTCATTTCCGAAATTAAAATCCCATGTTAATTAGGAATGTAGGATTTTTCCTATCTCTAAAGACCCAAGTAGACATCTTGAACAAAACCAGGCATTGAGGAATGTCTTTGCACCACAATAGGGAAACTGTTTTCTTATGCTATCTGTTCTCCAGTCAAAGATGTCTATTGAGAGATGATGCAAGGTGAAGGAGTGAGGAACCGAGGAGTTCCATAGCAACAATTTGCCATTTTAAGGATATCACCCCAGTGATGCATGCTGAGGTAGAACTCATATTTTTAAAGTTGTTAACATAACTGGGAGTTGAAACTAAGCCCTTAGGATGTTGAATTCCTGGACCTTAATCAGCTAGCCCAGAGTATTTGTTTAAAAAATCTCTACAGTGCCTTTGGACCACTTCATCTTTTGTTACCATAAGAGTAGATCAAATAAACTACTAATTCCTTAATGTAGCTACACAGCATACATGAGCCCTTAGGAAGTAGCTGAAGTGACTTCTTAAATCTTTTTTTCCCCTATTTAATTAGTTGCACGGCAATTAGAAAACACTGTCTTTGATTAGTCTATGGAACTTGATTATCTTCTTGTATACAACTACACACTGTCTATAAGAAGGATTAAAGCAATAAAAACATTAAAAAATTTATTTTAAGTCACACTGAAGTCAGAGGGAGGATTTAATTAATTTCAGCTGGCTTTAGATTAGACCCCAAAGGCTTATAGTTCTGTTGCACAGAACTGTGGAAATGAAAAATTGAGCAATTTTCTGTGTGTCAATACACTAATGGGATCAGATAAACAGTTACAAAAGGAAGTAATTTGGAATAAAACTAAGGCATCAGCTATTCAGGATTAAAAATTATTTGTTTCCAATCCAATTCACCTCTCAGGTTTCAGCAGAAGCAGATATCTATTAGAACAGAACCTCTCAAACATGAGAGACCATTACAATGAAGTTAACTTCCATCCCTTGTCAAGAAAATGATTTTGCATTGGCCCACAACCATGTTTATTTGACAATACTTGGTATGGTATGAAAGAATAACACACCACTCAAAACTGTCCTGGTTTGACAGAGGTATAGATCTTGTACAGAAACACAGGTTTTGTTTTTATCCATTTATTTTTACCATTTATTTACTTACACAGCAATTTTCTGCTTGCAAATGTTCTGCTTTTACAAATATACTACTTACAGCGCCTGCTACCACAGAGATAGTCAAAGTACGGCTACTCTTGAGCACTCTGACAGCCTGCAAATTAAAACAAAACAAAAATCAGTGTGAAAGAAGTGATAAAAGGCCAGCATAATGCTAGTTACCAAGGCTGGAATTTCCAGAACTAAATAGAGTGGTAGGTATGCAAATATCCAAAATGCCATGTTCAATACCCAAAGCCTTGAGTCAGTAGCCAAGTATTAAAACATACTTTTTTGGACAGGACAGATGTTTAATAAGCTGACAACTACAAATCCAGGGAATTAAGAAGACTTGCTTTTACCTCTTTATGATCCACGTTAGAAAAGTCCACTCCATTCACCTCAACAATCTGATCACCAACCTAAAGGAATTAATGCAAATTTTAGTACAGATGCTAAGTTAGTACATATATTCAATGAAAACAGAAAGAGATGTGCTCTCTAACACCCCTCACACAACAATCATGGGTACTGTGCAAGGGGAACAGACTGGAAACTGGTCTGGCTTGCACATACTCCTACACTGGGATCTGCTATTGCCACTGCTTGGGATCAAATCCTCAGCTTGAAAGAGTGTTGGTCTGACTCAGGTCAGTCATGTTCTTCAAATTTCAGAAAACTAGCTTTGTTTGAAATGTAATCACCAGATATTTCTTTCCCATGGGGAGAAAAACTCCCAGGAATCCCTGGAGTTTTCAATACAAAACAAGAATTCCTTCTGGTACCTACCTTGGAAGGTGACAAACTTACCTCCAAGCCCACCTCTGCTGAAAGAGAACCTGGCTTAACATTGCTGATAAAAATGCCTGGCTTTTGTGTTGGACCACTGGAAATACTGGAAATGTAAAAAATCCCAAACATTAATTGGATAATATTTATAAAATAATATTTATGAGGAATACAGTGTTATAGAGTGATTAATTTTAGTTGTTTCTTCATAATTTTTTTTTTGCCTAAAGAATATTTATGGTATTAGCCAATTCTGAAACAAACACCAAAACTTACCAGTACTCACACAATGGTTTATCATCCTATTTTCCTATTCTCTACCCCACAGAACTGGTTTAAAAGAAAAATAGTCAAGCTTCTGTATTTTGCCTTACATGCTGAAACTTTTAGGTATGCTGACCTACACTGTCTAAAGGATTGGGGCACCAATGATATTTGAAAGTGAGCAACTAACACAATGAAGAATTACTAATTATTCACTGAACTGCAAGATCCTGTATGTATAAAATACTGTTATTTTGTTAGGATTATTTATTAGGAGCAAGAAGGATGTTTCATCCAGAGGCCAAAATCTAGCTCAGGAACTTTAAGCTGCCATCTAAACTGGGCCTAGATACAGAAACTACTTTTGTAGATTATATATTCAACAAGTGATGCTGAGCCGCTCCTCAAGGTTTGTAAATAATTAAAAAAACCCCTTTACATCCTCCAAATTAAAGGAGAATAAAGGCCTGACAATTAGAACTATATATTTCTAAATATATAATAAATCCTATGATATCCCTTCTACTCGAAAACCTCCATAAGTATTGCAACAACAGGAGTCCAAGAATCCCAGAATCATATTTCTAAAAAGCCTTGCAAATTCAAGATTAATTTTAGGAGCTGGATGTAGCTTTGTGATGGTGTTTTAGTTCTGAAAAGGGTCAGAGAAGGCAGAGGGCAAACCTGGCGGTGGACAGTGCTGGAATTTGCTATATCACTGAGCAGCACTTTTAAGTATTTAAAAATGCAAAAGCATTTAAAAGAACCAATTCCATGACAAGTTGTATTAAGGCACTTTCAGTCTGCTCTTATTTTTAAATTTTAAAGTTTTTTTCTTCATGACAGAACTTTTAACACAGGTACTTATGCTTTGCCTAAAAATCTGTAACATGTGCCTCAGATATCCTGCTGTTACAGTTTGCCTTCCTGATCCAGCATGGATCTTTATTTTCCTGACAACATATCCAAAAAGGATGGGCATAACTGCCTTGAGTGTCTCCTTTAAAAATCAGTGACATTAAATAAAAAAAACATATACCCACCTGCATCCCATACCTTTTGTACCAATCAAGCTAATGAAGACTTTCTTCTCTTTACTGTCTCTCCCTCCAGAAGAAGCAAGTCCAGCAACACTGCCCTTTCCTTCCTGTAGAGGGATTAAACAATGCTGCAGATGTTAATTCTGTCTTGAATTTGTATCAAGACTACTATAAAATTTCATGTAGCCAGCATGAATCCCAGCCAGCATTAAGATAAGATTCAAGGTCCTATTCAAGGCTCCAAGGTCCTGCTGGAAATGAATGTGAGGTAATTTCAGTGGAGCTGCATAGCTGAGGTGAAAGACTGAACTTATCTGTTTGCAGAAGATTACTTAAATAGTCAAATTTTGTCTTCAGAAAAGAGTGGAGGAAAATTAGAGGAAAGTGATACGGAAAAATAATAATTTAGATTATTGTTCCCTGAAAAAAGGGCTGGAGAAATACATAAGGCTCACTATTTAAGTAAGTCTTTCTTCCTGAATGCAAAAGAACAGTAATTGTGGTGTTTCTTTTCACTTCTGCAACCCTTAGAAGTCACTTGCATTCAAAGTTGTAATTCCTCCACTAATACACCTAAAATAGGCCAAATAATCTGATAAAGATTTATACAGTAGAGCTAAGCCTGGGAAGTTAATATAATTGTGGTGTTTCTTTTCACTTCTGCAACCCTTAGAAGTCACTTGCATTCAAAGTTGTAATTCCTCCACTAATACACCTAAAATAGGCCAAATAATCTGATAAAGATTTATACAGTAGAGCCTGGGAAGTTAATACGCTCAAGCAAAATGAAGAAGCAATTAATGAGTAAAAGCTATTTCATTTGTCTCCTGCCCTTTCCTTACCTAATAGCTCTAGAATAATTTCATATCACAAAAGATATTCCTCACAGAATACTTTCAACAAGATAGTGCATTATAGTAATGCATACAATAGCTTCTGTGATAAGGTCAGAGGAGAAAGTGTTTCAGAACCATTACAGATTGCCCAGAAGACATTTAACAAAATATTGATCTCTTACCCCAGACTCTGACACAAACTGATCCACATATTGCCATTTAAGGGGTTCATCTGGTGAACTGAAAGGAAAAAATAATTTCAAATAATGAGACAAAATAAATGTCAATGTGTTCCAGAAGCTACTTTGGAACAAAGCCTTCTGTTTTGCATCCACAACTTTCTTTGGATACTATTCACATTTGGTTTATTTTCCAGCAATTTAAACAGAACATTAAACAAGAGTACAATTATTTGGGCTAGTAAAGGTTGAATATAAAATTGATAAAGGCCTCCCAGGTGGAACAATTTCAGGAAACTCAGAGGAAGACTGTAAAACAAACTGTAACCACTCAAACATCTTAACAAATGTCTATGCAGACCAACACTTCCTGTCATTAACACTTCTCAAACATTCTACCTAAAGATTCAGCTTTTCAAAAAAAATCAGAAAACCAAAACCATTTTAAATTTTTCTAAACTCTGAAGCCATCATCAAATGCTACATGCACAAAGAAACAGTGGAGCTCTCTGCTAAACTAGGTGCATTGATAATTAAATTTCCAGGAGATATCTGTGACAAATGAGGAAATAGAAATTGGTTCATTTAAGTAGGCAACTGGTATAATATCAGATTCATCAAGCAAGACATCTGCCTGTTCATCAAAAAGGATGTGACATTTTAATCAGCATTCACACATTTTCATAATTAAACACAGATTCTTTGGATAGAAGAGGCTGTGTGAAAATTAATAACCTATTTTCAAATGAAAAGCCATTACCTTTTGACAGGTATCATGCCAATATCTGAAAAAGAAAAATACTTTGTTAGGTTTCTGCAGACCACAAGCATCCCTTAATAGCAATCATTGGTGATAGAGGTGATTTTTTGTGTTACTTACGTCTAACTTTTATGGACACGACTTTCTTTGTACGAATGAGGTTGATGACTTCTTCGTGTGTGCATGACGAAATGGAATATCCATTTATGCGCACTATCTCATCCCCAACCTCACAAACAGAAGTGAGAAAAAAAATGTAATTGTGAATTAATAATTATAGAAGTTTTTAAGATTGAATACAATCTGGCAATCATTTTGTTGCAAAGGTTAGATAATGTCGATTCATGAATACTTTCTGAATCTCAGGTAACGTCAGATCAGACTTACCTGTATTTGCTTTGAATTAATACCAAACACCAAAAGAGCAAATTAATGGCCAAATAACAATTTTATAAATACTGTCCACTATACATCAGATTTGCACTCCACAGATTACCTTAAAAACAAGAGTCTGTTTTAATTCAAATAATTTTGGAATTATTTTCTTCTTCTATACTTCAGAAGTTAAAGTTTGCTTTTGCCATATGTTTTCTGAAATAGCTTCCTTAATACATTTGATCAATAGGAAACTATACTTAGTCTTATTGTGCCTGATCTTAGACTGAGAAAATGCATTATTTTAAGGGATTTTACCTCTTTGTCTTTGTTTGGGGACCCTGCTAACATTTATTAGCAATCCAATGACAGCATCCCAAGGACATTCCCTGTCAGTATTCAATTCAGCAGTGTAGAACAGACAAGGTGCTTCAGCCACTTCTGCAAAATTTCAAATCTTATTTATCAAAGTACAACCAAAAAGTTTCTCTTCCTCTAATATAAATCCAAATTTGATATGCTATGATGATTAGAGACAATTTTCCAAGTTTTTATGAACTCTGCCCAATGATCCTCCTACCCAGCTAGGCTGAGAAGGAATCAGTGATGAAGACACTGCCTACTTCATTTAAGGCAGTGCCTTATTATCAGCTCAAGATTACAATGAAAAATGCCAGGTCCTGGCTGAAGCACCATAAGCAAAGACTTTTACTTGATGTGAACCACATGATGTGGCTGTATGAAAATTAGTGAATGATTCCTTCCATTATCAATGCAGATCAATCCACTGCACAGTAAAATATACAATCAATTACCATGAAATTACCTTAACAAACCATCAACGGTATCATCTTATACCTCTGATCTCCACATGGACAAAGACAAATACTTTGGGTCCTTTCTAGTAGCATTTCCTCTGAACTATTGTAAATGTTTGTTATGTAAAATATATTTGATGAAACTCTTCTCATTAACACTAACTGCATGGGGTTTTGTTCTCAGTCAGTGAAACTTAAATGTGTCTGGTTTCATGGCAGCATTATCCCTAGTTAATGATTGCCTAAAATGTTCCATTTAAAGACTCAAGTGTCAAGCTTCCAAATTTCACTTTAGGCTTAAAGGTTTCCATGTTGGTATCTGCATTAGGTTGATTTCAAGTTTCAGCAAAGCTAAAGAAACTATACTTTTATTCAACAAAATTTAGGTGGAATGCATTATCAAGGTCGTTTAAAAAAAAAAATCTTCAATTACTTTATGAGAGGCTCTGTGCTTTCATTTTACATGAGAGGACTGAGTGAAATTGGAAGTAGAAATTCCTCAATATAGCCTGTATTCTACAGACTTTAACACACACAGGGACATGACATTGGGTGACAGGACATTAGGCATGCTATCACGTTCTGCCTTTTTTCATATTGCAATAATGCCTTGAATGATCTTCCTACTGTGATCTGGTGAATCAAAAAAAAAAAAAAAAAAAAAGCACAAGCAAAAAACCCCATAAATGTATCTTCTTTATTTCTTTCACAAGCTTTTCTAATTCTTCTGGGAAGTGTCTCATGCTCTGTAATGCTACACAAAACATTAACTTGTGCACTATACCAGCATTGCTCATGGTCACACTTTCCACTGAAGCTGAGGATTTTTGTCTGACACAACACAGCACCAGAAGGTAACAAAAGCAAATAAAACCGTCCTGCAGAAGGGAGCACACTCGCAGAGGCAAAATAGGACTGTGGTCCCTAGCCCCTGACCAGTGGGACATCCACTCCCTCTGCTGGGCATCTAAAAAAATCTCATCCAGGGCAATGGCCTGCACTCCTAAGAGCTTGACTGTCAGATTTTTAAAATAATCTTTAGTAACAGCAGAAATAGGTCAGTAACGAAGGCTTTTGGACATACAACCTGTGGTAAAAACACAGAATCAGACAAGAAGAGCAGATGAGGTCTGCATTTTGTAGTTACACCCCTGATAGCTTTTGCTGTCACTCACTAACTTGTGCCAAATATTCAAACCCATGTCCATCCACCCTATTCATTTTCTGTTGATTTTACATATGTGGCAAAGGGGGAGGGTGGGCTCTTTGTTTGGTTTTCTTTTAGTTCAAGATCCCCCCTTTACTCACATCTTCCACATCATGCAGACTGTAACAGAGCATGGAGCTTGGGTTTGCACAAACCTGATTCTTTAAAAGAGTAACCTATCATGCTGTTATGGGCTGCAACGCCTTAACACACAGAAATCTCCAGTTTTAGGGCTGCAAATGACAGTGCCATCCTGGGGCTTCTGTACCAGCAGAATTCACGTTGTTCTGAGGATGTCAGCATTCACTGAGTCAAATCTGTTCTCATCTCCCCAAGAGGCACTTGCAAAATTGTCAATGCACACAAGAGCATATTTATTTTCCCTCCAGTATGGGAATGAGCTTTTCCCATACAGATATATTTAACACTCTCCTTTACTAGACTGCCATCTTATTTCTGAAACTCAACACTCTTCACTCAGCCTAATGACATTTGTATCACTGACAGATAATGACTGAGGCTGCTGTACAAATAACCCAATCTAGGCTGAAGTAAAGGAGATGTATAGGCATACAGCAAACTGCTTCTCTTTAGGATATTTGAACAGCTTTTCCTGAACAATGGTGTCTAATACTGGAATGGTATCTAATAGCTGTTTTCATGTATTTTGTTACTTTTGTACAGGTATCACTGTATACCAAGCTAATGAATCAGAGCTGTAGAGATAAAAGTCTGCGGGACTGAGCAGAGTAGAACAATTATTTTGGTATTATATCACAGTTTCCCCTTTCCCTATCTAACAGGGAGATGACAGACTTTTTAGAAAAAAGATGCAAACCTAACTTTTCTCAAGTAAAATGCCTATTATTTCTGACTTTTAACATGAGAAATATAATATTTAGTGCTTCTAGGAAATTGAAGGGCTTCATATAATAACATCAACTGTTTCAAATTTCCCATTTTGTATGCTGCTTCCACTTTCATCATTCACACCAATCTCTTTGTATTCAGCAGAATCCTCACACACAAGTATCAAAAAGCAGTGTGGGGGGGAGAGATGAAGTCCATTTCTTAATGGAAGGACAAAACACTTGTGCCTTTTAGAGAAGTCGTGGTCAAAGTAGTCAAACCTACAAGTGCCACAGAGAACCTTCATTGTTATTTCGTTATTTTACTGTAATTTGGAAACTACCTCAAGGAGAAAACACACAATTTGAACTGGAAATTTTAAAAGCAGCAGGACGTAAAACTGATGGTATAATAGAAAATCATTACACCTTTCTCAGACAGCATTTTTGGGGGATTGAAAATGTGTAGAGATTTTGTTAAATAAATCAGGTGGGTGAAATTTCAGAAGCATTTGGCTCCACTGAGAGACAGCAATTTAGAACAATGGGCTGCCTGTCAGGTCTTGTTATTCAGTGAGGTTCAGAAAGTGCCTAGTGCCACCTATTATTCAGGCACTTTAGGCTGAGCTTTAATACCACATATCAAAAACCAGAAGCCAGGCAGTTACAGGAGCTGCAACACACCATCTGCCCATATGAATTCATATAATCTAACCCTAACAAATTCAGAATCAGTCTCAAGCATTCTTTCCCCTTATTGTTCCTACTTTGTCAGCTAAACCCTAACAATGTTCTCAGTTACAACAGTTTGCACGCTCCAGCCCAAAGATCCTTTACAATCCCCCCCACTGTCACCAACATGTCCAACAATGACCTTGGTCACAGAAAGCCATGTGGCCTTTTTGTCTACAGAGAAAGCAGGAAAACCAACATCCTAGTTAGAGCACAACAGCTGAACATCACTCCTTATCTAGCGATTGTGTCAAAACATTAGTCTGAAACAACCAGAGAAGCAGAGCTGCAACAGAGCATTAACATCAATGTATTAGAATGGCAATTTAAGGCAGTGGCTAGTAAGTTCTTTACTGATCAGCATCATTAGCACCTTTCAATATTTTCCAGAAGATGTTTACAAAAGCCATATAAGTGACTGGTCTTGATCTTTGAGGAAGGAAGCAGAGGGAATCTCTCCTATTGAGCTCACCACAGCCCGGGAACAACTCCCTTGTCTACACTTCCCATTCTTGCTGTGTAACGCAGAAGAAGATGAGGTAAATGAACTTCTGTAGTGCAAACTGAGAGGGTGCATCAATGTCCTTTTCTGCATTTGCCCACTGGCAAATTCCATGCTAAAATTAGACTGACAACACACGGAGCACAAGATTTGTGCTGAGCTATAACACCCTCTCAGTTCTAACCACAGGACTTGTGGTTTTGTTCCAAGGAGTTTCTAAAGCATCCCCCTGGATGCACCTGTCATGCATGCCAGTCCTGCACCTGTGCAGAGCAGGCTGACAGAAGACGGAATTAATTCAAAGGTGATTCTGGATGGGATATATAAGTATGAATGCACAAACAGAAGGGAATGCACAAGCATGCAAACAGAAAGAGGAACAGTTTAAATTTTAGAAAGCTTTCAGCATGAGTGACACAAACACAGAAACCTAACTTCAACCACCTTGTTGACAGATATTTATTTTTATTTTTTCATCTAAGAGATTTGTGAGATAATACTGAAGCATATCTACAAAAACATGCTAGCTTAATTAAACACTGTAATGAATCATGCTAGTCTAATATATTTTAGACTAGTGTTAAACACAATCCTTAGCCATTGATACAGCAAATATTCAGACTGGACAAATTAGAAGTAGCCAGGCATATTAAATATATTATATTATCCTTTCCAAATCCTTAGCCATTGATACAGCAAATATTCAGACTGGACAAATTAAAAGTAGCCAGGCATATTATCCTTTCCAGTCAGAAATTCAGACCTTTAATATACCTTCTCATATTCAAAGTCTGATAGAAAGATGCAGACATTTGGCACAGCAATTTCTCACTTCTCTCTTCCCTAAGCAATTCAAAAAGAATTCCCCACATTCAAAAAGAAACCAAACACCCAAAACTTCATTAATTCAATTTATACACATAATTATTTTTGTCAACCTTACTGGCAAGTTCATGTATCCAAAATTCAACCACAGAAAGTGCAATTCTATGCGGTGCAGAGGACACTGGGAATAGTAAAAAATATGTTCTTTCTTTTATTGCATAAACCAAAACCCCCACAATTAATACATGAAGTTCAAGTAAACATTTCATTACAGAAATGATATCTATGCAAGATGGAATTAACACTTTTAGCATTTATATGTTCTGTTCTACATTTAATCAGAACTTAGCAACTTAAAGCACTCTTCCACAGTCTAGAAATCTTTCTTTCTGTCTGCTTACATATAACTGGACTCATGAAGTATAAGCATTCCAGAAAAACACTTAACCTTCAAAAATTAGCATATCCCAAACAAGGAAAAAAACCCCAAGGTTTACATATCATTAAAACCAGCAAAATTAACATTTTTAATGACTTGTTTCACCACTGGTATAATGGTATTTACCATGGCATTGCTTTACATATCTTAGGAATTCTGTTAGAAGCAACAAAGAGCATCTTATCAAAATCAATGTCTAAATGTTAAAGAACAACCCTTAGCACCTAACATGTATTTTCTTACCTGAAGTCCAGCATTGTCTGCCTGTCCTCCTTTAACTAACTGGGAGATGAAGAGGCCACAGCTGAATTCCACTCCACCTCTTACACTTAATCCAAGCCCTTCAGGATTCAGTCGATCTAATCTCACCTCTTTCAGCTTTCTGCAAAAATGGAAAACACTTCAGTGTTCAGCAGCATAACACCTTGTTTCAATAATGTTTCATATGAAAGTTAGACATTATTTTTCTCTTTTATAATTTAGGCATAAAAACGCAAGTTTACTGAAGTTTGGATAGATGTGTGTTAACTAAAACCATCAATTCATCATCATTCACATGAAAAGACATTTGAAATCACTGAAACTGCTTTTAGAGTGTTAGAGTGATAAGATTTTTTTTTATTATTAAATTCCAGAAAAATGAGAAAATATTGGTTTTGACTCCTTTACCCTGCTTTTACTAGATTAAACCAACTGGCAAACAATTTAAGTACAGTACAGGTGCTGAACTGCTACCAAATACAACAGAAGTAAAATAACTATGCCCAACTCTGCACAGATGAACAATATTGTACTCTGAATTTACCTCAAAAGAGTATGTCCTATTTTTTATTTAGGTTATTTAAGTTTTTATTTAAGCTAGCTGCATTGTTTTGTTGTTGTTCTGCATTGTCTTACCGTGATCGTTTGGGTGTAAGCTGATCATATTCCACCTGGTGTTTTAATGGGATGAGTGGGCGGATTGCATCGAACAGAGGCAACCTGCTTGGTTCATTAATCACGAGTTTTAGGTCCCCCACAAGCACTGGGAGATTCATAGACCTGCAAAAACACAGTGACAAAACAAACACAGGTAAACAACACACCAACAAAAAGCTTCGTTTTTATAAGTTGTTGTGTACATGGCTTCAATATTTGCATGTCCTTTTGAGCTACCAAAAGAAATACTTGTGTAGATACTGGTTTGATGAAAGCAAAATAGCCCCTGAGAAAGCAAACCTTCTGTAAATAAAGAATACTTGCTTCCAAACATGTGAAGTCTTCTATACATTTACTTGATCTTTTAAGATCATGCACATCACGTTTACAGATGACATCTTCAATTTCATTCTCAAAGTACCCACAAGATTTATGGAACTATTTCAAAATAACTTTCCAGATTAGACATACCTGCATAATGGATTTTTGTTTCCTTACTAGTTAGGGATCCTTGTAAGTAAACATAGGCTACATGCTGCTTCCTTTCCTGAACTTAGGGGACTGACAAATTGTTTCAATCCAGGGGGGAAAAAAAAAAAATCACAATATTCAGCAGCTAGAGCAAAGACTTTAAGTTCCAATTTTGCTCAAAATCAAATTTGAAGGGTGATGAACTAATCCACAAAATCTACAGAAGTTAAACTGTTGTGAACATCTCTTACATGAGAGCTCAGCAAAGTGGTCTCCCAGAAATTGTCAGCACTGAGATGGTTATAGTCTACAAAATATGCTTTGTTGTACAGCTGCAGGAGTGGAGGAATAGCTAAGGTTCAGTGGAGCTATTCCTATAAAATATTCAGTTAAACTTTTTCTGTATTATTTACTGGTCCCTTTCTTTAAATTTACATTTCCTGGGATGCAATATTTCTGAGACATGGGCATTGAAAATACAGATCAGGAATACCTGTATGGGATTAGAGGTCAGATACTTCTGGAAATATTGTTAAAGAAGCAGAAATTAAGTGCTAACTCCAACAGCAATTGCACAGATTTTTGCCCTGGGATATTTCATAATGTATTCCCAGGAAGTGATACATCATCATTATCTATTCAAAGAGATAGAGAAAATTTTGCCCAAGTCATTGCAATTGTGGAAATTAAAGAAAAGTTGCCATATGCATTGTTAATTTTGTAACTGCAAGAAGATTTTAAATAATTCAGATCTGCTGAACCAACTGGCTTTCCAAACAACAGTCTTTATGAATGGAAAAGCAATTAGACACACCTGAGTGAAACTGAATAAGATATGCAGCTGAATACCCCCATAACTACAAACATCAGATGGAAACATATACATTTCACTCAGCTGAGAAGCTTTTAATTACAATATGAATGGAAACAATGTCTATGAGAGCCACTTGTCTATGATTACTGGAAAATATATTCTCATCTTCTCTGGAAAACAATGGATGATAGGCTGATGTCATTTGCAACGAAACAAGTCTGAGGAAACTGTGGTTTAAATCAGTTCAGCAAAAGGGTTGGTAATAGGCCTATCACCTTTCCAATTTTTTACTGTTGTGTTATAATAAGCCAGAGTCACTAAACACACCAAACAGATTCCAAGAGTAAATTTTTCCAGCTTTGTGAAGGACAGTTGCAAAATTTTTATCTGAAAAGTTAGCAAAAAATCTTTGAAAAGCAGTGTCAGAGAAAACTTTGTATCAAACAAATAAGCACTATTTGGAAATATGAATGAATTTTATTAATGCTCTCTTCCTGTTTCCTAAGAACAGTTTTATCATGCAGGAGCCTCCTGCCACACCCCCCCAGATATGAATCCACTAAACTTTTTACAAAAACTGCCAAGTCATAAAACCAAAGTAACTTTATAAGTGATTACAGACATGCTCCTTCTTTGCCTGCAGGTTATGCTGTGAAACCACAAGATTTCATTAAACAGGCTAAACCCCTCTTATTTCAATTACTTTTCTAGTAGCATATAGAAAGACTATTTTAAATCGTGAATATTAATGTATATAAAAATTTTAGTAAAATTCCACACCAACACATATAAAGCTAGATCTTACTGGTGGTACATCCGCAGCACGTCATAAAGGTAATCCTTCTCCGCTTCATTGTCAATTAATAGATTGACCTGAAAACCCAAAGACATTATCCTTAATCTCTGACTTCATAGCCACAAATGCTGAACATGAGAGACTTTCACACATTCTTAAGCTGTAGAGCAAAATTTCATCAAGAAAAAATAATTTTTTAAAGATAAACATGTTTTTGCAAAAGAGCATACCTCACAGTGTCACACAACAAGACTTTCTAAAATTACTATGACAAGAATTAGACAAGGTGGTGAATCCTGATATATTCTGTATGCTAGATTTCCCTTCATCAGTAGTATTGTTACAGTAATATCATTTGTCTTACCTGATAATCACTGTACTGTTGAATAAATGTCTTCAGAAACCTTTTTGGCCACTCGTTAATGTAGCACATGCTGTCACAGATAAAACCACCAGCTGAGATACAATCTCTGTGCTGTCGTCCAAACCACCGATTTCAGGAGCTCACTTATAGCATTATGCAAACTGCTACACCTCTGTTCCTCTTTGCTCCAGCTCTTAACTGATAGAACTTGCTAGTTATTCTTTCCTCCCCCACTAATAGTACCTTTACTTAAACCAGTGTCATATTACTATGCCCGCTCTTGGATAATTACAGTAAATTAAAGCAAAAGAAAACCAAACCCAAATTCTTACATGAGGTGTTCAATTTATATTCAGTGACAGTGAGACCCCCACTAATCTTACTTGTAGTGAGAGGCCACACCACATCAGTTTTACATCTGGACAAGCCTGATGTTTAGGAAAACAATTTACATCTGACCTAAAGGGTAATATTACTGTGACGTGAAGACTGAGAAGCAATTTGCATACTTAAAGAAAGGCCCTTTCTTTCCAGGTTTGCAATGGTTTGTATTATGTTCTAAACTAAATACATGCTTCATATTCCTTTTGTCCCACTTGGCTCTCTAAAGCCAGCAAGACTTCACATACCAGTGGTTTTCTATTACTTGTACCTTCTGGCTCTCTAAAGCCAGCAAGACTTCGCATTTAGGTGGTTTTCTGTTACTTGTCTCCTCTGGAAAAAGACACTTTCAAAACACCTAAAGGCCAGAAAGCTACATGCAGGTCAAGATTGTGTTACAGTTATACCAATGAATGCTATTTATTCACAGTGAATTTCAAAACACATAGCATAAAGTCTGTCTTAAAAGGAAATAAAATGTTTGCAATCAAAACTTCAGCAATACTGTGCACAGACTCGAGGCAAGGCTAATTGTAAAGGTAAAACTCAAGGTCAAACTAATTCCCACATCCATTTTTTTACTTCCCTGAGTGGTAAAATACAGAGCTCAATCCCCAGCTAAGATACTGTATGAGCAGTGTCCCACAAAGAACATTAAAAGTTTAAGTGCCTCAACCCTACACAGCAAAGGACAAAACTATCATCTCTTTTTCCTAAGAGGGAAAGCAAAAATCAACAATTCAATTTCTCTCCTGGTATACTTGCTGGTAGACACATCCTCCTTTCCTCTCAGAAAATGCAGGGCCACATCAAAATTCTGCTATTTCTTCTGACAAAATATGCAGTCTTTCTGTTTGACTCCTGCCCTTCTCATCCTAACCAGCAACTTCCTTCTCGTCTGATAAAACCCAGCCCCCAGGTGATTTCTAATATATTCAGACTGCTACAGCTGGGTTAATCATCCTGGGACACCCCTACTAATGGGTCATTCTCCTCCTGCTGTCTTCTCTTCCATCAATTATCACTGCATCATAGCCACCTGCATCTCATGCAATTCTCCTAATTCTTTAACTCCTTGGGGTTAAGTCTTACTGAAAACATATGCTTTACCTGGACTTATCATGAGCTTCTAAAAGCTGACTCTAATTTCATAAATCCTAAAATATCATCCCCCGCTATTAAAAAAAAAAAAGTGTGCTGACATGGTGTAACTTTTTAGTATCTAATTACTGTGGAGTCATGGGATATGTGATTTCACAACTTTTAAACCAAGGATATTTAAGAAAATCCATCCGGACAATCAGCTCTTGGTGGCCCTGAGCATTGGGAAGAGAACCTCCAGGTTCAACCTCAACCTCAAGCCTTCAGTGATTATTTAAAGAGTCTTCATAGTAGTTGTATCATTGATAATCCTACAATACAAAGAGTTGTTTATGCTCTATTTGTCACTATATACATTGCACTGCTTTTCAAAGAAACTAATAAAAAGTCATTACACAATCTGCACCTACATACATACAAAAAAATGAAGTCTGTCAAGAAGTCTACTTAAGTTTATTCAGTAGAATAGAAGCTGTGGGGAGGAAAAAGCACTTTTTTGGTGTGGAAAAAGTTCAGATTACAATAATGCAATATGTTAGCACTATCACAATCTGCCAGATTTCAAAGAAGAGTATAAAATCCTGTTTAAGCTACAACGATTTTGGAAAACTATTGAAGGAAAGGGAAAAAACTGGTTTGGACATATAACATATTTTACATTGTTGCTTGGTTGATAAGGAAACTGATTAAAATTGCTAAGAAAGAAGAAACTAAGAAAAAAGGTAAAGAAAGATAACTGCCATTAACTGAGGAAATTTAGATCTTGTAGTGAGCACCTTCACTGATATGTCACAGAAAAAGTAAGCATCCAAGACTGTGGATGCCACAGAGGTCACTAGAAGCAGGATGATACAAAATAAAAAAAGACCTGTTTCAATGTCTTCTAACTCAGATAAAGCTATCACTGATATTTGCATCCCAGCTGTTTGCAGCAACACCGACAATATGTTATGTTATCAGGGGTGGGGCTTGAATGATTTATGAATTATAGCAGCAATGAAAGGGAGAAGGTTTAAAGTTCAAGACAGTAACCACCCACCCAGAAACCAGAGTCTGTACAGAAACGTTGCACAACCCACTCTTGAGTTATACAGTAATAGGGAGCAAGGCAGAATCAACGTGCTAGATGGCTGCAGTCATCATTATGGAATATCCAGGTCCTTAATGTTCCTGAACTCCAATTTGACATACAGAAGTGTTCTTGAAGTCCCTCTAATTCATCCTAACAATCCCTTGGTTAATGTGTTTATTACCAGGTGGCAGATACTTCTATAAAACATTACTTTGTGGAAATTGCATGTCTTAGCAGATAAAAAAACCCCAAAAAACAAACAAAAACCCAAATCAAATCAACCACATCTTCCTTCACAAAACAAAACAACCCCCCACAAAACACTGCAGAAAACCTCAATCTGAGAGAGTCCTAAACGGCTTGGCAAAAACATCTTTTACACATGTAAACTATTTTCCTCCTCCTTCCCTTATAATTAGAGCTTTTTGAGAGTTCTTCGCTCATTCAATTTTGCGCTCTGCCGAGCACTTATTTAACCGGATAAATGACAAAACGACGGAGCCAGGCAGCCCGAGCCGCTCCATGTATCAAGTGCGTTTGCACATGAGCGCACAGCTGCGCCGGGAATGTTAAGGTGGAACCCGAGCGGGCCGAGCCCCGCCGGGTGCGCGCAGGGCTGAGCGGGCACTGCCAGCGCCTGGGCTCCAGCACCTGCCCCGAGCAGCACCGGCTCCAGCGGGGCACGCAACAAAAAATTAACTGTTCCAAGCCCTGAAAACGCTCGTGCACTGGGGAACGTTCCTCTTCTCTCCCTCTCTAAAGGCTTTAACACCCATCCCGTCCCAGGAGGCTGCCACCCGCGCCGGTGGCAGGGCAGTGCAAAGTCCCCGAGCTTCTCCCTTCCTGCCCCGCGGCTCAGCGGGACACAGCCGTGCCCGGCCAGGGGGGCTGTGCCGCCCGCAGCCTCCGCTGCAGCCGGGGAGGCGGCCCCGGCCGTCCCCGCCGCCTCACCTTGTGCCGGAACTCTCGGGCGACGCGGCGCTCCATGGTGCGGGTGCGGGCGCTGCGCGGATGCGGTGAGGCCGCGCCCCGGGGCGGTGAGAGGCGCGCCCGCCGCCGCCTCCGGCAGCCCCGGCATGGCCGGGGACGAGCAGCCGGGCAGCGCTACCCGCCCTGGGCTTGCGGCCGGAGCGGCCGAGAAAGGAAAAGGAAAAGGAAAATAACATCCATCCATACACGGCGCCCTGCCCCGCGGTGTGCTAGCCGGGCTTCTCCCTGAGATGGTTTGTACAACTGGCTCTCCTCACACGGCACTCAGCTCCCATAGCAATTTCCCTCCTGTCTTTGTAGGTATGCATGCCTGTCAGTAACACTAATAGTTTTAAGGAAAGCACGAAGATGTGAACTTTAAAACACCCGGGTTAAAAACAAAACAACCAAACAAAAAACAATCTGACCCCAAACAAACAGAAAAAAAATTGCTTCAATAAACTGTTGTACGGCAAATAATCTCAACTTCTTTAGGAAAGCAGAGTGAAGCTAACGCATCATTGTCGAAATCAAAATTCCCCCAGCCTTTCCCACAATGTTGTTGCTTACAAATAGTCTCTGGCTGCTGTGAGTAACTGCAGAAGAATCAAGCTCGGAGCACTTGAAAAGAAACCTATTTTGGACTAATCTCTTTCATACTATTTGTCTTGAGCTGGTTCTTCTCCGGCTTTCCCTACTGTGGTTCAAGATCATAGATTTCCTCAATCAGGAGGGTAGTGACTGGAGGACACCTGCTCACCCAACTCTCTCGGTCTCCACGCAGAATCACCTTTAACCACATCACTCCAGAGAGAGCAGGGTTTGCTTAAGGACAGGTAACTTACCTCTCCTCCTTCCAACCGAGTGGAAACTTATATGAATACATATAAAAACATGATTTAAAAAAAAAAATCCATTCTGTGGAAGCCCCTGTGTTCTATTTTATTATTTCTGTGTGATAACTTGTGTAAGCTAGATCGGCTCATTACACTACCCATTTCTCATATCAGGTGTTAGGAATATGAGAGGAGTGCATATTAAGCCTGTATACAAATTAATACAGTTGTTTTCAGAAAACGTTTTTCTCTTATAATTGCAACTATTAATTCATAAATCACTTTTACCTAAGTTCCAGTATCACGCAATAACAAAAAGCTAGTCTCTCCACACGGTTACAGATTTTCTTCCATGCACATGCAAAACAAAACTGTCTTGTATTTGAAAAGAGAAAGAAGGAAACACAAAAAATTTAAAGCACGCACTAGAATCCATCCATGTTCTGTCTCTAAATTTACATATAATCTAGAACAATCATTGATTATCTATCAAACATTTCTAGAAGGCTTTACAGGAATAGATCTTATCCAAGCTCAAAGTTATGTACATTTGAAAGAAAGTAACTGGTTTTTATGACACAGATAAACTTTCCAGGAGTCAGAAACTCCTTCATGAAGTAAAGAATTGTGGAACTTCTCTTGGTGATGTGAAAACTGCTCCAAATCATCATATCAAGGACACAGTGCAGGATGACAGACTTGGTGGGCTGTTATTCTGCTGTTACATGAATTCCTGTGCTCTACTGTGCTTAAATACAAAGCAAACAAATCCACAAAGCTAACTCCTGCTCCAAACCTGGAAGTTCGATAATCATCAATAAATTTATGAGATGGTTCTGAAGTTTTCATTGCTTCAAATGCACTGTATATTAAAAGATGGTAAAATTATGACTGTTTAGTATTTTTAGATAATGAAATCTTTCCTAGGAAGAAATCAAATTGCATCTAAATTGGTTCTAAATTAGCTTCATTTCTTGTTTGCTACTTGTGGTACAAAGAGAAAATGAACAAAGTGAGCAGCTCATTTAGTAGGCAAAGAAATACATTAGAGTGTGTGTTGTGTAACCTGATCCCTGCTGCTTTTATCTACTTTCTCTACTTCTATTAATGTAACTTGGATCAGTGAAAGTGCACCAAAGCTAAGCACATGCTGCACTCAGAGCAGGTATAGGCTGAGGCTAGCACATAGTTCTAAAAATTTGTTTGGGGTTATTTGGAAAAGGCTGTGTCAAAGTTAAAGGCTATCTTTTATTTCTCACTTTTTTTTTCTCTCAAGCACATTCTCCCTCCAACACTTACAGGAGGGAACAGAATTCTCAGTGAAAACATCACTAGTTTTCCATCATTTCATTAGAAATGAAACGCAAGAAACACAATCCACAGGGACAAATTACAAAGGCAGAAAAGAGATCTTTTTAATGACTTACTGTTAACAGACTTCCCAAAGCAGTCAGAAAAGGCCCCTTTTTATCTGAGACAGTTTCTCACCTGGTATGGGCAGCTTCTAAAGCTTCTGTCATAAGATATGCAAACCTGAAGAATGATGGGGAGAGAGACAGCAGCAGATGGGAAAGGGAAAATAACAGGAAAGGTAACAGTGATAGGAGGAGAGAAAAGGGAAAAAACATAATGGGAGGAAGCACATTTAATCATGAAGGGTGAAAAAAAGAAAAAATAGGAGGAATAAACATGGAAAAGGCTCCAAAGAGAGCTCCAGAGTGTGAATTTATAGTAAAAAAAAAGTTATCAGAAGCTATGGAAACCATCCATACACCTTAGCTGCATGCTGCATCCAGTGTATGTCTCACTTACGCCTGAAATTATTCAAGCCCTGACACCTCTTTCAGTGGGGCCGCTGCTCCGTGCTGAGCACGGACAGGATTTGCCGCTCCCGGCAGGAGCGGGCGGCTCCGGGCCGGGCTCGGTCCGTGCCCATCCCCGGAGCTGCGGGAGCAGCCCCGGCTCCGCTGGAGCGGGCGCTGGGAGCGGCGATCGCGGCTGCTGCTGCCGAGACAGCGGCACACGAACCTCCCAAAACCGCGGAGAGCGGGCAAATGGAAGTGAACGTGTGGAGGCGGCGAGGTCAGCAGCGGGCACAGCCAGGGCGGCAGAGGCGATGGCGGGGCCGGACCCCGCTGCCGGGCGAGGGGCGGTGTCCGGGCAGGGCCGGGCCGGGGGCGGGCGGCGGATAAACCCCCCGGCCGCCCCGCCCGGGAGGGCGGGATGAGCTCGGGGCGCAGGTAGCGGCCGCAGCTCCGCGGGACGTGCTGCCGCCCGCATGGAGACCCGGCTCCTGCTCGGAGCGCTGCTGGGCGCCTGGCTGTCCTCAGGTGAGTGTCCCGCCGGCCGGGCACCGCACGGCACGGCATGGGAATGTGAGGGTGGACAGGGCAGCCCGGGCCATCACTAACCTGCCGCCCTCGCCTTCCAGCCCTGTGTCCGTGGGGTGCCCGGGCGGAGCTCCCGGCCGACCTGGACCTGCCGCTCCCCAGGTAAGAGCCGGCCGGGGCGCAGCGGGCTCGTTCCGGGCTGGCTGGGTGCCTGCGCTGCCCGGGCCGAGCCAACCCTGCTCTTTTCTCCCCTCAGCCCAGGCAGCGCCGCGGGAGCCCGGAGCGGGGGCGGCCTCGCCGCGGCGGCGCAGGTGAGGATGCGGGCCGGGCTGGGCAGCGCGGCACCTCGCTGGGGACACCGGGACACCGGGGTGGGCAGCTTCCCACCAGGCAGGCCCCGGAAAGAGAGCATCCACCACATTGCATCCCGGGCTCGTGGGGCTGATGAGTTCAGGAGGTGCCAGCTCCCAGCGCCGCTGCCCGGGCAGAGCACTGTGAGGGGGCTGGCGGTGCGGGACACAGGGTTGTGTGTTCTGGTTGTCGTCGGCATGATGTGCTCCTCAATAATATACCTGTACATTGCTGGGATACTGTCTGCATTTTAGTGCTAGAAAGCGAGAAAAGATTGTGTGATTGTATCTAAAGCTTTAGCTTGTTCAAGAAGTTATGTGCTGTGCAAAGCATCCTTGCTCGAGGAAAAGCTGAGGTCAACAATTGCTTTGTGGGAGCCTTCTTGCCTCTCGGTAGAGGTAAATGAGCTGGCAGTATCGGGTCACTACAGCTCAGCACTCAGGTTTTTGGATGTGGTTTGTCTTGGCAACTCAACTGTGTCACTCATGGCACGTTGCTGAAATGTAATTAGGGTGTGTGGTTCCCGCTCCCTTGTTCGAGGGTGGGAAAAGGCAAGGTTGCTTTGTAGTCCTTGTTCGTGGCTCCTCAGAGGGAGTCACCTTTCTCTTTGCTTTCTCCCTGCTCTTTCTGGGAAAAGCTCAGCAAAGAAAAAATGTCACATAACTGCAAACAGGTAACCAAATCAACCACCAATAATAGTGAATGCTCCTGGATAAAGGTTCTCCCACCAAGAATTCAAGATGTAGTAATAAACTTTTTTGTTTCTTTCTGGGTTAGCTTGTTGAGCAGAATCTTCAGTAAGAAGTGGTTTTAGGAGGAAGGAAGAAGAAAAATATTGAAGTCTTGAGTAGAGTGTACTTTTTACTTTACAGTGGTGTTTTTTGAGAACTTTATAGTAAGCCAATACAAACCAATGATCTTACTAAAAATGGTGAATTTACTGACAGACAGAAGAGATTTTTAAGTGTCTTGTTTATAGCTGCTGATTTCTTTGTTCTTTCTGAAAGGAGTCTGGAATGGCAGTTTATAACACTTCACCTACAGCAATGTCCTTGGCTCGGAACAGGAGAATTCACAGTATGAAATGTGAACCACCCAGTAAGTTTTTTATGTTTCTACATAAAGTGACATCTCCAGTCCCTTATTTTCTGCATTGTTTAATCATTCCTAGGAAGAAAAAAATTCTAAAATAGGTAATACAGGCCTTAATGATAATGAGGTTTTACCTTGTTTGGTTTCAAGGGTACCCAGGAGTATGGAAATTTGTTGTGGAGCTTCACCTAGCTTCAAGTTTACACCTGGTTCTAATTTGATAATTTGGAAGACTATTCCTAACCACAGGTTTTGTAGTAAAGGGTTTTTGGAAAGGAAGCCTTCTCTTATAGTGGTATACGTAAAAATGTGGATTGATATTTAGACACCAGTAAATTGCCTATCCTTTTTTGTGCTTGGAGGTTGGTTGTTTGTTTTTGCTGAGGTAACCTGCAGATGCTTTTTGTGTGTGCCATCTATGGGTTAGCAGGATAAGGCCCTTTTGGCCACCAGCTTGCAGTGGTGGGCGTTTCCTTGAGGAATGTGCGTCTTTAGTTTTTGATTCATCTTCTTTTCAGAAGTGGACAGGCTTAAAATACCTCTGGTAAAGGGTAAGGGTTTTCTGTGTTAACTCTGAGAAGGGTCTGTGTCATGCTTGTGTTGTACACAGCAGAAGAATGAGGCAAAATAATTCTGAGTAATTTTAGTTAGTTTTGCAAACTCTCTAATTTCTCTTTAGTCAGCCTGATTGCATTGGATGTGGGACCTACCTTAGAGTGAAGAGTCTCAGTTTGCATCTCATAGCTTTACAGCCCCAAGAGCAAGATATGTGGAATGGGCTCATAATTTGTGACAAGGGTTGTGTAATCTCCAGAAGCTTTTAATGTCTTCAGTACACACTGTTTTCAGAATGTTTTGCGAAGTGTGTAGCTGAATGTGGAGGAATGATTTACAAGAGTTTAGGGAAGCATAATATTGCTCAAATAAAAACTATTACCTATTAATAGCTCTCCAGTTTATGAAAAAATCATAGCTTCTGTATGATAAAATTGCTTTAGAAACCTAGCATGCTATACTGATAAAACTTCCTCTGTTTTTGAGGCTTGCACCATCTTATTGACCAAGAAGTTGTTTTGCCTTTTTTATATACTAAATAAGGCAGCTGACAAAGAGAAGATATGCAGATCATGCTGAGAAATTTTTTGTCATAATAATTTTGTTTGTTTCCCTGGGTTTAGTCTTTTCCTAGTGAAAATTTCTTTAATTAGAACTAGTAGGTTTCGTTTTTTGCTTCAGATCTGGAAAAAAGCTTCTAAGGTGTGTTACTGTTCAAGTGTACAATAAAAACTATGCACATAAACCCTTTGCAAAACTTATATTAAAGAGCTTTTGTCAAGGGTTTATGTGCAAGTTTATTGCTTCTTAAATAGCCCTAATATTTAAGAAATGGAAGAATAAATGTGGAGCTAGGGAAAATAAAGTATTTACAGATGTCTCATGCTGACTCATCACATGGCTAAGCTTCTAGAGGAGCATGCAGTAATGATGGCAAGAATTAGGTTTTATTGCTCTCTGTAGATGTAACAGTATAAAGTTTTTGTTTTCTTTCTGTGAGGCAGAACTATTCAGTGCGGGTTTTCCATTTCTGATGTATTTGTTTTGGAAAGGCAATGCTGTTGAAAACAAACCTTAAAAATTATCAATGATTGCCCATACTTGAAGGCAAATAAAATCAGCACTATTCAAGTCTTTTAAACAGTGGAATGCATAGGCTTGAAAGTTTACTTTTTAAATCACAGTAAAGTGTGTGGCAAATAGAGTCTATTGTCTGTATGTGAAAGACTTGTTAAAAAACAAAAGAATAACCTGATCTGTATTGTACAGTGCTCCTAATACTTAGAAAAATAGTTTTTCCTTTTGGTCTCTCCAGTTTAGAGAGAGATGCAAGCTGCTCATGCATCTCTCTCTAAACTGGAGAGACCAAAGCTCTGCCCATGGAGTGGGATTTGCAAACATCTGGGGATATATGAGATAATAAACCTTCTTTGTTTACAAACCTGAACAAATAGAAACCCAAATCAATGGCAAAAAAACCCAAACCAAAACAGCAGCTGTCATCTGCTTTCTCTACTTTAGCAGTGTCTCCAAGAAAATTATTCTTTGAAATACTTGTAGAACTGTGATTATTATGAAATTATATTGCAGTCAATTCTTCATGCAATACCAGTTTTTCTTGCATTCTGTAACTCTATAAAGATAAACCAATGTGTTTTCTGTGGAATGAGTGCATCACTTTTGCAAGAGATCTCTTTACCTTTGTGTTGTATTAGTCAAATGAAAGCATTTCAGAAAGTGATGTAGTGTCTTATCTGTCAACGGAATGAAAAATTTGCATTAGCACAAGCAAAGACCATGAGAAAAGTTCTGTGGTAGTTTCTTGTAGCCAGGGAACACAGGATTTGAAATGTGTATCAGAATAATTGAAGTTAACATGCAGTTTATGTAGCTGTTCAACTTTTAACTTCCTTCCACAAAAATCTTACTCATGCAAAATTTAAAAAATAACAAACAATTAATTAAATAAAAAAAAAGGCCCAAACAGGGAACTCCTGAGCTAAAGCATATTAAGAACCTGGAACAGGCAAACCAAATTATTTCTGGAAGTATTCAGGCTCCTGCTGAGAATTTCTAACATTGTAAGCACTACAAATTTTCTTGTGTTGAAATGCTGTAACAGGCATAAGTCATGGAAGTCACAGAAGATGTTTATGCCTTTCAATGTCTGCTTGAAAACTGATTTCAGGAGGTGTACCAGAACAGAAAATATGCAACTAACTGGAAGGCTCTTGGAACTGAATTGTTAAAATTGTACCAGAACAGAAAATATGCAACTAACTGGAAGGCTCTTGGAACTGAATTGTTAAAATTGTACCAGAACAGAAAATATGCAACTAACTGGAAGGCTCTTAAAACTGAAGGGTTAAAATCTCATTCACCTCAGAATCCCAGAGAGAAAAATTTTACATCCTGTAAAATGGCATCCTGCTGAAGCCTGTGTGCCAGGGAAAGCCTGTGCCACTGCAGGCAGGTGCTCTCAAAGGCTAGGAAGTTGAAGGGTAAAAAAGAATGCAGGAAATGCTTGTTGTGTTAATTCTGCCATAGCTGAAGGAGCACCTGAATACTTGCACCTAGAGAAACGTGCAGTGGAAATTATGCAAAGTTACAAAACGTAGAGTTTCAGGGAAGTTGACTGCAAAAATTGAAATATTACATTTTAAGTATATATTCTACTCTTTTATGTGTGGCTTTAGATCTGATTTAGATTTCTTGTTAATTCTTATCCTGATCTGCTTTGCTTTTTCACTTTTCCATTCAAGAATAAAATTTGTTGATTTTTAAATAATTGGTTATTTTAGTACTGCGATTACCTTCAGACTCTTCAACTGAACTACTCTTCAAATCTTGCATAGTTACTTTAAAAATGTATAATTTTTAAAGAATTCTGAAAAATAGAATTCCTGTCTATTTCTGTAAACGACCTCAAATTTCTAAAGCTGCTTGGGTCAAAGTTGATGCCTAGGCAGAATCATAAGAACTGAAGGCATGGGCTGGATGTTGTATCTATCTTGGTTTAGCAAAACTTTCACTTCAGATTTCTACATTAATCTTTCATACTTAAACTTTTCTGTCCAAGTGAATCTAGTAATGAATACCCTGGAAGGAAATCTGTGTCTACTATTTTGCATTAAGCATTTTTTTTTTCATGCTGTGTTTAAAATAGTAAAAAAAATAGTAATACTAGGAAGTACTTAATGTTTTACAGAAAAATACTCATGGAATAGTACACATCAGGTACAAATTTTAAAGTATTAGTAGTGTACTGGTGATAATGGTGTATTACTGTGAGGTCAGACCTGAGCTCAAGCATTTGTATTCATGTGATAGTTAAAGGAAAAATCAAGTATTTCAAAATGGGTGTTTTCTTGAATGAAAGTGAGAAAATTTTATTTTAGATGTTTCTTTCATTTAGTATCTTATCTTTTGTGTGGAATATGTAGAGAAGGTTTCTTTGCAGTTACTTCCTTGTGGTCCAAGAGGAGAGCATTTCTTTTGTGACTCTATCTCACTTCATGCTCAAGGGCTCCACATTATATAAATTACTTATTTTATTCCTAATGACCATGTTGGCTCAGATGACCAAATCATGGATGAACAAGTCAGGACATAGTTCAACTGGAATTGAAATAAATTCAGGAGATTTTAAGTATTCATTGGAGAAAGAAGTAATGTAAGAAAGCAGATAAAGCTAAGTGTGCCATATCAGAGATGCAAAGCCCCAAAATACATTGCATCAATAATAATAATTAAAAATAAATTTGTATTTTGGTGAAGATGCAGGATGCGTTTGAACAGATACCATGATGCTTCTAGGGAATGTCTCTGTGTGGAGCTTGGACACTGCTCTGCAGAGCCCCTTGCAGGGAGGCTGGATTGGAGTCACACTTTTTCAAAGGCTCTGATAAATAATGGGTCAAGGTTCTGCTACTGCTTATAGAAGAGTTTAAAAATGGGATGGACTGAAAAGGAGGCCCATGTGCTCAAGGGACTAAAATAACCCTACACACGGGGCTGCAGCCTAGTCAGTAATTACAGGGGGTTGGAGTGTTTAAGCTGAGAAGAGCAGAGTAGAATTCAGACCTGTGTTACAAAATGATCCCAAGTCTTAATCCTATTTGAAAAAGGACTTTGAGGCTGGTTGCTTCATGAGAACGATGGTGGAATTATCATGGTGATCTTCAGGTTCTAGAAATGCCATTATTATTTATGTGAGTCAAATCATGCCACTTAGGCCTACTATTTTCTGCTCGAAAATTCTCACCAGTTTTCAGTTTCAGATTCCAACCCAGTGCACTCAACTGGCATAATGTCAAAGGGGAAAGAGGAGCTGAGGAGTTTTTAACAGGTGTTGCTTTCAGGTTAATGGAGGACAAAATATTCTTCTGTAAGTTTTCCTAATTTTAACTTTCAGTTAGTCTTGATGTCTTTTCCTTTTCTGCAAGTATGAAAATGTTTCTCGCATTTCTAGTGGAGAGAAACTTTTGATGTGGTCGTATGGGTTAGCTTATTTGGAGAGCTCATATTCCTTTAATGTCAAAGATTAGAATGGACCCCTTGTTACAGGATATTTTTTCTGAATACTTTGGGAAGTATTTCTGTGTTAATGGATCAGAATGGGATGATTAAAGGAGGCCATGCTTAGAGTAATAGGAGCATTAAATGTGATCTGCGACAATGCTGCTTCCCTCATTACCTGCTTAATTATTACTGTTTGCACACACAGATGTTCTATGCAGTGTAAGGAAAGACACTTAACAGTGATGTAAAAAGGGATATAAGCAAATACAACAACTGAGATAATAATATTTTCTTAGAATCGTTCACACACAGGCAGAAGAGATCTTCTTAAAGAAAAAAAATGCTTGGGATTGAGTAATTTGATTTTTTTTTTTGATTCAGTTTTGACTAACACTCTTTCTCTCTAAAATAGAGCCAGGGAGATCCTTCACAGTGACAGCAAGGGTCCCCAGGTCAGCTGACTGTTTGCACAATCTGAACAAACATGTCTTGGAGCAGGTTACCTGAGCCATGCTTAGAGTGGAATCATTCAACCTGAAACATCAAAAGAGGGCTAACTTCCTCTACGGCTCAGAGGAACATGACTTGCAGCCTAATTGCACATTATTGTAACTGGACAGGCAACAGGGCTTAATCTTAGAGAAGCAAAGAACAGAGACCAGAGCTCTGGTTACACAGGTCTCATGACACTCAAGATGAAAGAGATCAATGTCTGCCTCTCTTGACAAGAGGAATAGGCTTTTGCATTATTGACAAGATTGGTCACTGTGAGCATGTAAATGAGATGGCTCAGTCAGGGTAAGTAGGGACCTTTCTGCACGGTGCTTGCATTATTTTTTATTGACCTGACACTGGCCAGGCAGGGAAAGGAACAGGATAATTGGGCTAGCAGGCAAAGAAGCATTACCTTTTACTTTATCTACCTGGCTTGTTCTTTTAAGCATGGCCTTTTTTCCTCCTCTTTTTTCTTTCTTTTCTTTTCTTTTTTTTCTTTTTTTTTTTTGGTTGGAGGGTGGGAGACTGCTTGTTGAAAGCAAGGGAGTCAAAATTAATTGTTTGGACATTTTAAAAATCTTCAAATAATTACTTAGTATTTATAATGGGATTGCAAATGGAAATGGTAATGGCTTGAAGTTGAAAGGGAATAAGTTTAGGTAAGATATTAATGAGAAATTAATTACTATAAGGGTGATGAGACACTAGAATAGGTTTGCTCAGAGATGTGGATGCCCCATCCTTGGAAGTGTTCAAGGCCAAGTGGGATGGGGCTTTGACAGACCTGGTCCAGTGGGGTTGGAACAAGATGGTCTTTAAGGTCCCTTCCAACCCAAACCATTTTAGGATTATTTCAAGAATGATGTATTTGTAAAGATAAAGAAAAGAAGGCTGAGCCTTCAGTTTGTATCTTCATGAAACCGTTTCTTCTGAGCAACCTGTCTGCTTTCTGCAACAGAAGCAGTCTGTATTCTAAAGTACAAAAACTTCTATGATTGCATAATAGCAAATTATTAAAATTAAAATCCTTTCCTAAACATACTAGCAAAATACTAGCATACTAGCATACTAACATACTAGCAAATACTAGCAAAATAAGTAAATGGATCACAATTTTTTAGAAGATTTAATCATTAAGTTTAAATTTAGTAACAGGAAACTTTATTTCTTCTTGTGCACGTTTTTCTTTATACTGTGAAAAATTTTGCCATGTTTTGATAGAGATCTTCATAGGGAAAATATAAATAAAAAAACCAAAACAGAACAACACCTCCCTCACCCAAACCCAAACCTGTCATTGCAAGTCAGAGATCTGTGTCTTTATGGAAAGTGTTTGTGGATGGTGTACTTGGAAGCTGTGAGGTGGAAGGAGGGCAGGCAGGTAAGGATACATAGCTGGGATCAGAACACATGTATCTGTAAGGTAGCTTGCTCTCCTCCTGGCAGAGCTTGCCCATAGGGTGTTACTTGTGTGTGGATGTAGGCTCTGGTGTTCTTTGTGGTGCGTACTTGTTCACTTCCTCTAGTCGCTGTTTAAAGGACTGGAAACATGTCAGACCAACAGATGTCACAGACATCTTAATTTGGCTTCTTTAAAGGTGCAATAGATTAATGAATCTGACTGTATAACTCAGCTTGAAGCCTTCACACTGTTTCATTTTTGTGGGCCCGGTTAGGTTCTCCATGACCTTATTGCTAAATTAGCAACTCCTGTCATTCTCAGAGTTACATTCAGTGAGAGAACTGGGTGTTAAGAAAGAAAACTATCAGACTTTATTTTTGACATGCCTTGTTTCTTTTTCCTCTCAGATTCTCTTGCATGTTTTAATGGAGGGGAGTGTGTGTACCGAGAGCTGTGCAACTGCAGTCGATTTAACGCGACGGGGCCGCGATGCCAGACAGGTGTGCAAAGAGAGAAATCTGACTGGGTTCCTGGGCTTGCACTCGTGTTCCCACAGCTACAATGACTACTCTCTGCCTAAAGCTTCCCTTCATGCTGTAGCATTTTCTCCCTCCCTTCTTTTATGTCATTATATTCACAGCATGTGGCATGCACTGCTCCACCTCGGCTCCTGTCCGTATCCAAAAAACAGCGCTGTGTCTCAAGTGACTCTCCTTTTGTTAGTGTACAACACAGGTGCTGAAAGAGATCATATATGCAGGACATGGGGCCAGTATAACTTTGAAACTTTTGATGGACTCTATTACTACTTTTCTGGAAAATCCACATATGCCCTTGTGAGACACGCTGAACTAGATGAACAGAGCTTTTCCATACAGGTAGGGAATGGCACTTCTATGTTCTTTTGAATTGTTGTTGAACATGCTAATAATGTATTATTTTTAGGAGATTAAAAATAACTTGAGATGGTAATAGGGGGTTGTAAAATGTAATCTAGAGGTGATTTTAACATGATATGGGCTACGTGTTACCATAGCCTAGGATGTAAACAGCTGGAATATGTCGCTATAGAGCGCGACACGGAGCAAAGCACCAAGACTCCATCAGAAGGGTGTGCAAGAGATTTGTTACAGCAACATGTTGCTTTCATAGTTTTTCAAGATATTTACATTTACTTAACAGAAACATACATTGCCCATTGGTCATAAGAAAAAGACTAAGTTCTCAATGGGTGAACAGGGTGCCACGTCATTCTGTGAGCCAGCTGAAGTCTGTAACTTTCTACTTGCTCTCTTCCATCACGTTGTCATAGTGATAGCCTTGGTGTGTTCCTTGAGAGAGATCCGGGGCTTTCCTTATTTCCAGAAAGCCTTCGCTGGCTCACAAGAGCAGCACGAAATGTCTTTCCCACAGGATTGTCAGGAATAAGACTGATGTGTGTCTTTCCAAAACCTTCTTTGTTCACTCAGAGCTGTGAAAAGACAACTCCATGACCATGGCTATGAACTGCTCAGTTTTTTCCACAAGAGGGGGACCAAACTTCTTGTTCCCATGCAGAGTGCAGATTTGGGGGTATTAGTTCTGTTATGTGTTTATTATTAAGAATTTGGTTAAAATGTTGATTTTGTGATTTTATTTGGCAGGTGAATAATGATCCTGAATGCCATTCTTCTCCTTATTCCTGCAAAAGGTCCATTAGTTTATTCTTTTCTGGAGATGAACAGATAAGGATGAGCAGTGAAGTCACCTACAAAGGATTTGGGTAATTGCAGTCATGTTTCTCATGCTGTGGTTACACTGGAGTTAATATCATGGTACCATTTTGATAAGAGATGTAAACATGTTCTTTGGTAGACTGAAAAAGCAACCAGACCACAGCTGCAATAATTACTCTCCATTTACAGAGTTGTGTCCGAGAAAGGTGATAGCTAAATTAGTGGTATATAGAATTAAATATAATCATTGGCATTCATGATCTTTGCTGTTATTTGCAAATTTATTTCATTTAGTGGAGTTATTCAGTATTTACATCATGGATTTTCAGTTGTATGAGGAAGGCATCAGCAAGTAATTTCTTTTTAATGGTTACATTTCCTAACATAATATTATTTTTGGTTCTGTGTTGTCATTCCAGAGTAAAATTACCTTATGTTATTGGAAACCTACACATCCAGAAACTAGCTGGATACTTCCTGGTCAGGCACCAGTATGCCTTTACCCTGGCTTGGGATGGTACATCTGCAGTGTACATCAAAATGGCACCAGAGTACCTGGGCAAAACCCACGGACTGTGTGGGAACAACAATGCTGTTCTGCAGGATGATCTGGAAACTAGTTATGGTGAGTATTTAAGATACTTCCAGTTGTGCAATATTACCTTCTTAGTTTTCAGTTGTAATGCTGATTGAATTTAAGATGGGTGACTTTTGAAATGGAAAATAGGTTATGGAGGTACTTCTGCTAGATTATATTTACTGAAGAGGACCAGTTTCAGTGTAGGTGGGGCTCTTGGGAGGAAGATTTTAAAGCTGTCTTACTCAATTATCTACAATGGTATTTGTATTTCATTTTCCTGGGACCTGAAAGGTAAAATCTGCTTTTAAATGTTCACTGCCCTTTTAGAAATTTTGTGGCCTGTGGAAGCCTGAGGTATTGCTATTGGAAATAAATCAATAACTAGTAAATCAAATTAATGAAAACTGTCAAATCATGTTTGATCTGGCATTTCATATGTGCTAACACTTCCAGAAATAATCAGTGATCTTTCAATGTCAACTTCAGACACTTCCAAAAGGCTTGGCTTTCAGTAAATAGTGAGTGAAGACATCTATATAATGAGTAAGGAAAAAAAACCAACCAAAACGGGGGGAAAAAAACAGTCCTTTGAAAAGTATCCCAAGTGAGGCCATAAAAACTTCTGGAGATACTGCTTTGGGCTGTTTGACTGTTGGCTCCTGTTTAACGTGAGGATATTTCTGTAGAGCAGTCCCTCAGAGCTCAGAGTGGATGTGGTTTCCTCTGTTTTTGGTGCATTCCCCTCAGTTTCAGAAAGCACCAGCCCTGCCCAGTTAACAGTCATTACCCCCACTGATACTTTGCTCACTAAATCAAGGTTTTTATACTAACACCAAGATCAAAGGGTCATTTCCCCAGAGACTTTTCTCTCTCCTCTCACCTTTCTTAGTGTCTCCAGCACTTAAAGCTGCATTTGTAGCACAAGTGAGTGAATTCACTGTGCATGAGCTTTATCCACTTGGCTTGGGGAGCAGTAGAAGTAAAGATGTGCCAAGATATGCATTTTTGGGTAATCCAAGCAGTAATCAATGCCACCGCCTGTACAAGGTGGATAATAATAATGATGGATTAATTGGTTTAACCCTAGTGTGGACATTTCTACTTAAATAAGAATCACACCCATATTTGGCTAATTCAGACAATAATTTTGTACCATTGCAATGACCCAGGAGTGCCTCACTTTTCTAGGGTTTGGACTCCCTGTTGGGCATTCTATCATAAAGTAGCAGCATTGACCTATATATTATTTATTAATTTAAGATTTTTTATTAAACCTTTTCCTTCCTTTATTCCATTGATGGACTAAGGCAGGCGTAGTCCTTCTCCCTTAAATCCCTTCTTTGCCAAGTTGCTTAAGCTGTTTTCTGCCACCTGAAAACCCACTTCTCTAGTTCCTTTTAAAAGTATTTTTTTGCTTCTTGAAAGGACCAGATTGATTTCAGCTGATTCACTTGGTATTGGGAAGGGTTAGGTGTTCTGTTCTTGGTGTGCTTTGATTATTGAAACGTTTCCCTGGGAAATCCTATAGAAACACTGTTGTTCTTTGAAGTGACTGTGTGATTCTGTGTGTGTATCTTGTGTAGGAAAGCTGACAGATGATGTAACAGAATTTGTAGAGAGCTGGCAGGAAAATCCTCCACAAGGAACACCTGACTGGGACAAATCTCTTCTCAGTGAGCCACCGTGCCTGACACAAAGCCACGAATCTCTGCAGGTTTGGATCAACACAAAAGGGTTATTGACATAGCTGGTGATTCTAATTGGAGCAAGAATTTGACTTAAATTATTCACTGAAAATTCAAATTGACAACTTTTAAAGCTTTGAAGGAGACTGGAAATATTAGCATCTTTTTTGGGAGAGATTAATTAAAATGCTTGCTGCAAAAGGTCTTCCCTTGTCCTCTCATCACGCACTGCCCTTCCCTTTCTTTTGTATTTAATTCTTGATATGTTCCAATATTATGCTGTCTGCATAGCAGCCAAAAGAACTGCTTGACTATGAAGCTGAATGAGTCACAAGTTGTAAAATGTGGGATTCTTCTAGAACTTATCCATAGGAAGGATAGAAAGAAGCAGGGAAGCAAAACCAGAGTCAGAGCATTATTTGCTCTGTCATTATTTGCCAGTGTTTAAAAAGAGAATTATTGTTGCTTTTTTCCATGACTTTGAAGCAGTTTTTCCTTTTAATTAGTATTTTCAGGATACAACCCTTAAAGTGCTTTGAAGCTAAAGCTGGTGCCAGCTATGGTTTATTTCTCTTGCCTTTTACTGTATAATTCAATTGAAATGAAGGCTTTTTCAGATTGTCTTGGCTTAGTTGCAAAATTATCTGTGCCCTTTTTGGGCACTGCTATGACCTTGGATGAAAGATTCAATGTTATGGAAACTCTGACATGGAGAGCAATGTATTACTAAACTCTGCTTCTGTTTGGTGAGAGGAAAGTGATTCCTAGACACAGACAGATGTCTATTCTGATTTTCCAGAGCATTCTATTTTATTCTGCTTATGTTTATTTTTGCAAACCTCATTACAACAGCTGTCTCTTTCATTTCAGAGGGCATATGCTCTGTGTAATATCCTGTTACATCCCCCATTTAAACAATGTCATGAGTATGTGAGTCCTCTTTCTTTTATGGCAAGCTGCACAAATGACCTCTGCATGTAAGTGAATGTTTTTGGGTAATTCAAAGCTTTTATAAAAAAAAAAAAAAACCACAGTCCTTTTGTCATAAGAATGAATTATAAATATTAAATGAACTGATTTGTGACATTCTCTGCATGTAAGTTGGTAATTCAAAGCTTTTATAAAAAAAAAAAACATGGTCCTTTTATCATAAGAATGAATTATAAATGTTAAATGAGCTGATTTGTGACATTTATCTAACATTGTTCTGTTATTTTACTTTTCTCATTTGTTCTGGTTTTACCACTGTGGAATGCTGTGGAATTGTTCCTGTTTTCTTTGGTATAAGAATGATCAAATTCAGGCCCAGATATTTTCCAGTTGTGTTAGTCTGTCTCCTTTGAATATGTCATCTGTTTTGATTCTGAGTGTGCAACATCCTTAGGTGCTTTCTGCCGTTCTAAAGCCTCTTACTATAGTGAAAAGTCAGAGTCAATGGGCAGGTTTGGCTTCTGCATGCTGTATGGTCATCCATTGAAAAGAGGAATTTGATAACCATTTGAACTTATGCTAACATTTCATAATCTGCTATACTCCTGTTCTGAGCAGTTTTGACTAGTTAAATTAAAAAAAAATAAGGCAGGTCAGAAGATAATTTCCATTTCTTGTACCCTGGTGGCTCACTGGTAGAAATTTTACACTTCCTTCTTGTGACTTTTCTGCAAGATATTACTCCTGTAAAAATTAAGAGCTTTACTGAAGTCTCCCTATACTGCTGTATTTCAGGCTTTTGTGGAGTTATTCAGGGAAATAGTGTCAGGTCTCAAAAGTATTGAAACTTACATTGATGACCTCTCTTCGAGGGTGGCAGGCAGTTTTTACCATTTTAAGACTTTTAACCCAGTCCAACAGCAGAGTACCTTAGAACATTGTTAAATTAGATTCAAACAGCAAGGCTGAATGCAGTGCAGGAGCATTCATGAGGTTATGATGGTGTGTTTGAACGGAGGTATAAAATATGTCACCTTTTGTTTGTGTAAGGTCAGCAGCTGATGATGCAACTTGGTGTCGAGCGCTCACCGAGTACGCCAGAGCGTGTGCCCAAGCAGGAAAGCCACTTCATGGATGGCGTCTGCACTTCCAGCAGTGTGGTAATGCCCCTGCTCCTCTACTTGGAAATGCTGCTTGGTCCTTCTGTTTTGAAAAGGCTGCCCTTCATAGTTTCAGTTCTTTGCCTTTCTCCAATTTTGGGCTCATATAATTCATAATGAAATGATTAAGTGAGTCAAACTCACTTCAAGGCTACATAAATGCAATGGATTTTCTCTTTAATATGTGCAATTTGTACTGAACTTTTTAAAATTTTATTACAAGGTGATTCTTTAAGATGGTTAAACATTTTTATTTTCATGGAGCTACTCTTTCAAATATTGCCAAAGTTTTCATGGCTTTGTGATATATAAAATGTATGTCACGAGTGTTAAAATCAAATCTAAATTGCACTTGCATAAGACTTCATCTTACAAGTCACATAATGTAAGTTTGAAAGATGTTATCTGACTTGGTTGCCTGCCTGGAACACAGGACCAAAACTGCTTTGTCATCCATGATGGAAGATTTCCACTGTGGTTCCAAAAAATCTCTGTTAATGAGTGTCCTGACTGCTTCTGATGATGGTCTGGGAATCTAAATAGCTCTCTGCTGTGATAAAGTATGGTTTAAGATTATTCCTGCTTGATGCACCTTTAATGGAGAGAATGTGAATATGTAAATATGTGCCAGTCCTCTCTGTGTTAGGAAAGCCATTGTTTTAGACATCGTTTAGTGTTTATCTAGAGAACAGATACTCAACTGACATGCCAGAAGATAGGTCCCTGAAAGGAGCATGTGCAATCCATTGGTGCCCTGTGACAGTAGCTCTAGACCTTTTCATTTCTCTGTCTGTTCCTGTGTTTCAGTCATTGCCTGTGCTGAGCCCTTGGCCTACAGTGAATGCATCAGCTGCTGCCCTGTTTCCTGTCACCAGCAGTCCCAGTGCATTGGCAGTGAGCTGCACTGCGTTGATGGCTGCTACTGCCCAGATGGTGAGTTCTGCTCCTCAGGGACACACCTGCTTCCACACAACGTTCAGGTTGTTCCTCCCCAGGTTTGCATCCCTCTCTGACCTACCCAGATTGAAAGCAGGAGCTCTTTATAAACTGAGTGCCAACAGTGTGGATAACTGACCTTGTTTTCCTTACTGACAGGAGCCTTTTCCTCCCTCTAGAAAGTAGGAATAGGTTTCAGCTCAGGTCCACATTCTAGCTGTACAGCTACACAATTCCAGTGACAAATGGGATTTGCTCTGTTATTACAGGGCAGGCATCCTCCTGCTTGTGGTGGTTGCTGTTTGTTTCTTGTTGGTTAGGGGGAGGATTATTTTGGTGGCTTGGGTTCTTTTGTTTTACATTCTTTTTCCTGGTTAGGGTGCTTAGAAAAGCTCAAAACCATTGCATAAATAAAACTGATTCCTGTGGCCAGGAACAGGTTTTGAAATTGAGGCTTTTGGATTGTTGTACCATTCTGGCAAGTGAGGTCTTTAGCAGTGTGGTCTGTAGCAAAACTTTGCCCTCATCACCAAATTAGATTTTGATATCCAGTTTTCCCCTAGTTATTGGCTTCTGTTTAGTACCAAATTCCATCTAAAAGAGGACAGAGAAAGTTATGCCATGGGTCTTCAAGTCCTGCCTCTTATATGTATCCTGATTATTTATAAGTTTAATCATATTTGTCATAAATTATGTCTTTTATGGTAAAGCCTTTTTTTTTTCCTGGTCCTCTAGTAAGAAAAAAAATTATAGTAATAAGGAAAAAAGGCAAAAATAAAATCAGTAAAATGAGGACCATAGAGGCAAAGATTTGTAGATGTGTTAGAAAATAAGCCAAAGGTATTCAAAGCAGCATGGCCTGTATGTTTGGGTTTGTTATTTTGTATATGTGTGGTTTCCTCTCCTTCTCACCCAGTAATTAAATATTAGGGTTTTTTTAACTATGTTTACTGTATCTCAAGAAATTTAGTGTCTTGATCCCTGTAATATAATTTATTTAATATAATTCAAATGCACTTCTTTTGGTGAAAATGACTAACAAATAGTCTCGAGATTTATTATCATACTGAAATTACCATTGGGGTTGTTTTTGTATATAATTGTTAGTGCTCTGTCAGCCATTGTCATGGATATTTCACTTTTTTCTTGTTATTTTATTTCTTCTAGGCTTAATTTATGAAAATGAATTGTGTGTCAAGCCTATGGACTGTCCTTGTGACTACCATGGAAGTTTCTTTGAAATGGGTTCAGTGGTTTATGAAGAATGTAATAACTGGTAACTTTTCTTACCACATTGTGAACTAAATCTTTTAATGGTCATATGAAACAGATTCTTCAAGGCCTATTTCACTTAGGAATTGGATAAACTTGATAAGTACTCACTGTTTCTGCATAAAAAAATTCTATTCTGTGTGTGTTTTGCAATTAAGGAAAAGATAAACTATTAAGCTGTTCATGTGGAAGAAGGGAAAATTGCAAACATTGCAGAGAATACTGTAGTATTTAGTGCTGTTTTTCACTTTGGATTCTCCCTTAAAAATAAAAAGAATCTAGAATTCAAAATCTTAACAGGAGAACTATGCTGAGTTTTTCTCCTGTTTGTATGGTCTCATTGGACATAAAGAGCCTAATGTAATTGTGACAGTAAGCTGCTGTTTTGGAGTTTAAGTGAATTTTATGAATTGAAAATAAAAAATTACAGGAAGAGAAAGTGCCTTTTATTGGATCACCTTAAGTGAAGAAAATGGATGAGCTTACAGATGTGTGGCTTTTTTTTCCCCCCAATAATTCTTATCTGTAGAAGTCATAAGATTCAAATTACTTGTGTTTATTCTTCTCAGTGTTATTAATCCTTAACTTTTCTAATGGTTATTAAAGAGCTAAAAAGAAATGGTAGTGGCACTGGGTGCATGGATGAAATTTCACGTGATCATGTCCTCATGACAAGCTTCCAGCCATGAAGACAGTGCTAACTCTGTTGTACCCTTGTCTAAGGCTCTAGACACTTGGTGCTCATTCCATAGAGAAGGGATGCAGGAAGAACAGCTCAGGGACAGTTGTGTATAATTCACAGAATAAAAATATGAAAACTTTTTGTTTTTATTTCAGCACCTGCAGTGGAGGAAAGTGGATCTGTACAAATTTTACGTGTCCAGGTATGTGAAAATCTCAAATACTGTTTGATAAGTCAATTCTTACTTCAGTAAATATTACTTTTAGATGTTAATATGATGTTTCATTATGTAATTTGCATTTTTACTTCAATCCACACACTCAGTAGATTAAATATTAAAATAACTTGGCTTATCAGTTAAATGTGTTGATGTTTCTGAAAATCAGTTTTAAGAGCCACAGATCAAATACCCATAATATATAGATGACAGATATTATTGCCTCCTTCTGGGGGAGGAGCTGTTCAGGTATCCTGGCTGGGCATCAGTAGGAACTCCATAACAAAAACAAGGGAAAGTTTTGTTTCCTAATACCTGGCTGTAATATAAATACAATTTTGTAAGCTATAGAATGTATCAGAGTGTATGAACTCTAAGCAGTAATAACTGTGGAGAATTACTCCACATAATTCTCCACAGAGAATGCTGTCTTTACTGCAGATTTAGGTGCATTACTTATGATGTTTTTCAGCTGAATGCTCAGTTTCAGGAGACACTCACTTCATGACCTTTGATGGGCGCAAATACACTTTCCAAGCCACCTGCCAGTACATCCTGGCAAAGAGCCGCACGTCTGGAACGTTCACCGTATCCTTGCAGAATGCTCCTTGTGGACAGGTAGGAATGCTCCTTGTAACCTTGGTCCTGAAGGGTCTGTTAATTGAGGGGAAAAAAAAACATTGAAGAAGAAAAGCAAGCTACAAGCCTATGCATGTGAATAGCTGATACTAAGGGAGCTATTCAAGATAATAATTAGGGTGGTCTTATTTTATATTTGACAGTTTCTGAAGCTGTGTACAGGCATCACCAAATATTTTGTCTGCCTTATGTCCAAGACCCATTCTTTCCTCTATTTTGTGTATGCATTTCTGAGCATGTATTATAAAACCAGGTGTGAGGTGTGGAACACTTGTGAGGTTTTTGACTACAAAGTTTCTTTTTTTTTTTTGGTCTTGATAGGGCTTATAATTTTCAGGAAGTTATGTCAAGAACAGGTCTTAAAAATACATACATGGTATGGGAGGTGCAGGTGACTGAGCTCAGCTGTTTTCTGGAATCAGGCTTTTCTCGCTGTCTGAGTTCTACATGTGCATGTAAGGGCAGGATTTGACCCACATTTATAATATAAGTCATGATTACCAAGCTGCTGGACTTGCAGTAGGAGAGAGTTTGTATCTCAGCCAGATTTATGTTCTGTCTCCAATGGCCTTCTGCAGTAGTTTTTATTTAGAAGCAACTGTGCAGGCATGTGAAGAGTATATAGCCTTAAATATGACTTTGCTGTAATTCTAGACCATCTGTATATATTAGGCCCACATTATTACATAATTCACATAAAATCAGATTTAGAGCCATTGCTTTGTACTTCTGTGGAGGTAACTACATCAGATTTCTTTTTATGTTCTAAGTAAATGTATGATTCTATAAGTCCTTTTGCATTAATGATTACAGTCACTCTTCTCTGCAGTTTCCATTGTTCATGCACTTGAGATTTCCTTGGGGAAATGAAATGGTTATATAAGTTGTCATGCTACACTTTCAAAAGGTGTATTTCAGTAGTCGTTTTCTATTTCTGCATTTTAGCCTACTTCTCTGGAGGATAGAAAAGACTTAAGTAGAAAGTTAGAATGAAGTTGCAGTGACAAGTTCATTTTAATAGAAATTATTTATTGTCAATCCAGGTAAGAGACAGGAGACTGAGTGCAGGGGAGTCCCCTGATCTCGGTGGTAGAAGTTGGGAGTAAGAAAAATAGTTTAACTGGATAGAGACCAAATATATATTTAAGCAATTTGATGATCCAGAAATAAATGTCTCTTCTGTGGTTCCTAGGAGGATACCAGGTGAGATATGTGATAGGGCCTAGAAGTTACCACTATTGAAAAAGTGGATTCCTGGGTAGCAAATAAAATTGCTGTATAACACTCTAGCAGCTTTTCCTCTGTGACCTAGAAGTGTTACAGGGAGGGCTGCGAAATGAAATGTTGGTAAGGACATTTAAAAAAACTTCTAGGCTTTAACCTCTGTGTGCATTATTCTTGTGATCCTGCTAGTATTTCCAGTTTATAAGAACAGGCTGTTTCAAGATGTATTTGTTTGTTGTTACAATTTCCCACTTCAAGTGCATATTTTAGTTAGCTTGGTTTCATTTTAGCAAGTTGCACTGGCTTCGTTCTGTGCTAACCTTGGAATCCTGAGGAGCTGATTAAGTTAATATCATCTCAAGTAAAAAAAAAACCAAAATAAAAGAATAGCTATGAAACAAAATATAAGCATAGGCATACATCCAGTGTCATAGCCTTAGAATTTTGCAGAGTCCAAGAAGCTTGAGAAAGGTGGTTGTGTATTATAGCTGTACTATATCATGGAAGAGAAGCAAAGGAAATCCCCAGAGAAACTGTCTAGGCAGCTTTTTTATCAAAGGAGAGTTGAGGCCAGAGTGGCTTCTTGCTGAAGCTCACAGCAAGGTACCTTGCAGTCTGACAAGGTTTTCATTGGAAAGCCCATCAATAGAGCAAATTTTATTTGTTGACAAAGTTTATATTGGAAAGCCCCTCAATAGAGCAAATACCTCCTGTGGCAGTGGGCAGAGTATGTACGTGTGTCTCATTCCCTTGTGTTAGGAATGCTTTTCTGTACAAAACAGACAGAATTGTGCTTTTTGGCTTAGTTGATGCTTTTCTGTACAAAACAGACAGAATTGTGCTTTTTGGTTTACTTGTGGTTAATTTTTGTTGAGGAAAGTCATAACCAAACTAGTTGGCTTTCTGCCTCACTGCTGAGATTGTGCAGTGCCTTGCAGTAACTCTTGCCTTCTTCAGCCTGACTTAGTGACTTTGCTTAATGTGTCTCTGTGACCAGGTGGTTTGTAGGTAAAAAACCCCAGATTTTCTTGGCTTTTACTGCATGTTCAGCTTCATACTTTACCTAGCCTTTAACAAAGGTAACCTGACCAGTCCTAGCAGGTATAGATTTCACAGAGGTCTGAGTAAAGCATTCTGGATGTTAACAGTCAGGTAGGTAATCAGCGGATTATGGGATATGTCCCAGGGCTACATGCTGCTGATTTAATTATCAGTGTACAGGTGGTAAGAGGGTAGTGAGAACAGGTTTTGTAGTATAATGCAAGTTTTTGTAGTATAATGTGGGACTTCAGTGCAGCTATTCAAGTGTCTAATTATCAACCAGCTGGTACCACTTGGCAGAGGAGCTGTCTTTCAGTTCCCCAGGCACCCTCCATTATCTTTTTCACCCATTTATTAAAATTAATGAATTGAAATAGGAAGCTAAAAGATTTGCAATGTGGAATCTCATATTTCTTGATGGTTTGAGATTTTATATGCTTCTTTAAAAAAGCCTTATCACTCCCATCTCATTCAAGCAGACTAGAAAATGTGGAAAGAAAATACCTGGGGAGATTTTAGCTTTCTGAATCACAAAGAATCCAGTCATCCTGAGCCTTGGAGTTGGTGACATAAACAGTCATCAGGCAACAAGTTATTTCAAAATGATGTGAAATTTTGTTTAAGCACTTTCTGGAAGGAGAATCAGTCAAGTGATCAGCACAGCTTAACCTTATCTGAGTTTCAGGTGACAGCCTCACTGGCTTTGTAGTTTGTAGGATGAGAATATCTTCTGAATATAGATTTTTTTCTTTTTTTTTTTCTTTTTTTTTTTTTAAGTATCTAGTGAGAGAAATGGCCATTCCTGTGAAAACACTTGCCAAAAGCTGGCAGAGGCAGTGCTGTGAAAGAAAAAGTCTACTGGAACAGAGAACAATTGTCAGGCAGAATTTCTCCTTCAGTTTAAGGCTGAAGGAATAATGAAGCTTTTGTCGAAACTGTGTAGTAATGTATATACTGTGGAGGGTTGTTTTCTTGGTTCTCCTCTGCTCTTCATGCCACCTGCCATTCTTTAACTTCTTAAAAGACCAACAGTATTGTCAGTCTGTAGCTATTGTTGCTGAATGAAATGCACAGAAACCTAATTTCTTGGTAAAGAGGCAAGGCAGCAAGATCAACTACAAGTACATGGTTTCACGAGGCAGATGTCTGTCTTCACTGTCACTCCAGGAGAGCGGGTTGAGCTGATAAAATATCTCGTTATTTTTATCATTTCCCATTTTTAAGTTTGATTTCATCATTTCATCTGCTGGTGAGAGATCACTGTTGCATTATCTAGAGACAGCGAAATTCTGCATTCGTTTCTTTATCTTTACACACCACTGTGTCCATGGTATTTGAAAAGCTGTCAGGTGATCTGCTCTGCTGCTAATTCAGCATCTGTCAGAGCCACAGGGTTCTGTCCTGAGATCCTTGCAGCACTAGGAATGGTTTTCAACAAGCAGGACAACATTTGCCCTGGATTAGACAAGTCCCAGTGAAGGTCAGAGTTGAACAAAAGCGTAAATCTTTGAGCTGAGCATTCTGATCTCTTTACACCATGAACAGTGCTATTCACTGTATAATTTTGATGTTTGTGCAACTGTCCAGATCTTGACTATATCTTTATCACTGCCACTTTCAGCACTGAAGATGCTTAAAGATTTACTGTTTCATCATTAGTTGTTCCTTCACTGGAGGCAGAGGGGCTGAATAATGCAGCCTCCAACACCTCTGGAGGTTATTCCTTGGCTGCAGCACAGTTCCAGATCCAATCAGTGTGGAATGTTCTGGAGGGAGACCTAGACTGTTCTTTGGCCAAGTGATTTCAGACACGTCTGTATATGTTCTGGTATATAAGACTGTTTTAAATTTGTGCTCAAAATGGATTTGGTAAGAGATGTTTTTGTTGCAACACTGAGATATTGAAGATTTGTAATCGAGATGAGAGGAAAATGAACAAATAGTCTGACAAGAGCAGACCCAATTTTTGTCATTGCTCTGGAATAGCTGTGAAATGGTTACAAGGTCTTACAGTGAAGGAGGCTGAACAGAAGAAACAAGAGCTGGATGCTTCCCCTCTTGTCTGCAGATGGCAGGGAATGGACAGTCTCTTAACTTTATCCAGCCACACTAAGCCAGTGGAAGTAATTTGGTGTCTCAAGCTATGGTAAAGAGATTTGAGTGTAGTAGGAGTGTCAGAAACCCAATTTCCTTCTGGAGCAATGACAGAATAAAATGTAGACTGGGATTCTCGTGTCTTTCAGCATGTGACAAGGTCAGTGCTGACATGGGGAAGTTTGAGTCTTCTCTTGATCCACCTTTGCACCTGATTGTCTTTGATAGAACATTTCTCTTTTTTAAAAAAACCTAAATATTGATCAAAATCATCCTGTAAAGAAAAATGTTAATCTGCTGTAATTAATGTACATACTTTAATAAGCATTCTTTCCATACTGACATAGGAATTGGAAGAACCTGTAGTTATTCTGGAAAGTGGAAGTCCTGTCCTGAAAATTTTGATTGTAACTGAATTCTGTTACACCTCTCTGTTAATCACCTCTCTGACTCATTTCCATGTTACTTAATAGAGGTATATTTGTTGTAGAATTTCAGTTAATTAGCTGCTTTTGGTACTGTTGAAATGAAGTTTCACTGAAGAGTCTGGGTGTAAAAAAAGTAATCAGGATTGATCTAGGATTTTTTAAGAAGATTTCATCCACACTGCAATGCAGTATTTATACTCTTGTGTTTTTCTATGTGACATTTTGACTTGGAGAAGTGAAATGCAAATAAGAATAAGCAATGGTAGCAGCAATAAGTAAGCTGGGTCAGTTGGATGTTGTGATATTATATGCTGGCATGATGCTGCCTTTATTATCAATATTCAACTACAGAGCTTACGAACATGTTCCATTCTACAACTCCCCTCAGAAATAACGAACTTAAGTTCTGTTTTAAATAATGATGCACAAGATGTTTTTTTCATTAATGCTTGCCTTTAAAATAATGTTATGTCTTAAAATATGCTTTAGAAGAACCTGGATGTATCAGCACACGTTAAAGTACAAATCTGGAGTTTGCTGCACTGCTCAGCAGATAGTGCAGCCTTGTTAGTGAGCATCAACTCAGCCTCAGTGGGCCTTTAATCGAGGTGTCTCATGAATTGTGTGTGTCTTGGTACTGAGCTGTGTGGGAATTGTTTAAATTTCTTGTTCCAAATCCCGCTTCTGTGCTGTATTTGCATAGCATGTTAATGTCATTATTAAACACATATGGGAAATCATTCAGGATACTGATTTTTCTTACTTAGCTGTAAGGCTGCATGTTTCCTAAGTGTGTATCAAAATTTTCAATGCCCACTAAGTATAATTTTTGTTGCTTGCTTTGCTCTCACTTGCAGAACCAGGATGGATCATGTATCCAATCTGTCAGCCTTATTCTTAAGCAGGACCCCAAGAGGCAAGTGACCCTGACCCATTCAGGAGATGTTTTGATCTATGACCAGTACAAAATTAACCTGCCTTATGCAGATGGTAAGGAGTAATACATAAGCATATAACTCTTATCAAACACTAGACCAGTATTTCAATGGCGTTTGTGCATGTTGTGGTACTGTCAGTATTGCTAACACACTGAAGTTAAAAGGCATATTTTAGTGTAAACATTGTTATTTCTTATGAAATGCTTCACAAATTAACTTTTGGTGTATTTTTTACACTAGTGGTAGAAGTTGTGCAGTAGCTGCATTAGGATAGCTGTTTCTTACATTAAGATTTTGTTTATTTTAACAAGTCCAAATGCCATCCCTCACATTTGCAAGGTTTTTTAGTTCTTGCCTGAGGGGAAATTCTTTCCTCTGATTCTTGAATTGAATAATTTCTTCCATTTTTGTAAGTAACTCACATAAATTTAAGCAGGAAGAACTCTACTGCCCCTTAGAGATGAGCTACAGATTTTCAGACAAAAAACTTTTTATTTTGCTTTGAGTTTTTAAATCTCACTGTCCTGGATATGTGTGGCATTCTGCATAGGTATATATGACTATGAGACTCAGTGTTATCTTTAATGAGAGTTTTATTTGCAAATCATCAGTACGTTTAGCACATTTGATTAGTACATTTAGTACATGTGATGTCTAGGCCTTGGCTCTTTGGGAATTTCACAAAAAAGATTTTAATGTAGGAATTATGTTCCGGGCTTTAGGATTAGTTTGTCTTCAAAAAAATGGTCTGCAATGTTCATATCTTTACATGGATTTAGTTTAGTTTACCTTTGTGGCTATTTCAGTGAACTCTCAGTGCATTTTAAACAAGGGTGATGAGTCTCACAAGTGTCTTGTTTTGCTCCTAAAATTTCAAAGATTTCTTCTTTCACAAGAAATCAATGTTAAGAGGAAAATAGGGCCTTAATAGCAAAAAAAACTTACATAAAAGTGATATAAACCAACACCAGTGAAATGACAAGAAACAAAATGTAAATTTCAAGCAGGTTTCCTTTGCCTTTCAACAATCTCTGTTTTTACTCCCCAGAGTTTTTTGAAATACGGAAACTGTCCTCTGTATTTCTGCAAGTGAAGACCCAGATTGGGTTACAGATCCTCTATGACAGAGAAGGACTGAGGCTTTACCTTCAAGTGGATGAACGGTGGAAGGACGACACCGTGGGCCTTTGTGGAACCTTCAATGGAAACACAGAGGATGATTTTCTGTATGCAGAGCTGCAAGATTTCTATCTGCCAGTATATGAATATCTGTAGTTGAAGTGTTGGATCGAGTGTGTACTGAAGCCGAAAAGAGAGATACCAAGAATAATTTATTTTGAAGTTTTTCATTAGTGAGATAGATAGTAGGGTTCAGTTTGCTAACAGAAAATCTGTAGCTTCAGCTACAGGATATCAAGCCTTGTTTTGCTAGAAATATTTTAATATAAAATTCTAGTGAAATATATGTGATGCACAAGGGCTATTTTACCAGAAAAACGTTGTCCAAAATATAGCCTATATACAGAATGTTCTTCCTCTCTGCAAGACTCCATCTCTTTCCAGCTCCTATTTTCTCCTGTGAGTCCTGATCTGTCTGTGACAGAGCCTCCATTGTTCAGTGCCTGCAGACCAGCAACAGGAATTGGCTGCTGCCTGAGCTTCCCATCGTTCTGATGCAGGGAGAAGTGCTCAGAGCTGCCTGAGCACCGCGGTCAAAGCTGCTGTTTGCCCAATTTTTTTGCAACATGTATCTCACAGACACTAAAGAACAAATTGGCTTCCTGCGGATTAGAGTAGCCTAATGGAGCTGGGAGAAGAACACAATATAGGACACAACAGGGTAAAAAAAGGAAATAATAGAAGAATTATATGCTCTCAGAGCAGCTGGAATTTTCTAACTCAAAACTAATAGGAAAATGGAAAATTTTCCATTGTCGTTCCCATTTAAAAAGACAAATACACAAATATACCAGTGGAATATTGAAGAGTTTGTGTTATAGATTAAAAAGCATTATCAGGCTATTTATTATTTATAATGAGACTAGGAAATACATAGGCAGCATCTCAATGAAGACATATTATTTATGTAAAGCTACCTAAAATATTTCTCTGTTTGACATATAGTTTTGTAGTTTATTTTTGACAACAGTCTTTGGATTGCTCTCATGCAGATGTGAAGCTGTACAATATTTGTTAAAAAAGACCTTAAACCTGGGGTCTTACAAATTGTTCTCAGACATAACACAGACTGTGGTATCGAGGCATCTTGATACAAACAGAACCTGATCCACAGCAGATTTGGGAGACCTGCCATGGGCAGAGGTGTCTCTTGCAGCACCTTCACTCCCAGCTGCTTTAGCAGTGGCCATACTCCTGTTTGCGTGCCTCATGCAATCTTTGCCCTCAAGTAGAATGCTCCATATTTAAATGCACGGTTCTGATCCTTCTCTCTGTACAACATTACTGTGCCAGGGTTATTTTGATCGAAGTCTTTATCGTTCAGCTTCTGTTTCCTAAGCCTCACAGGCGTCTGTTCAATTGCTTTTGCAGTTATACTTCTGGAGGCTTGGGTTTCTTTTCTCTTTCCTACAAGGAATAAAGGGCCTGGGAAATCAGCAGACAGGAAACTATAGGTAGAGGAGAGATTAAAAATGGATTGGATACCACTAAGGAACCAAAAGGACAAATAAGAGAGTTCAAACTATCAGGGCAGTGATGCTCCCTGCTCTCTTATAAGAAAGGAATTTTGTATATTTTGAACTTTGCTTCCTTGAAAGTCTCTAGGAGACATCTTCTGTTTTGTTTCTGAGCCTCTACAAATAAAGGAGTCCTGAAACTAATGATGATAGTTCTATGGGTGAGTGAACAAGAATATGGAATAGTGAGAGAAGAGCTTGAATCAGAGGGTGTAAAAACTGAGGCCATTCTGCAAATTCACTATGCCTTGTCTGACTGACTTCTGTTTTGTGAAAGATCTCCAGTTGGAGTAACAGAAAGCACTCCAGAGCTGTTTGGAAACACGTGGAAGACTTCATCGGCGTGCGTTCTTGTGCACGACAGCTCACAGGTGGATCCGTGTGATGTTCATCTGCAGGCAGGTGGGCAGTGAAGGCAAATTCTTACTGACAAATGCATTTCTACTTAGTACATCTGCTGTGCCCATTTTCCTAGTTGGATCAGGTACAGTAATAACCAGTCCCATCCATTAAAGAAATTAGTACCTAGGAGTAGTACAGAGGCTGCTCAGTTCACTCCCCTTAAAAATTCACATTGTGTATTGTTTGAGGATTTTGTAATACTTGCACTGGTGTTTGAAATAGATAATTTTTATTTCTGGTTTGCAGTTACACTGTGTTAAGTCAGACATGCATTAAAGTTTGATACAATGTCTTGTGTTGGTGATGCTGCTAGTTAAGATGGAGCCTCAACACTATTGCAGTATTCATTTTTGAGAATGCTGAAAAAATCTAAATACTTGGTTTAGTTGTCTACTGTGGAAGAGAATGAGAAGGATAAAGATGCTTATGCTCTGCCAGCCTGTAGAATTAGCTGAAAGAGAGCATCCAGCTGGGATAACATGCAGGTGGCTGATGCTGTGAGGACCACAGATGGTCACTAAGTCATCAGTTATATCTATTTCACAATTTCTACCGCTTCTTGTATTGACACTAAGCACTTGTAAAGACTGCAGAGGTAGAATATTAAAGTTTTCCCCGTGATTTTCAGCAGTGCTAGGGAATGGTCAAGTCTCCTGCTACAACATCACTTGTCTTTTGAGTATTTACACAATGTGCTGTGTTAAAAAGTTGCATTCTTGGTAACAGATTGGGACATGAATGTTAGTCCTTCTGTACAGCTGTATAGATAACAAAGATAAAGAGACTTATGTGGCAGTGATATATAACCATGATTGGTTGCATTGTGTAGAAGACACTTTTTGTTCCAAGTCTTTTTAAACTCCCTCACTGAAACAGTTTTTAATCTGTTATTTGTGTAGCCTCTTATGCAGCGGAAGCTTGTAGCATCCTTACGAAAGATCTTTTTGCTCCATGCTACCCCTATTTGAGTCCTGTTCCCTATTTTGAGCAGTGCAGAAGAGACACTTGCAAATGTGGACAGACTTGTTTTTGCTCTGCTCTGGCCCATTACGCTCATCACTGCCGAAGGTTTGGAGTTGTAATAGATTTCAGAGGAGCTGTCCCAGATTGTGGTGAGTTTCCTGTCACTTCTAGACTTAAATAATTAGTGCCTGAGGACTTTGTAGACAACCAGCAAATAAAAATTAAATCAATACAATCCTTTAAATGAGAGAAGGATTAATTCTAATTAAGTGTAACCTTTTGCACACAAGACAAGGTTCTTTTTTTTAAAAGAGTGTTCTGTCAAGACAGAATTTGTACCAGCGCTTTTAGGGGATTTTTCCTTTATAATTTCCTTTCTGTAGTTCTTTGACTTATGAAACATTATAAATATTTTGAAAGTAGTCAGAGGGCTTCAAATGTATACAGAATTCAAAATATGTCAGTCCTTATTTTATGGCATTGCATATTTCACACTCTATAGATATTATTCATGAACTGCATAAGTAGATTTCTTTGCCTTGTAGATGCTAGGTTTATCTAATTCTTTAAGTGAACAAGATGAAGAATTAAGTATTAAGCAGTTTTAGTTGGATTGTCTGCTTCTGCTGTCTAACAATCTCTTGGCTTATTCTCTTGCTGTCAGTGACACTGAAATACACAAAGTGCTGAAGCAAGTGTTGAAACTTGGTGTTGTAATTTAGTTTAAAATGAATAGAAGATTATAGAATGTATGTATTTTTATAGATAAAGGTGATGTCTATTAACTACACCATAAATCCTCACAAGCAAAGCATAATATTAAATTCCTTAGTTTATATTAAATTTCAGTGATGCAAAAGATATTGATAGGGCATGTTGGGGCCTCACATATATTTTAAAAAATATAGAATTGGAAACCCTATCAAGCAACCTGAAATTGACACCCCTGATGTAGGTCTGGCTCTGTTAACAAGTCTGAGAATCTTTTCAAAGGAGCATTGAAGAACTTAACATTTAGCAGTTGTCATCACGTCATGTAATTATGTGTTTTAATGCATGATAAAGAGGATTAAGTTGGTCCAGCTTAACCATCTTAAACTGGAGTGTCTGTATGTATATCTGACAAGGCTGCCTTGTTTGCATTTATTAGGGCATGAATGGCTGTGTCCACTTATGATGGAATGAGTCACTCAAGCCATTTGATTTTATTTTACTTTTTTGGAAACAAATATAGTTTTCTTACAGTATATTTAAAAAGTCATTGAAGCATTGAAATATGTTAATCTATTAGTATTTCAAGAGCTTCCGTGGTTTTTTTAGTAGAAGTTTATAAGAGACAGATATATAGGTATATATATATAAAGAATATTTAATATGGTATTGTGCAACATCTGCAAAGTAGATGCTTTATTTAAAGCTTTTAAGCATTTTATTAAAACCTTTTAAGATTTTCTTTTAAGGTGCTGTGCATTTCCAAAAGCCCAGGCACAAATGCCAAGTGTTTTTAGAGTTAGAGGTAAAAAGGCTTCAGCTGTTTGCTTTCCACGGTGTAAATCTGGATTAACTGCACAGACTCACTGCACTTGTTATTACTGTGGATTTACATCTGTGTAGTTTACACAGCATAGTGCCAAGATAGCAATTTTAGCAGAATTTAATGTGATTGGGAACAAAATAATGGAGATGTTTATCAGAAAACTGTTGGGAGGTCCTTGAGTCTCTTGCTCCGTAATTTGAGAGATTTGTTTCGTTTGGACAGCTCTTTCATGTCAAGACACAAAGGAGTACAGTACTTGTGTATCTACCTGTGGCAGAACCTGCCAGGCACTGTCTGTGCCAGAGACATGCAGCAGTGATTGCGTTGAAGGCTGTGCTTGTCCCTCTGGAATGTATTTGGATGCCAGGACTGAGCGATGTGTGCCGAGGTGGGTAAAGTTGCACTTCTGATAGCCACACTCTGTGGTTTCAGACCACCACACTTGCAAGTCAGAGTGGAAAACTAATTACCTTGAGCCCTTCTAGATGATATGCATCTGTAAACTTGACAGGGTCTCAGAATTATGCAGAACTAGTGTCTGTGTTGATAAAAAATAGCTTTTCTATGACATGGACACTCATCCAACATCATCAGTGCTTCTTAATTGCTACTTTGTCTGATTTTTGGCGTGTGAGAGATACAAAACATAAGCTTCCATTTTCCTACTGATTTAGTTTGAAGTGTCCTTGAGTTACATGGCAGTATTGAGATCAATTTCTTGCATTAAAAAAAAAAAAACCAACAAAAAAACAAAACAAAACCAACATGTAGCAACTGCAAAACCATTGGCTAACCAAAAACCCCTCACCAAAACAAACAAAGCAACTGAAGTTTGAACAGCAATTAAATCAATGCGAATTTTGTCATCTTTTTTCGTTTTGGGTTAATGAGTTACGTGTTTTTCTTCTGTTGTAGAAATGAATGCCCATGTTATTTTCAAGGAATTGACTATCCCCCTGGAGAAAATGTCATGACATCTTTAGGCAAATGGTAAGATACTAAATTGTGTTTTTACACAACTAAATTGTATCACATTTTTAAGAGCTCTATCAAATAATTTTGGCTAGTTTGTTGGGTTTTCTTTTTGTTGTTTTAGTTATTTTTAAATGAAACCTACAGAATAAACCTGCATCAGTTTTCTGTGTTTGACAAAAGTCCTTTAGAACTTAAGCTTTCCAGGCTGCTGTGCTTTGTAATGCAATATATCGAAGTGCAAAACAGAAAGAAAAGCCACAATGATTTCTTATATCCATACTTATGTGGAGAGCTCCAGAATAGCACAGACATTTCCTGACTATCCATAGATCTTCATTGCTATTCTCCTTCCCTTTACCAGATTCTAAATCCACTTATGAAGAATTATTAAGAATCTATCTTCCACTAGTATAGAATAATCGTAAAAGAGCAATGTGGCTTTTATCAACTAAGAAACAACACAAAAAACTGTCAGCTGCAGCCAATGGTAAATAAGCATCTCTGTTCTTGTTCCTCACATTTGGCATTAGTTCTTGTCCTCTTGGTCTTCCATTTGCATCATTGCAGTCCTGACATTAAAGAAGAAAGCTTGTTAGGTGATCCTGGCTCCTGCCAGCTGCATCCTTTTCAACAGTTGATTTCTGTCTGGAGAAGGTTGAGTAATGTGGACAGCAAGGTCTGTAAATAACAAGCTTTCAGAAATAATATCTGAGCTTGGACTGCCTGTATCAGTTGTTACAGCACTTAATTAAAAGCAGAGCAGACGGAATTGTCTGTGATAGATCAGTGTAGCACTTCAGTTTGTTACCAAGGCCACACTAGAGATTGGTGCTGTCAGACTCCTTTTGCAATGGGGCACTCAGTAAGCACATACACTTGCACTTTCTCTCTTGTCAGCAGTCCATAAATACTGACTATTATAAATCAATATCTTACTCATCAAGTTAGCTTATTTTTTTACCTTAGGGCAGATTCCCTGCAGTGTGCCAGGCAGCCCACTATGCATATGAGGCCCTGCAAAGGCTGGGTGCACGGTTGCCTGCCCTGCCAAGGTGTTTTTGTTTAAAATGTGCCAAACAGCCCTGGCAGCCAAGAGAAGGGGCTTCTCCTGGTAAATCTTTTTATTCCTCCTTCTTGGAGGTCTAGTTCAGCTGCTTTTGCTGACCCATGTGATGGATATATGGTTGAATGCACATCATGTGATGATCCACAAATGTAGTTTTTTGTAAAAAATTGCTGTAGACAAAAATCCTCTTTGTGTTGATTTCAGTGGAATTGCTTGGGATCTGGCAGCTTGTTTGTTAATAAAATTAAAATCTACTAATTTAGAACTATAAGGATGTTAGCTGGTATTAGAGATCAGTGTCTCGCATCTAGTCACAATTTTTGCTTGAGGTGTTTTTTAATAAGGCTATATACAGATCTATTGGGGGGAAAGGCTTTCAAATGCAGAGGTATAGACTGTCAGCTCCTGTGAATTGCCTTGTGCTAAGTAATGCATTAGGAATCATGTAGGAATACATGTGTGGATGAACTGGAAAAAAATGCTGTGTGATGAAGTCTTTTTTTATCTGTCACTTTCTATTAGAAACAATTAAGATCTTTATTATGTTCTCCCCATCCTTTATTCCTCTCAATTGCTTCCTATTGGGAACTTCCCACTTTCAAACTGGAATTTCTTCTCTATGGAATGGCTTTTCTGCTCTGTTGCTTTCAACAAGTTCTTTAAAATATTTTCATTGATGTTATATCAACCTTTGAGTTGCCTCCCTCTCTGTTCCTTTTGGTACTCCTTGTCCTCTTGCCTGAGTGATTCTGTGCAGTCCATGAGTGCTTTTCCTGCAGCGCTTTGGGGTCCATACACAGCTCCAAATGTGCTCACAGGGAGGCTGTAGCACATACAGAATTTGATTCTGAATCTGCTGACCAGCCATAGGGAGTCCTGGTGATGCTTTAGCTAAAAGAATGGGAAAGTAGTGCTGGATTTCATGGCCTCAGGTTCTTTAGTGATGACCAGGATCTGGATCTCAGCCAGCACTGTTACAGTTTTCCCTGACAATGAGCTGCAATAGGAGCTGCTACCATTTTAGAAAAGTACTGGACTATTTTGGCTCAAACTAGAAAGGAGCAGACAGTGTTAGTTTTCTCAGTGTTTCCCTGCATCCAGTATCCTGGTAGGTTGAGTTTTATGCAGCTTGGAACTGTTTCATGCAGGAGAAATGTGTTTTGGGGAGTAATATGGGGGCATATTCCTTTAAATATTTTTTTCAGCTCATGCATCTTTATGCAAACTTTTTTGCATAAAGCAAAAGTTTGGAGTTTAACTAACGCTCTTAATGAGTTAAGGCAAAGCTTATTCACAGTTACAATGTTCAGTGCAGACATTTATAAAATTATTTTCTATTGACTTATTCTGAATTACTAAATAGAAGATATTAATATATTTTAGTTCTTCCTGCCTCTCAGTACATCTTTGTCTATTTCTATTGCAGCCATTGCAGGGATGGAGTAATGAGCTGTGATAACAACATAATAGGTGAGTGAAGGGAGAGAGAAAAGATACTTCAAGGCCAACGAATAAATTTCCTCCAGTCTTGGTGGAACCCCTTGTCTGAATTAAAAGATAGTGCAGTGTTAACCCAGAATTAACTTCTGGGAGGGGATGCATAATTATCTGTGTTTGAAAGTAATGCTCCTGCTTTGTTCCAACTTACTGTTCAAAATACTGTTAGATCTGAGCAACTTTTTTTCCCCCAGTATTTTAAAATAAAAACTTTTTCTGCTTGCTGATGCAGATGAGCTTAGCTGTATGATAAACAGCAAACCTCCAGTAAGGCAAACAAAGGTTAGCTTTGCCCCAGATAGTGAGGAGAGGCAACTGAGTGTTACTAGTACTGCTGGATGTTATAATCTCTGTTACAAATCCTTATTGCGCACATTTACAGAATGCAAAATTTCAGGTGTGAAGACTAAAGCATTTGTCCATTGTCCCCCAGCACACAGCTGCCCAGCTGGACAGATTTATATTAACTGCAGTAACCCACACGTGGATCCCGAGCTCAGCAGAGAGAGGACTTGTGAGAACCAGCTGCTAAACCTCACTTTCTCAGCACACCTCCCTTGTGTGTCAGGCTGTGTCTGCCCACCAGGGTGAGTACAGACAGATTTGCGTTTTCTGGTACACAAACATGACTGAGTAGTTAATAAAATTTGGACAATTTGAGATCTCAATTGCTGAGCATCAAACTTGTGAAGGCTTACCCTGCAATACTGGCTGTTAAAATCATAATAAATGCTAAACCAAGAGACAAGTGGAGTTAAATACTTCATAATAATATGATCAAAAACCAAGAATATAGAATGGCATTGAAATAAGTTGATTCAATTTGTGTTGTTACAGTAGAATCGTGCTTATCTACATTTTTTTCATAAATCTAACCTCTTATTTCAATATTTGGCTGAGGGAGATAAGTTTATGTATTAATAGGCAGAATTTTCAGTACTTTTTCCCTCAAAAGGATCTCTTAAGTCTTGGGGATTTATGCTGGTAATGTACATGGAATCAAGCACTGTATTGTTGAGATAATTTGGATTACAAAAATAATAATCTGTTTAAATTATGCTAGTCTTGATATTATCTAATTTCTTAAGCACATAGCCTGAAGTTTCTTGGTGTTATAATTCTGAAATAATTTGAGTTGTTGAAATATCTCAGCTGAAGTCGGTGCAGTCATACTGAGTGATATGTGGATATTTCTACCTCATGATAAAATATTCCTTCTCAGGATTTTGGGATTTTACTTTAATACTCAGAAACATGAAATGTGAAATGGTTTTTATGAAATTGAACCTGTAATTAGTGGCACTCATACTGTGATAGCATATTGAAAAGTGCTAAGGTAGACTTGGAAATTAACTGGAGGCAGATATTGTCAGAATTGCAAAAATTCACCCTCTTGGACCGGGCTGGCATCTTTCAAGGCTACCTTCAGCAGCACTATGTGGCTGGCAACTCAGATCATATAAACTTTTTATTCTCTGCTATTTTGCTGTGCATAACCTCTGAGCTTGTGATCTCTACTGCTTCCTGATGGAATTTAGGTCAAGAATGTAAGCAATTAGTTTGGCTTTTTTTTATTTTTTTTTTTTTTTTTTAGTATTGGAAGACTCAGTGTCAAGTGTTGCTGATCCCAAAACTCTGATAATACGGTTTTGTGGTTGTAAGAGGCAAAATGTTATAATTTCCTAGGGACAAAACCACAAAATTAAGATAACTTGTCTTAATTGTAACTTTAGAAAACTGTATTCTTTTCTACAGTATATTCCTGTAGAGATACTAATACAAAATTATTTGTGTTTGTTTTGTTGCGTTTGTTTGGGGGTGTTTTGAGGGTGTTTTTTTTTTTTTTTTTTTTTTTTTTTTTTTTTGAGGACGTGCAAAGAGAGGTTTTTTTGTGTTTTCAGGACTTTACCCTGGGTGCTGCTTAAGGCAGAACTAGGAAATAGTGTTGCAAGCCTAAGATTTGAATTAGGAATGTCAGTCTGTACTGATGAAGTAGAAACTTAAGTCATTTACGAACTTGTCAAAACTGGTGTCTTTTAAATATTCAGCTCTAGTAGTCCTATCTTGATTATATATTTGTTTTTATTTGAGGTTGCTTTAGGAAAAACTAAGACGATCCTAAAGGTTTGTGGTTTTCTGGTGTGCTTTTGGAAAAGCAAGAGACTTATGCTGTCTATTAACTATGCAGGTTTTTTATTTAGGTAATGACTCATAATTGTTTAGGAATTTTAGTAAGAGATGCATTTGATAGAAGTTGGATATGAAGAGCCCTAATGCTTTAAGTCAGTAGCTGAATTCACACTACAATGATTCATGCTGCAGATTGAACAACTTGGAGTCAGAGCCAGTATAGCACAATAATGAAAAATTTTAAATTCATTTTTTGGAAGAGAAAAATGGGTAAAATACCATCACCTTTATACACTACCTCATCCTGTGTTCGTGTCCTTTCACGCAGTGCAGGATTCAAATGCACTGTGAATTTATGCAACTTGGAAATCCCTTTTCTAGGCTATCAGTTCTTAGTGGTGAAATAGAAAACTGAGGTGACATTGTGCACTTTAAAAGGGTAAAACAGCCATGGAATTTCTTTGATCTTAACATTAGTCCTTTACCTGAAATAATATGTTTCATTCCTTTGTTCATGCTTTTGTTCCTGCTTGAGGTCTTGCAGCAGTTCATCTTGATTCATTACATGTGAGCTAAGCTGATTAAACTCATTTCATTGCTACTTAAATGGGTTTGATTGGTTGATTTAGGTAAAATAATTTTAAAAGTGAGTGCTGTAAAGTGACTATTGTGCCTAAGAAACCTGTTGGTGGGAATGTAGGAAGCTACAGTTTTTTGAGGCAGAAGGACCTTTCTGATCTGCTTTGTGGGGTGATTATTCCTCAGTGATATCCTGAAAGGTACTTAACAAAAGGAACCTCTTTTCATAGAAGGAAAGGAAATAACCTCTTTTCATAGAAGTGATGTTAAGATTTCAAGGGGGAAATACTTTTGTTTTGCAGTCTATTTTTGTAGTATCTGAAAACTGAAATGTTCTTTCAAATGCTTCTCTGCTTCTAGCACTCCTTCTTTTTTTTGTGCTTATAGTGCATCTGTGCTTCATTATTTTGCCTCTGCAGTGAGTAAATCAGATGCAAGTAACCATGCTTAAGTAAATATCTGAATTTACAGGAGATCATTCTATGGGTTACAGTTTTTATGGTACAAAAATTGATTATGTACTTTGCAACCTTTTTAGAAGCTGTTGAAATCACACATTAATTCTCCTGGAACTCACTTCCTAATATTGATTCACCCTACTTTGCCTGACATATTGAGTAATTTTTAAGACTTTATTTATATTTTTTTCTTACTGGTTTTCATGTGTCACCATTTAAAGGGAAATGTTCTATATTTCCATGTTGCATTTCAAAAAGATAAGTGATACACTTTCAGTGCATATTTTTTCAAGTACAATATTTGAATTACATTTTCTGCTTCTGGATTTCAATGAATCAAATTATTTTTTCCTCCTCAACGACACCAAATGTGCATGATTTGACATGGAGACAGGATCCTTAATCAGACTACAGAAGAAACAGGGAGAAAAGACGGAGCAAAGGAAAAGGAGGGGAATAAACAGTAGTATCTTCCTAAATTTCTGGATGCTGTGTGACATGTTTGCTCCAAATGGACATCTGTTGCTTTGTGCCTGTCCTATTCCATTGGTTTTCCATGGTTTCCAGTCAGACCAGTAATGATCTCCAAAACAGTTTCTGTTCATTGTTGCTTACAGCCTGCTCTTAGTGTTGCTGTCAAGAAAAGCAGTCACTTTCCTGAAGGAATGACTTTTGTTTTCCCACTTGCCTCATTGACAGGATTTTACCTTTTGACTGCAGCATAGGTTGGATTTAACTGATCTGTACTTTATAGAGTGAATGGCATAAAATTTGTGCTATATTTGCAATATATATATATATAACATTTTGGGGGTATTATGGTTGGGGTTAATTAGTTTAGAGGTGTTTTCCAGCCTTGATGATGGTGATTCTAGCAAGAGCCCTGTCACATTTTTGAATACAGTTGCTTTCATTTGGACTGACTGATTGTTTAATGACATACATCAGTATTTATTTTACATCATGTTATCCATTCCTTTTTCCATTAGCTGAAATATTTAGCAAGTTCTATGCCTATTTCATAATATTTCCATCTTGCTAAAAACCAAGGCCCACCAGCCTCTAAATATGATTTAGCAAGTTCTATGCCTATTTCATAATATTTCCATCTTGCTGGAAAAACCAAGGCCCACCAGCCTCTAAAGATGTATAATAAATACAAATTCTGAGAGTTATGTCAATAGCTTGAAATACATATTGTCCCAAATGCAATTGGTAATGTTTTTTTGCTTCTGTTTTTGCTTCTATTAGATCTTCATCATTTTTTCCCTCTCATGTTTTTGTTCCCTCTATAAAGCTATGTTAAACCAACCACTATACAATTATCAAGCAGTCTCTGCTAACTTTGCAGTATTTCGAAACTTCATTTTCAAAATTTTCATGACTTTTTTTTTTCTTTTAACTCTGAATCATAGCCAAACTTCTCTTCCTCATCATGCTTCTAGAACTGGCTGTAATTTTCTCCTTGTTTCAGTGACTTTTGTTTTCCTCAATGTTAGAGCTGCAAAAAGTTAATTCTCAGCTGGCTGCTAGCAGGGGTTATCTGTACATCCAGGTCACTTAATTTCTCACTGTTCAGCAACATCCAATACCCAGCTTGATGTTTTATTGAGTGTCAACAGACTGATCTTAAAGAAAGCAACACCACATTAGAATAAGTAAGAACACAGTGTGCTCCATAATTCAAGTTTGTGTATTTATTTCTGTGGCCTGTGAGTATTTAAATCTCAAGAACACAAGGCAACTGTGTTCAAGTTGTCTTTTTTCCTTGCACTATATGTTTAATTGTTTAAAACTATGTGGGCCACCTTTTTAAGCAAAATGCCTGACAAATCTTTTCTTGTGTATGTTTAGGAAAAACAAAACCCATCATCCTCCCACCCCTACACTCTGGAGACAACTAATTATTTATGACACAGAAGAGCATATTTTGTGCTAAAAACTTTACTGAATTTGAGGGAATTTAACATAATTAGAATTTTTATGGCTTTCTCTTTTTTTAATCACTTATTGCTCCAATAAAATAGATGAAGAGTTAGTAATCTCAAAGCTGTAATATACTGTAATTGTAATGAAGGTTTGTAACTAAGGAATATAATATCAGATTTTCCTTCTAAAACTTTCGCAATTATCACTGTATTTTCTGTGGAATGTATCAAGTGACACGTAACAAGCTGAAACACATTCTTGGGAGGTTTTATTAAAAAAAAAGTAAACTCATCACTTTCTAATTTTCATAAAGAAAACAATTAATGTTATCATCTTGTAAGTGTGCCTATGGACAAACAACTCTATTCATGAAGAATTAAGATGGGAAGAATACAGATGAGTTTCAAATATTTTTAGAAAACTACTCTTTATTAATGTAATTACATTGACCATGTTGTGTCTTAAAATAAGTCTCCTTAGATTAAATAAAAATCCTGTTCTTTTGGTGTGTGTTTAGCATAATTTTTCGGAAGACCTACTGCTCCTCAGTTTAGACTCAGAATTTACTATTATCAGTGTGAAAATAAAACCTGTTTTCTGTCCAAACCTCACTCTTCTGGATGGCCCTGCTGCTGCTATCAGGCTAAGTATTATAAATCTTTTTGTTTAGCCAGGGCTTTGGGGAGGTCTGTTGAGATTTAATGTTTTCCAGGCAAATAAGGATTAATCCCATTGGGGGTACCATCATGGCTATGTGCTTGACTATTTCCTCAGGAAAATACAAGTCTCTTACAAAGACTGCATCAGTATTCCAGGAACCAGTATTTATCCACATCAGATTTTCTGCTGGTTTCTACTTCTGCTGGCAATAAACACAGCTTGTTAAATGTGCAGGAGCTCATTCCCAAAGAAAACATATATTGCAGTGCCCTTGCAAGACAATCCAGTTCTTTTCTATCCTTTTCTGCTTCGCAGACTTGCAAATTTCCTTGATGTATTCTTGAGTTCCTTATTTCCTCTTGCAATACTTATAAACCCTGTTGGTCTCCTACTTTCTAGTTTACGCCAGCTGCAAATAAATGTCTAAATATTTTTTTTCTGTACTTGTATTAATTGAGAGTAAAACTTCATCAGTATCTTCTAGGCTCTGGGGCACCTGTTCATAAGACCTTCTGCTTTCTGACTTGTTTTTAAGAGAAATATTCAACTCTGTCACTTAGTTCAAAGGAAGACTTCAGAGTTACTTACTGAAATTCTGGTGCTGGTGGTAGAGCTGACTGCAGGAAGGTTTCCAGTCCAGGGTGAAGCTGCCAAAGAAAATTACTATCTCAGTTAAAGCATCAAAATCATGTGTTAACACAGAAAGATGGAAGGGTACAGTGAGAATAATCAAAACCTTCTAAGCATTCTACAAAATTACTTAATTTTTTGGTATAACAAACCAGGGGAAAGAGGAAGAGGAGACTTTAAGAAGCTCCCCAAATGAAAAAGAAAACAGCCAGAATATATTAACTCTCCTTGTCTAGATGGTGAGTGGACCCTAATAAAGGCATGAGGTGCTGTAGTAATGTTACTAATGTTGGATTTTCTCTCAAAATTTACCTTGTTTTCTGGTTAGACAAGTCAAATGCTCCCTGCTGCTTCTTTTGTATATTTTTTGCTTCCCTTAAACTCTATTACAGACCTCTGTAGGACAATTTGTGAGACCTTCAGAGAGCAAATTTAATGTTGCAGCAAAAGTACTTGTGGCTGCATGGATCAGTTGAGGATGGGCAGTTGCAGGAGAGAGGGGAAGGAGCTTGTGCAAGACACAGGCTGTTGAAAACGGCTCTGCTGGACCCTGGGAGAGGGATTTTTTTTTTTTTAATTGTTTTGGTCCAGATTTGGGATCTTTGCAGACGTAGTGTTTGATGAGTCTCATGTGATGTTAGTTCTAATGGTGCCTTTATCAAGATTATTTACATATTTCTGTGTGTGTGAATGCAGACAGCTCTAGATAATGAGATAATAAAGAACATGAATGTTCAGCAGGGTGAAGTGGGATAGTCATCCTTGTGTCTTTGCAGTTCATTGTAGGCTGGACAGCGAGTATAAGCATCAAGAAAAATGTCTGATACTTCAAAGCGGAGCTGTGCAAGGCCTCTCTGTGGGGTATTTGTGGTGAATTCTTAGATCATTGAAATCTGACCATTTACTTGGCTTTGCAAGAGAGAAAGCTGTTATCACTTTTTTTTTTTTTTTTTTTTTTTTTTTTTTTTTTTTAATCCAGTGTAATAACATGAGGAAAAAACTGCATTTAGTGTTACCTTGTCAGTGTGATCTCTTTGTGTCTGAATGTGCCCTGTTCAGTTCGGAGCAGCTTTAAACCAGTGGGAATTTCAGTCTCACAGTTGATTGTCTCCAAGTGACACAATGCTTGAAATAAGTATGGACTACAAAGAACACTTCACCTACCCTGGAGGAAAATTGCAGTTTTTCAGTTTAATGGGGGAGGAGGGTTTATGGTGTTCTGCATGTTCCCATTCATAACCTTTACAGAGATGTAAATTTCTGTCTAATACATAACACACTGAAGAAGAGTTTAAGTCAAATACAAATTACAAATTTCTACAATGTAATTTGTAAAATACAAATTACCAGCTCATTAATATGAGCTAATAAAATGCCCTGTGATAAATTCAGGGATGAAATATTTCTTTTTGGATAGCAGGGAAACAAAACATTATTGTTACTCTGTTTGTCATGGATGTGCCTCACACCTATCGCATCTTATCTCTAGTGCCATATCTTGCCCAAATGACAGTGCTAAACACCAGGAGCAATGAATCTGTTAGGAACAGATTTTTGTACAGAAAAACCTGTACAAAATTTGTATTACTACAGAGAGGTACTGGGATTCTAAGCAAACTTACCCTAAAGAAAAAAATAAATTTTCTGCATAAAAGTACCATTTCAAGAGACTGTTTTATTTCTCAATAGAAATACATTTCAAACATTAGAAACAAGGATAATCCTAGGCTGTATGGTGCCTGTAAGGATTCTTTTCACTATGGAACTGGTGTATTAGCTGCTTTGGATTCTTGTGTTGTAGGGAATGGGGTGGGATCAAAACAACTGGGAGCTGCAGCAGTGGGAGTGAAGGACACTGCTGCAGCTTGTCAAGAGTTCAAGTTTCACAGCTTTCATTTAAGAGATGGATTTGTCATCACAGCTGTTCTCTCTGTTATGGGACCCTTAGGTCCCATATTGGTATTGCTTTGCTTATCCAATAGCATTATGATTTTTGTAATAGAAAGGATTGGTTTTTGGAAGAAATGCAACTTTCCTGGGCTCAGTGAAATGACAGCTTAATTAATAAAATAAATCAAGGCTTCTGGTGTATTTCATGACCTTTATTTGTAGAATCTGCTTGAGAGTTCTCTTTATCTCTGTCTCTTTACCTAATTTCAGTTTTTCTGAATATTATCAAAAAGACACGAACATTTTACTTTAAAATTAGGACTGGTTGCTCTATTTAGTCTTTCTGGGCAAGAATTCCTCTGTTCTTTCTCTATGGCAGCAATCTTTTTCACTTTTTTCTTTAATAGTTTTCCATTTTTATCTGCTTGTCTAGAAGTTCTGTATAAACACAAATTCACAGCGTTAGTCTTGAACTCTAAACAGCCATGCATACGGTTATGTATGGTATAATGCAAATATCCCCTGAAGACTGTGAGGATACTTCTGCCACTAAAATTGATTATATTTGTAATTGATTGCATAAAGGTGCAGAAATAAAAATTAATTAATTAATACAATAATTTCATGTAGTCAGGATAGCTCTTTTGATATTGATTAAATTATTCATGGAGCTAGAGGTGAAACTACAGCTATGGAAAAACTACAGTAAAATAAAACTCAATTAGTGAAAGGAAAGAACAGGACAAGAAGAAATCCTCATTTAAAAATCCTTAGACTGAATATACCTCTAATTTTGGAGGGTAAGTTTACATACCGCTAGAACAAAGGGCTGTGATGGCTCCCACATCTCATGGGTTATCTCTTGGCTTGAGTCAAATGCAATTTAATTGGCTGAGTTAAAAGAAATTTGGTGAAATTTAGAGAATTTCTAGAAATTCTTAGTTTCCCTGACCTTAAAATTTATATATTAATGAGTCAGTCTTAGAGGGTTAGTGATTAAAAGGTTAGTACCCGAAGTGCTGGCACTTAATAAAGATAAAATGTTCAGGCACCTGTGAAAGGAAGATACCAAATTGCTCATACACAATTCTTAACAAAATGGTGCCTTTTCAGTTTCAGAAGACTTTAAATGTTCAGTTAACAAAACTGGTAGTAACTTGAATGTTTAGGAAAATATTTTTGTGCCTGGATACCAGCTATACTGCTGCTAGATAAGTGTTTTTTGTTCTTTTTATTTGCTAGTCTTGTGAAACATGGGGATATGTGTTTGGATGCAGATGAATGTCCATGCTCATGGAAAGGAAAGGAATATTTTCCAGGTGACAAAGTAATTTCTTCCTGTCATACATGGTAAGTGGAGATCTACTTAAGTGATGAGTTCATTTTAGTTGTGTATTTGTAGGTTGATTATTTTTCCTTCATGTGTTTTAATCATAAATTTCACAGCAGATTATCTAAATCATCTACTTTGACTTTGTATTCACATTTCTTCAGAGAGCTGTTAAAATTGCTTCAGGTTTTGTTGTTTCAAAGCACTTTACATAACAAAATAATGGTGATTTGGGATCTTTTTAGTTTTAAAAAATCTTGATTTAGATTTTTTCATATATTATTATTTTTGAGGTCATGGCTAGTATTCCTAAAGTACAGGTAAAGTCCCTTAAATATTACACCTGAGTGACATTTTGGAAAGCTTTTTACTTATTCATTTTCACATTAAGCACTGAATCTGAGCAGTCTAGAGACCAGAACTTAGACCTGTGTCCTTAAATCTGCATCCACTACTGTGTTAAATTAAGGGGAGTACTGAGCAACATCATGTACTGAGCAAAGAAACTGACAGATTGGTCACTGATTTTGTGTGTGTGGATAAGTGATGAATCAATCAGCGTTCAAAGGGAGAATTCCAATAGGAAAGGGTTGATAGGCTCCTTTAAACACATGCAGACACCTCTTCCCTTTTTCCCTTTTGCTATCCAGTGTTGTAAATGCAGCACGTACCCTGCCAGGTTTCCTCGAGCACTCTCAGTAGGATGTGTTTTACTGCCACTTTAATAAGCTGCACAGGAGTGTGAAAATGCCCCCCACCTACCTGATCCTGAAACAAGCTCGTTTCATGGCAATCTCTGCCTGTTTTGCTCTCTGGCCAAGGCTGAATGTTGCAGGCTGGCACCAAGCAGGGCTGTTTGTTTTACCAGAGCCTCAGGAAAACCAGCTGTACTGCCGAGCACCATGATGCTGTGGCAGAGGTGTAGCCTCCAGGCTCCCAGCAGAGCAGTTCCCTTTTTGTGCCCTCCTTGTAGCTTCCCAGGAGTGTTTAACCGGTGTCCCCTGGTGAGCTGCTGCTCCTGGCCAGCACAGCTCAGAGTAGCCCAGCCCAGGGAAGGCTCATCCCATCAGCACCAGGCTCTGCCTTGTCTGGATGTCGTGCCCCCTCCAGCCTTGTGCTGACTGCCTTCCTCTGCCTCTCGTCAGGTCCTCAGTAGCTGCTCTAGAAGAGATTTGTAGCCCTTTGGTCGACTGGTGAAGCGACTTACAAGGCATCTCCACTGGGCAGGCAGGTAAAGCGACCCGGGTTGTTCACCCCCTTGTTTCCAAAGGGCTCTCCATTTGGACCTGGTGTGGGATTGCTTGCATCAGAGACACTTTATCCCATATAATCTGTATGAGACTTCACCAAAGGCAGCAGCAATGGAGGCAGAAAGACACTGGATATTTAGCCTTCTATTTTATATATTTTTTTCCCCCTGAGGCCAGGCTCATTATTTCATGCACAAACCCATAATGTTGTCATGGCTTTTGTAGTCTTCCATGTCCAGAAGCAGAGACAGATTAAGTGATAATGGCTTTTTGGCAGTTGTTCACGAATAGAGGAGAGCCTGCTCTGTATGATGCAAAGTGTAGGAAATCTGAGTCTGCTGAGTGGGTATGCAGGGGTGTATCTGATGTGATAAGGGAAAGGTGCAAAGCATGAGAGTGCTTCTGTGCAAACACACACACTGAGGCACTTATAGAAGTCATCCTATCATGGGGTGCATTGAATTGTTTGTACTAATATTAAATATCATCTTAGTCATACTTGGTGTAGTGTTAGCAGCATAAATGATGATATGATTTATCTATTGAACAGTGATGTGACAAAAAAAACTTCTTAAGTTGGCAAAACTCCCTGTGAACTGACAGGAACTTTCAACCCAAGCTCTGGGGTCTGAGTGACCTGTGGCTCTAGGTTTCCCAAGTTTCATTTTCAGTGCAAGGACCTGAAATATTTAGCATGTAGTGGCAACATTAAACACAAAATATTCTAATGCTGAGGCTACCAGAGCAACATTTTGATGGGATGCTGTGCCAGGTAAGGTGGGCTTGTGCAAGTAGATGTGCTGGTCTGCTGTCATCATGCTGAGACCATTGAGCAACTCCTGGTCACTCTCTGTGGGCTGCTGAATTGGGCCTCCTGTATTATTTAACAAATACTTATTGGAAATATGCTGCATAAAAAACTACTTGAAGTTTAGAAGGTTCTGATAGCTCAGCTTTTCAACTAGGGCTCTCTAGATTCTGATAACTAAATGTTAGTACACTTAGTAAGAAACATGCATGGTATGGAGAACTTCAAAGACATTGTGTACCTCTTAATCCCTTCCTTCTGACCATAAATGTGTTCCTGAAAAAAAAGAAAAGGATCTCTCTAGGCTTTACATGCTAAGCCATGTTTCTGCACAGGCCCTTAAGGCATCAGCATATGGAGATTTGAATAGGCCATGAGTGAAACTAAAACCTCATGTCTCAGGAGAACATGAGAAGCAGCACTTAGTCTTCCAGTCCAAACAAATTTCTTCTTTTTGCCTCTCTCTCCATCATCTTGATGAGGCTCCTTCCTTTGCTGCTCTGGGGTGACTGCAGTTAGCAAGTCCTGCTGCTATTTCCTTGTGTTTTGGTGCAGCAAACACTTCTCACATGTATTTTTAACTTATTTTAGCCATCTGCTTAGTGTGTTGATACATGCAGAGATGCAAAATGCAAGCAGTGGACCAAATCAGTGGTGGGATAAGCAGAGTCTTGGAAAACCTGGACAGTGGTTCCATGTAGGTTCAACTTAATTGCTAAGGGAACTGGAGGAAACCTGATGCTACCAGTAGCTGGAGCTGCCTAGATTTTCTAGATATTTGCTGCCCTTCTGAAAAAAGTGGTGTACTGGCACTGTAATAGAAATATGAAGCAGAAGTTATACTGACAAACATTTATACTGAGAGAAAGCTTCATACTTCCTGCTGCTTCAGTATAAGAGATGTCAAATGTTAGAGATTTATCCAGTATTTCTGTAAGTCACATTAAGACTTTAGCTGTAAAATATTCAGCATTCATTTAACAAGGAAATTAAAAATTGGGTTTTTTTTAAAAGTAAACTTAGGCATGTACCAAAGTTATATCACATGCTGTATTTAGTTTAACCTACATTTATAAAGATACCTATACTAAAGCTATGCCAAGGCACCAGCTTTGCTGTGTTTATCAAGGAAAATTTAAGTGTCTGGATCATTTGGGAACCTAGAAATGAGATTTTAATGATTGCTTATGGATGCAGCAAATGAAATTCTATCCATTATTTGTAAAACTTCTATAATTTCTGAAAATTTTATTCAGATTGTAAGAGGGTGATTCAGAAAGAGGCGTAATATCCAATGCTTCAAAGCCTCCTATTATGCAAAAGGAATCCACTTCTTCTCCTATGCTGCAAAGGCAATTCAGCAGGGTCTGAGCTGTCGTTCTGTAGATGTTGTGGTGAAAACCCTTTGGTGTTTAAGGTGGCCATAGACATAACATGAACTGTTCTAGAAGCTCCTGAACTCTTAGGCTGGTGTTTGGGGGTGATGGCATCTGGAAAAAGAGTAAATCCAACAATGTGGTTCTTTTAAGGAACCTAAGCACCAAAATAATGCTACTGTAACATTTCCTTGGTAATTCTGTGAAATTCTTATTCAAGGACAGAATGCATGGAGATTATAGTAACAGGACATGCTACTTTTTGACTGTAAGATTCAGCTTGTACAGAAAAAAATACTTGGTGAGAAGCTGAAAAAGAAGACTTTCTCCTTGTGGCATGTCATTGGTGTGCACTAGAGAATAAATTGTATCACGTTGCGTGGGGTTTTTTGTTTTGTTTTTTGTTGGTTGTATTTTTTGGGGTTTTTGAGACTTGTTGTGGTGCCTATATATTCTGGAGCCTTTAAATTCTCATGGAAGAAGCAACTTAGACTGTATGAGTTCAATATGCACTTTTTTTTTTTTTCCCCCGAGAGAATTAATTGATGAGTCCTGCTTCTAGCCAACATTTCAAAATGCTTCTGTCCACGCTCCTCACACTTGCTCAGCTTTTGTTTCTTTGCTTCTCAGTGCCATAGCTGTAATAATTTGTCTGGGTTTGCAGCTGATATTCCCATAATTGGTCGTGCATTTTTCAGCATTTGCCAGCATGGATCGTTCCAGTGCACCTTCCAGCCTTGCCCGTCGATGTGCACGGCGTACGGGGACCGGCACTACCGGACCTTCGATGGACTCACCTTTGACTTTGTTGGAACTTGTAAGGTTTACCTGGTTAAGGTGAGACTTTGGTGTAAAACTGTGGCATTCACGTTTTCTGAAAAAAACCCTTTTCCAGGATTTTTCTCCTGGGAAGCTGAGAAGCCTCAGAGAAAAAGGAAAACAATTCTTATCTCATTTGCTTCTCCTGTGTTCTGCTCAAGGGTGGAATGTGTTTAGAGACTGTTTGATTGGATTCTGGTGTGAGTTCTTTTCACACTTTGGCCAATCAGTGCCAAGCTGTGTCAGGACTCTGGAAAGAGTCACGAGTTTTCATTAGTATCTTTTTAGCATTCTGTAAGTATCCTTTCTGTATTCTTTAGTATAATATAGTTTAACGTATTCTTTGGTTTAGTATAGTATAGTGTTCTTTAATATAATATATTATCGTAAAGTAATAAATTAGCCCTCTGAGAACATGGATTCAGATTCATCATTCCTTCCTGCCACAAGGGTCTCTGCAAATACAATATAAAACCTCCCTAAAACTGGGTTTAAAACTGCTTGTTAAAATCTACCATTGTACTTACTTCCTGTCTGTGCATTTTATTGAGTCCTACATTCTGTTTTTTCATTTTTGGCATTGTTGAGGCTTTGAATCATACATAACACAAACACAGTCTGAGGTTTCTGCTAATTGAACTATGTAACAATACATATATTTATATTAGTATATTTAAAAATTGACTTTTTTTTTTTCTTCAGGGTATTTCTTCAACCAGTCTTTCTGTCATTATTGAGAATGTTGACTGCTTTAGTACTGGAATCATTTGCAGAAAAAATGTTTTCATTAATGTTGGAAAATCTCTTTTAGTGTTTGACGATGAAACTGGGAATCCAGTAAGTTTCGTTTCTTACTGCTGGTCAAAAAGCAGCATGTGTGCTTCTCTGGGTGTTTCTTCCTTTCATAACCAAAAACTTACTGTGCCACTTCAGTAGCAGAGGTGTAAATATCTTTACAGTGAAAGCTGATTATATCTGGATTGTTCTGTGGAAACCTTAAACAAAATATTGTCTGTATTTGACAAAAGTGTTAGAGGAGATAATTGTAGCTCTTTTGTTTAGACTTAATTCCTGTTTAGTATCTTAGGAGAAAAAAAAGTGTTTTGAAGTCAGTGGGAGTTTTGCTGTTAATTCCCCTAAGAGCTTAGTCAGGTCTGGAATGTATAGGAGAAATATTTCTATACAGTTAAAACATCCCAACAAATTACAGGCCCTGTGGAGTATATCCTCCACAGCTGGAATTTCATTTTTTGTTTTGGCCAAACTGCAAACTCTATTCTGTAAGTGTTTAGTATTTTAGTATATTAGTAACTGTGGTATAAATAGTACTATTTACAGTTTATAGACTGACTATAGAAAGGAAGTTTGTATAATTAAACCAGGCATCTTAGTCCATGCAACAAATAAGTTGCAGCCTGATTGTTAGTGGATTGAGAGGAAAATGCTTTCTGTAAATAAGATTGTGATCTAGGGAGATATTTGGACAATTCCTTATTTCCAGAGACTGCTTCATGCGTAGTTTTTACCTATTCATATTCAAAAAAAGCATGTGCCTGTAAGTGAAAATCATAATCAGGAGCCTTAAGACTATTCACCTACCTCCCAGATGAATCATTAGCATTCTAGTCTTCAGTCCATTACCCATTCTATAAATCTGATATAAAATCAACTTTTAAAATTGGAAAATCATAAAAATACAATACAGTTCACATTCAAAATCCAGGCCCCTTTTGCTTAAGCATTTTTCTCCTCTGTGGCCTTCTGTCTGTTTTTGGACATGTCTGAGAACCATGTTGTTAATTTTATTTAGTTGTTTCATTTCTTCTCAAGTGAACATGTTATGAAGACACTATTTCCATTATAAGCTCCCTTGTTTTATTTTGAACAGAGCTTATCTAGTTACATAGATGGCCTACAAAAAGTGCAGTTATGGAAAGCTGGATTTTTCACTGTTGTTCATTTTCCTGATGAACATATCACCATTCTTTGGGATCAGAGAACAACAGTTCATGTGCAGATGGGACATCAGTGGCAGGTAGGTGGAACTCAGCACTCTTATTCCCATTTATTTGAGGTGTTTATGTAAGTCTTGTTAAATGAGACATAATTATTCAGAGAATAGACTGTCACAAATAAATTAAAGAAGCATTCAGCTACATTGTCAATGAAAATATTCATTCTCATTGATCTTTTTTAGTTACTGTTTTCTGTATAACTTCTGTAATAAATATCTTTGGGGCAAAGTTTTCCTTCAGTACTCATTCCTTACATGACTGAAGCAGGTGTTATTTTGCTGAGGCTTGAAAAAACACATTACTGGCTAACAGCACCCTTTTCTGAACAAAGTGATCTCATTTGTCAAAGACTTGGGGATACATAACTGAAAGGGCATAATAATGACATTGCCAAAATAAAATATCCTCCGTAGCTTTGTTACTGAATTCTTCTGACTGAAAAGCTGAATTCTTTTGATTAAAATTTAGCTGAAAAATGATCAAAATGTGACAAATTTATAATTAAACAGCTGAAGAGGCAAGTTTTGAAAATGGCCATGACTGACAGCATTTTGTCTTGAGAAAATACCTTTATATATATATGTATATATATGTGTGTGTGTGTATATAATTTTTTTTCAGGGAGAATTGACTGGATTGTGTGGAAATTTTGATTTGAAGACAGTAAATGAACTGAGGACTCCAGATAATTTTGAATTAACGAACTCACAAGAGTTTGGAAACAGTTGGACAGCTGTAGAGGTACATGGCAAAAAGACAATGTGCTTACTAGTATATTTTACTCGTAGATTTTTTTTGCTGTTAGACCATAAAATTCATCTTGAATGAAATCAGAAGTTCATTCCTGAAAGAACCAGTCAGGCAGCAATACAAATGGCAATATCAGTGCTTCTTAAAGATTCCATAATCTGTTAAAGAAAAGAATCACCTTTTTTGCTGCAGAGTGTTTAGAGAGTAAAGAAAAATGCTGTAACAGTATATTGAATATTTTTGATTACATTTGAACAGTAAACTAGTGGGATTTCTGTATAAGGGAAGAATGTTGAGTTCACTTTAGAGTGTGTTGACAGTTTAACTGATTTGTCATAGCTGGGAAACATTTAACTGTAGAACCATAGCAATGGAAAGAAAAAAAATTCTATGTGTCTCTCTGGTGCCTCTGATTAGACCCATAAGTATGTGCGTTTTTCTGCTGATTTCAGACCAGTGGAACGTTTCTTCAGATAGTGTAATTTTCCATTTCTTCTTCATTAGCATTGGATTTTAATTATGTATCTTAATCCTGCTTTAGTTTCATAAATTATGCATTTGTTTCATGTTTTGCATCTCCCTAAAAAAATGAAAATCACAAAAATATGCTTTGCAAGTTCAAAACACAACGTGGTTATGAAAAAGATTTCTCACCTTCATTTTGCTTCCCTGTTTAGTGTGTTGACAGCCCTGACATTCGAAATCCATGCAGTTTGAACCCCCTTAGAGAGCCATTTGCCAAGAAGGAATGTGGGATACTGCTAAGTGAAGCATTTGAAGCTTGCCACCCAGTGGTGAGTTGTAGTCCTGTATATAAACAAGTGACAGCGAACACAGCACCAGAGAGAAAGGTTATCCTTCAACGTGAACCTTTTTGTTATTAATGAAGACAAAAATACACCTAATTTGGGATATTTTATTTTTAATCACAAGTATTGTTTGTGTAAGCATAACCACTTGCTTTTAATGAAATGTGTTACATGGCGTGCCCATTTTTCATGAAGATATAAATAAATGTATTGAATGGGCAGTGTCAGATGGAGAGAACTGATTCCTAGAAAACTTACTCAAATGTAAATCCATGTAGAATGTGTAACATTTCAATAAGAAAATTAACATTGACAGTTTTCTTTGAAATTTTGTCACTTAAGACAAGACTCGAAGATACTGTAAGGAAAAATGACAGATTCTTGTGTGAAATTGTCTGATAATATGAAGAGAATATTAACTACTTACATGTAAAGAAGAGCTTTCTGTCTACTTTGATTTCTTACATTTTATGTGTATCTGACTTCCTTAAAATTTCTGAGTTTTACTGATTTAGGAAAATCCGTAAAACTGATTTAGTTTTACTGATCAGTTTAGTCTTTCATTTCACAATTTTTCACAGATTTTTAGGGCTTAAATATTATGAAACAATATAAAACACAAGTCCACATCAATATCTTAATGTGCCTGTTCTTGATGGGTCATTGATTTAATTGTGTTGCGAAGTGCTGGACACGATTTTATGGTGTGTCCCAATGAAAATTTTTTTCTCATGTTTCAGGAAGCATTGAGAGTGAAATCTTTCATTCTTCCAAGCTGGATATATTGCCTTTTGGAAGAGCTATAGCTTTGTGTCAAGGTGCTGGCTGGCAGTTCCTGTAGGGATGTTTCTGATAAGTGATATTTTCATTTCCAGATCGACGTCACCTGGTTTTACTCCAACTGCTTGACAGACACTTGTGGCTGTACCCAAGGTGGTGACTGTGAGTGTTTCTGTACAAGTGTCTCAGCTTATGCCCATCAGTGCTGCCAGCACGGGGTTGCTGTGGACTGGAGGTCTCCCAGAGTGTGCCGTAAGTTTGTTTAACCAGCTCTGCCAAGGGCTGCCCCTGCCCTGCATTCCTGGCAGCCAGACCTGAAAAATCAGTCACACCAGCTGACCTGGGGCCATGAATTGAATCTAAGCCTCACTGGTGCCTCTCACTCCAATTTCATTCCGATTTAGCTGGTTTATGAGCTTTTTCTGCGTTGTGAGTGATACTTTTGTACTTTTAAACCCTTTGTCCTGTGATGTGAAAGGAGAAGTCATGGGAAGTCTGTATTAGGGTACAGCATGCATCCTTCAAAGCAAAGGTGCAAAGTTAACAGCTCAAGGGATTTCCATCTTCAGGAGACCTTCACTTACTAATAAGATCTAGTAAACATACCTGCCTTATTAGAGCCCCCAGAGCAAGTGTGAAATATAAATGTCTTCTGAAGAAAAACAAATCAGTTTTTAAGCTGGGCAGAGTCATTACCTTAGGATTCCTCTCCAACAATCCTTAGAATTTAAAAAAAAAAAATAAAAATCTGAGACCCTTTTCTCTAACGCCTCGTGGAAATGCCTAACAGAAGGCTGTCCTTTCCCCAAAGATGCCATAAAAGAAGTGGAGATGGAAAGAAAGCATTTTTCTAACTTTGCAGTTGTACAGAGAGAGTGTGCAGCTTGCTCAGGGTCTCACAGCAACCTGGCCTCAGAGTGAGGGGGTTACTCTTAACTTTTGATGGAAAAGGTGTGTTGTAATGTGAAGCTCAGTCATAGCCGCTAGAGGTCACAAAAAGACAGCTGTAGGTATGTAAGCTTAGTATTTCCTGCTGGGAAGCAATGCTTCATTTACATCTGCGTAGTTTAAATTAGTGTTTTATCTCAAGTACAGTAAATATTTGGCAATAACTTTTTAATACATGTTTGTGTAAAATGTAATGTGGCCAAGCATTTGGCTCACATCTTAATCGTTAAGGGGAATAGAAAACCTGTTTATCTATAGAATGCCTGTAACTGCATTTTTTTCTTTTTTTTTTTTTTTTAGCTTATGATTGTGAATATTTCAACAAAGGTAAGTTCTAGAGGAAGTGAAAAAATATCAATGGAATCTTGTTTTTTTTTTCATTTAAGTTTTAGCATCTTAGTATAAAAACAATTGTATTACTGAAAACATTTGTGAGTGTTATGTTTAACATAGTCAAGATTGTTTTGCTGCTTTATTTTGCTTTTTTAAAGGCTTTTAATTTCATAATTCATGGACCTCTTCTGCGAACATATGTCTAACTAATTTTCTTTGCAGTGATGGGTGATTTTTAAACATTTAATTAATTAATTAATTAATGGAATATCAACTGAAAAGTGCTAGTGGCACTACTTGCTAAGGTGCAGTGCAGTTCAAAGCTGAGCAGAGCCCAGCGGGTTGTTAAATCACTGACAGGCTCCTGAGCAGCCTCCAGAGGGAGGTAGCTGTTAAGCTATGACAACTTTTTGTCCCCAGAGGGGAATAACACTCCTTTTAGTTCTGTCTGACCTAGGCTGGAGTTCCTGAGCAGCCAGCATTGCTGCTGCATTGGAGGGGCTGTCAGTGAGGGGTGCAAAGCTTGGGCAAGGTGCTGGACCATACCTTGAACCTGCACAGGGTGCATTAGGGCTGTGTTAGCCCGGGAACCCATATTCAGACTATTTCCAAATCACCCTGCCTGTGTCTGCACAGTCAGGTGTGGCACACAAGGCAGCCTGGTGTGAGGAAGGGTCAGGGCTCCTGCTATTTGTGCTGCAACTCTTTATCAAGCTCATATAGAAGCCTGTCTACCCACATGACATGGAGTATTTTGGTCTTCTGATCAATATTGCAGCAGCTCACTCCTGGAAAGGTCTCAGAAAGGGACAAAGTTAAATTAGGACAGACTTATGCACTGTGCCAGGCCCAGAAAATATGGCCAAGAAATGTGCTTTTTTTTCATACACTGACTCCTGAAAAGATTTTGAGTGGAGTCAAATCACTAATGCATGGAAATTTTATCTAAATCACCATTTAAGACTTTCAATAAATTTAAATAAAGGATAGTTGAATATAAGAGGTGATTGAAGGTTTTTAGTTTTCGGTTTTTTTGTTTTGTGAAAGAAATACAGTCTGATAACAGACAATGTTAGTGCAGGTAGACTGCAAGTGCAGTGCCTCTAACATTTGTGGTAATAGTGAAGCTAAATGATCACACATACTTTTAAGGTGTGTTATTACTTTTATTTATTAGAGAATTCTCACTGACAGAAATTAGTGGAAATAGTGGAGATTTGTGCATGTGAGCAGCCTTGAAATAAACATGGTTATTTTATACTTCTTTCTTTGTATTTTTGTACTCTTTGTACTCTTTTGTACTCTAATCCAGCTCATCAGTATTCAACATATAATGTTTCAGAGCTGTCAGTGGGCAAAAAAAAAAAAAAATCATCTCCATGCTGAAGATTTTCTAGTCTACATAACTTAGAGTAGGATGACCCAGAATTACTTTGTTTCAGAGATGGGAATGTTAAGAAATTGTCTTAGACCAGAAAGAAGTTTTCTCTATGTATTCTTTTATGAATCTAGAGTGAAATAGTTCTAGTCTTAGAAGAAGCAGAGGCCTTTTGTCTTTGATCAAGGGAAATCCTCAGCTGGTGGCTGTGGTCTCTCAAATTTTGGATGGGCCTGAGATGGGATACTTAAACATATAAGGATATTTCCAGAGCAGTAGATGTTTTAAGTAGTAATTTAAAACAGGTTTTTTTTCAACTTCCTGTACTGAAGGTAAGGAGGTATTTTGTACGTGTTTAGGTGAGCGTGGACTTGTGTCCTAACTGGCTACTTTTTCATGCCATTAGAATCTAAAGCTCTACTTATAATGTAGCATCCTTAGGATTTCAAAACTCTTAATAAGTGTTAAGGTTTTGGAGAACCAGAGTATGAAGGCAAGTTGCAAATCGTAGTCCAAAATTGTAACCTGTTGGAACAGATTGTAAGAATCAATGCTATTAAGTTGCCAGCTGATAGCTGCAGTTATCTCAGGTGTATGCTTGCCATGTCCTGGCTTGTGGGTAAATGGTAATGAGCTGAACTGCTCAGGTGAGGCATAAAAGGCCTAATTTTAACAGGGAAATTAACAAAAATAGTTTCAAACATTTAAAAATAATCTCTAAATTATTTTTTCTGCAGTAAAGTTTGATCTAAATGAGAAGATGTGGCATTTTAAGGTTTATAAAATGAATCTGTATATTATTGGCTTTTTTTACTTATAGGTAAAATTATGACCATTCTTTGCTTATGATGCTGATTTCTTCCTGTCTTACTTCTCAGTGGTTATGTTTGTATCCTCACTGTTCAAGGAGTTTCTTGATGCTTGTTGACAACAAAATTTTATTCTCTGCAATATGCCTCATGCTTTGGACATTAATAAAATAGATGTTAAAAAGTAGTAAGAAGTGTATAATCAGTTCAACCATACAAATAAATAGTTTAGAAGGATCCTAAATCAAGTAACCAAGGGGCCAGCTAACTTCAATAAAATGATTATGAAACCACAGCAGATGAGAGGGGCAAAAAGCAGAAGCTGATAATGAATCTTGAAAATTGGAAGTAGATACTCTTGATAGTTTTCAGAATATGTATTTTCTAAAAAAGGTTTGTTTTAGTTTTCTTTCAAGTTTAGTGCATGGCACATGACACCTAGATCTATTTGCAGAGTGGTGAGATGTGTTTTTCTTCATGTGCTCTTCCGTAATGCTTAGAGCTCAAGCATTTGTGACACTTGACATGAAAAATAATTGGTTTTTTTCCCCCACAGCTCTGGGAAAAGGCCCATACAAACTGGTCAGCTATTTGGATGGAAAATTTGTAATAGCAGCAAAATTGGTGGATGGCATTGTTTTCCCCATGAAAGAAGATGATGTTGTTCCTGGGCACGTAGTGAGCTTTATGCTGACTTCAGGACTTTATAAACCCAAAGCACATGGTAAAGTCGTAATAATCTAGCATCTTAAATAAGACAGAGCAAACTCTGCCCTTGTTTTTAAGAATAAACCTGGGTGAAAAAAAATCCTTGCATTATCAGTCGGTTGAATGTGTACTTTAATGCCTGCCAAAATTTTCTTTGGTGGGTTTTAGATTGTATCTTTGTAAGCAGTTGAAAAGCAGCTGCCTCCCCACACCCCAGCCTTCAGAAGCACCAAACTGGTATTGCAGCCCAGTAACCTGTGTGTTGCTCCCTTTTGCCTCTCTTCTGGTGGAACTGGGAAAGAATGGGAGAGAAATGTTGCAAGGAAAGTGCTCCCCACTTGCCTTGCTCTGCCATCATCACTCATTGTCTGCCCACACACACAGAGATGCCCTTTGGCACTGGCTGAGGGTGAATGCTGCAAATCTGTCTCCTTTGGTTCCCAATTTAAGTTTTCCCTGAAGGAAACTTCCTTCTTCTTTAGAAGAAAGATGTGTTGCACACCTTCAGACATGTGCAGAAAGCCTACAAGAGTGTATCCAGCATTTGTGACATTAATTAAATGCTGAAGTTGTCTGCATACACAGCTTCAATGCCCACAGAGACTTGGGTGTCTATGGTTTTACTGACCTTGGATAGCCAGAAGGTGGCTTTGTGTCACTTAAAAAATTATAAGTCTTTGATTACTGATACTGCTGTCTGTAGAACTGACACAAGAGCTCATGTAACAGAATAGCTGGGGATAGATTTCTTTTATTAGTCATAGTTTTGAAGCACTTGAACATTGTGTTCAATTTATGTTTGGAAAGGGGAGGTCATTCCTACTGTTCTGTTCCTCTATAAAAATCTCTTGCTCAGAATTTAACCTGGCAAATAGAATTTATGCCTTGTGGCCCAGTTTGTGCAAATGGCATTTCATCATTTGGTCATGAGGAATCTGTACAATCAATATGATGTATCATTACAGGCCATTCATGACTCTTTGGTACCTCATCAAAATGCATGTCTTCCCAGTTTCAGACATTCCTGGATAATGGAGAGTTTGGGCCATTAATGCACTGATTGGCTATACAGCAGGTGTTAAAAATCACACTGACTGTCCTTTGTTACTTATCAAAGAGCTGCTTGCTACAGACAATTCATAAAAAGGCATTCACTAGTACTGCTAGATTTTTCAGATTATCTGAAGCTTTTATGCTCAGAAAACAAGGTGGTCTTCCAGAAGTGTTATGCCAGAATGCGATAATATATCCTTTTAATAGAGATCATTTGTTTTCTAAGCATTTTTTTAAGAAATGCTACCCAGTCCTGGAGGGTTAGTTGATTTTACAGTAGATTAATGGCTGTTTTCAAGAGACTAGCAGAGTTTACAACAAAATAGAATGAAATAATTCTGTGAGCAACAGATGCCTGTAACAGGCTCAAGATCTGATGCCCTGCAATTGGCTGTGCAGAGGCTGCTTGAAATCAGAAGTACTTCAGGGTAAGGTATCATGAGGGAACATTAGCCAGAAAGAAGACTTTGCTGTAACATTCTTGGAGGGAGAGCTGAATGCAAAATACAGTTTTTAAATTTATTTTTAATGAAAGGCTAAGCTTTTAAGCTATCAATTTCTGATGGCAAATGTTAATTTAAAACCTAGTTAGATGGAGTTGAAGTTTTTATTAAACAACTGGCTTAGTAAAGACTGTGAATTAAGTTTTGCTTGACTGCAGGGCTGTATTCCTTTATCCTGTTGTGGGCAAATGTCTCAGTCTCTTTGTATTCCTGTTGGAATCTGTAGAGTATTTAGAAAACTCAATCATCACAATCTAGCACTCTGCGATCCATACATAGTGTATTTTCTTACAAGATTCAGGCTGTTTTCACTGGTAAGGCCAAAGTCAATCTTCGTTCCTCATGCTACTAGTATCAGTAGTGGTACATCAGAATGAACTTGGTTTATTATGCAGGTATCAACAAGTAAGTTCTGTGTGCTCTCCTGTTTTGTTTTTTCAGATTCCAGCTTGATTTCATTTGAAACAGCTGAGAGACCGAATTATTTTCTTCAGCTTGTCTCCAATAATACTCTTGTTGTTTCTAAATGGAAAAAATCGGAAGATTTTCACAATAGGTCTACGTTTGTCATCCACAAGAATACGTGGCTGTCGGGATACAGTTCCTTTGAGTCATTTGCAAAACCAGGATTCTTCATCCATATTTCAGCCTCTTCAGTTGAGCTTTTGAAATACCACCATTCAGAGGAGTTTAGACTGTCAACCCTTTTTAAACTAGTAGGTAGGTAATTATACTTGAGTGTTATGAGCAGCAGTTTTCTCCCTGTGCAAATCCAGGCGAAATGGTGTTGTTATTTTCAGAGGTGATGAGATTGCTTACCTCTCCCCTACATTACCAGGAGCTGTGGGAACTCTGGGATATCCAGGCTCAAAATATTTTTCCCTGAGCATTGTAGGGAAGATGAGATTCTGTTTTCTTGTGAAAAGCCATAAAATAGCTTAATACACAATTTGTTTTTTTCTTTTTAATTTGCCAAATGGATTTGGAAATACATATCCTAATGGATATTTTCTGGGCAATACTTGCTGTGGAGGTGGTAAGAAAATTCTTTAGGAGAGGAACATTCATACTCACAAATTATGTATTCACAAAGGGAATAGAAAAAAACAGATCTCTAAAATTTAAAGTGTGTGGACAACATTTTCTCTCCTTTGCCTGCTGCCAAGAGAAAGATTTCTGTACAGTGGATTCTCATTTTTAACCTTGTGGCCTCCTCAGGAGTAATGCCATCCAGTGCTAAGGACACGGCGTGTAGGCTACACCTTTCAAAGCTCATTTTCTCCTGAAAAATACCTTGGCTTTTATCCACTACCCACTCAGAGATGCTGTGTCTGTTGGGATGTTAACCACTGTCACTCATCATCTAGTTGGGGGTATTCACCCCTTCCTGGGGATACAGATGTTAATTTCCCTAATGTTTCTTGAACAGATACAGCTTTTGAGTACAAAACAGGCTGCTGTGAGGGTGTTTCTACCTACCTGTGAGACTCCCATTCCCATAATAGTTACGTTCCACTGAGACGCTAGGATCAGAAATGAAGATATTAGTCTGAGGGTCCTTTCATAGGAGCTGGCTGCAGATGTTGCTCCCACAAGAGCTGATGACAAAACCACACACACACACACACAAAAAGTCATTCAAGATATTTATATTTCTGTGCAAAACCATTTTTGTTTGGGTTTTTTTTTTTGTTGTTGTTGTTGTTTTTATTTTTTTTTTTTAATATCAGTAGGGAAAAGAAATAATAAGTATTACAGTTTTTACATATTACAAGTGGAACCATGCACTGAAATGAAAGTAGCCTTGGAGGTCAGGAAAAACATGAAAGAAGTTATATTGGCATATAAAATAAAGAAAAGCAGATCATTCATGTAACTACTCTTTGCTTTGGCTTTTACTTGCCTTAACACATTAGATACATCAAACCTATTCATTTATGAAGTTCAGTGACAACAATTACTTGCTGAAATCAAGTATAGTATATATAATTCCAAAATCACTTCAAGTGATTATGTTCTAAAACTTTTTTATTGTACTGAAGTTTTAAATGCATTAACTATTTATTTATTTATTTTTTGGCAGAAGTATTTTAATAAGTGTTCCTGGCTATACCATGTTTTAAAATCAGTTGTTCATTCTCTGAAACTGAAATGTGTTTTACAAGCAAAGATTAAAAAAAAGAAATATTGTATCAAGTAGAGCATGGCCTGGCCATGTTTTACAGTGACCGTCTTGAATGGTGGCACAGACAAACCTGAAGCAACCTTTGATTTCTGTGACAGAAGAGGCCAACTGTATGCCTCGTGGAGCTTCTTGTTATCAAAACACTGAATTAAAGTGTTAATGGTGTCATTGTGAATCTGCCGATGTTTTGCAGTACATTACGCTGACAGCCTAATGCAGCTGTTGACTGGCACACTCCAACTCCAGAAAAACGACAGATTTTGTCATTGCCAAATGCCTGTTGCCTCTTGACAAATGCTTGTAATCACAGAGCTGTTGAGGTTTTTGAGCGGCAGAATTAGAGGGCTAATGCTATTACCGGGATGTTCATACAGCATTTCAAGCAAGGCACTTTTTTGGGACATAACAAAAATATCTCCTTAGTCTTTTATCTTTGAGGGAGGAATGAAGAAGGTTAAAGCATGTTCCAATTCTCAGTGGTCATCCATTAACACAGAATGGTATGTCTTTTCAAGTGTGAAGTCTTTACCCTCCAGTCATTATACCGAAAAATCCTATTTATGCCAATGGAAAACTAAAACAATTTACCTCAGCAAGTGGGATCAGATCAAATGATCAAGAGGTATTTCATTAATCACCACATCCGAGGGCTTGGGTTTCAGAGTTTTATAAGCAGAGGAGCATAGGGCTCCAATCTTTCTCCAGTGTACTTTCACAAGGGCCAGCCTGCTGATGTAGGGTAATTACATGGTCTAAAAATACAGCAGCATTTGTTTAAGTTAATGGAAAAGTTACACCAGCTCCAGAGTGCGCAGGCAAAGGCATATTGGGTTTCCTGCTGACTATTGTAAATGCTTTGCATATTAGATCAGAAACTCTTGAACTGGGAGCAGCTATTCCTGCGGAATCAGAGGATAAATATCAGGAGCAGAATAATAGGCCCAGTAAATCCCCTTGGCCAGAAAGTTCCTCATGAGACTTCTGGGTGCTCTGTGACGCACATTCAAAAGGAAGAATTTTAAGTGACCTGCTCACCACAGCAGTAGACACATGTCTGTTTCGAGTCAGCTGACGAGTCACTTTTTCCAGTTTTATCGCAATAAATATTGTCACGTTGGGATACACCAAGGCTGGGAGGTGTTTGCCACGAGAAGTCACTTCAGCTTTAAAATTAGGTTATTTTCATTATACTTTGCTTTTTTGCTGTTCCTGTTCCCACAAACATTTAAGGAAATTGAGTAGAAAACTGAATTTTGATGTGTATCGCAAGGAAATGTATTTTTGCATTCTATTCAGGAATTGCTTTGCTGGCAAACAAATTGGTATACATTCAGTCAAAAGAAAGAATACCCTTACACTTACCAGATGGACAAACACAAAGGTGTAATGTAAGAGCCATCCATTCCCATTTGAGATTGCTGGGAAATAACTTCATGTAGGAAATTTATGACCTTTTTATGGATATAGCTGCTATTTTCTTATACCTTTTAAAAATAATATGCTCAAACTAGTCACCTTTCATCATTCATATAATTGTCCCCCATTTAGGATCACTATGAGTTATTTTTGTCTGTTACGAAAATGTGACTTGCCCTGTATAAATTCTGCAACAAAGTATTTAACAATGCTGGTTACATGCTGCAATAGCTAACTTGCTGTAAATACAAAGCCTGTTTTAGAGAGAATTTTCAGCTAAAATTAAAATATCAAGATGCACTGAGTATAGGCACACTGCACAGAGGCATTTTTCAATGTTTAAGTTTGATACAGAGCACTTCTAATCTTGATATTTTAATTAACTCAGTCACATTCAGAAATATGGTGCAAAACTGAAAATTAAATTCACTTCAATGAAAAAGTTTTTTACAAAACTATCTTTTTACCTTAAGTCAGTTTTACACCGGCTGTTTTAACATCAGTTTACTCTTATCCACTTCCATTAGCAGAACTAATTTTCTGGAGTGTCTTGCTTCACTCATAATGAGTTGCTGTTGAGTTTGATTTGAGCTCGTGTGCTTTGTTGGCCCAAAATATCTTGACTTGGGGCTGGAAAATGCTGAGCAACTGCTGCTGTACCTGCAAATCCCATGTGTGCCACTGAACACATCTGCCTGGTAGCTCCTGCAGTCGGACTGAGGTTTCTGTACAATAACATCTTTCCTTTTTTCCATCTTTCCATCTTTTCTTTTCCCTGTTTTTCCACAAACATTTGCCCTACCATTTTTGGCTGAATAAATAGGAGGAGATTAAAGGGTTGTGTTAACATTGTAATAGTAAACTGAGCCGTACGTAGATGAGAGGTAGGTAATTGCACTTTGCTTCCAGTGATGTTTTGGCTGGGCACAAAGTTTAGTTTTTCCAGTGATATTTGCTTACATTTCTCATTGCAGAAACTTAGAAGTCATGAGCAGGGTTTGTTACTCGTTTGTGTGTGTTAAGTGAGTAGATAGGATTTCATGTTTCTAAACTTGTAACTGAGGAGACAGGCAATCTAAGTTACCAAGCAGAGTTTTGCCTCCATTATAAATAGAACTAATTCTAAAGCAGTTTTTGTGCCTACTGGATTTTAAAAAAAATTTTGGGCTAAAGTAGCAAAAAAGGAAAAAGTGTCAGGTAAGAATGAAAACCCAAATATTTGATTTTTTAAAATTATTTTTAGATGTTTATTTTAAATACAACCTTTTATTAACACTGGAATGTTTCAAATTTTAGGGTTTATTTTTAAGTAAATAGCCATTTTTTGAGCATAACTTGGAATTATTCATATTGCTGAGATTCTAACAATGGAAGATTTTGACCCTGTGACATAAAAGTCAGCATAGAAAACTAAGGTCAGGAACTTGTGAACAGTAAGAATTGCCAGCTGACAAAAAGAAGTGGCCAAGTCACTAAGAAAGGTGGTTGTGGCTCAGCAGAACCTCAGTCTGTCAGTGATAAAATAGCAAAAATCTTCATTAAATGGTAGCTACTTCTGTTGTCATCCCAGTTTTATTTTTGAAAGCCGTGAAGAAGAAAATCATAAATTACCGGGAAGAAAACGCTTCTCCGGTGTTGAAGAAGGTGTGAAAGCAGAGGAGTTGGGAAATGTCTTTTAATCTATTAAAAGCCACTGTCACCCAGGACATCAGTCACCATTTTGGGAAGGATTTGCTGTGTCACCCAACAGGAGACAAATGCTGGTAGACTTGACAAGGAGACACATGGCTATCTCCAGATGCCATGACGAATCCTTTTGAGGAACACATGCCTGGAACGAGAAGCTTGATTCATTGTCTGTAAACTGCGAATCATTGTTCTGTGGTGAGGGAGCTCTGCTGCTGCTCAGGCTGCTGTAAGCTCGTGTTACTGCTTGCTGGAAGGGGAATTTAAGTATTAAAAAAATGGGAAGCATGTGGTGGAGGTGGCTGAACAACCCAAGTGACCTCAGCCACTCCTCATGGGGCTTCCGCTCAAGGCCCTTCACCATCTTCATTGCTCCTTTGGGCACTCTCTAGCAGCTGAATGCCCTTTTTTTATATTGTGGTGACCAAAACTGCACACAGGGCTTGAGGCGAGGCTGCACCAGAGCAGGTGTTTTTGTGTTGTTTTTTGTTTTGTTTTGTTTTACAGTGGCCTGATCCTTGGGATGCTCAGGCATTCCAGAAGTTAGGTTGACAATAGTGAAAACTCTAAATATGATGAATTATTGAACTGATGTTTTCTTAATACTCTAAAGAATTTTCCCACAAGTCATAAAAAAGTACAGATATCCAAATACTTGATTTTTCATCATACCTTATGGGTTTACAGAGACATCCTGAAAACTTTCTGAGAAAAAGGAAAACAATTCATACAAATACTCAATACTCAACTCTTGCTGTGGTTATTTGGTGTGTTCTTTAATGTAGTTTGCATGTGGTGGAGGTGGCTGAACAACCCAAGTGACCTCAGCCACTCCTCATGGGGCTTCCGCTCAAGGCCCTTCACCATCTTCATTGCTCCTTTGGGCACTCTCTAGCAGCTGAATGCCCTTTTTTTATATTGTGGTGACCAAAACTGCACACAGGGCTTGAGGCGAGGCTGCACCAGAGCAGGTGTTTTTGTGTTGTTTTTTGTTTTGTTTTGTTTTACAGTGGCCTGATCCTTGGGATGCTCAGGCATTCCAGAAGTTAGGTTGACAATAGTGAAAACTCTAAATATGATGAATTATTGAACTGATGTTTTCTTAATACTCTAAAGAATTTTCCCACAAGTCATAAAAAAGTACAGATATCCAAATACTTGATTTTTCATCATACCTTATGGGTTTACAGAGACATCCTGAAAACTTTCTGAGAAAAAGGAAAACAATTCATACAAATACTCAATACTCAACTCTTGCTGTGGTTATTTGGTGTGTTCTTTAATGTAGTTTGCATACTAAAAAACACCAGTATAGCTTGGCCTCGCATACTCCATTCTCTAAATCTCTTGACTGGAAAATTACATGTCCATTGGTTCTACAGCTTGCTGAAAGTAATTTTTTATGACCAGGTTCACAAATTCTTCTGTTGTACATAGCTGTTTTTGTAGAAGTAGAGACAAAATTTGTGAACAAGCACGACTTCATTCTTGACTTGAAAGCAGCATTTATGAAACACTCGAGAAATTCTATGCATTTATGTAGAAATTCACCCGAAGTCCTACCAAAGTATGCAACACCACCAAACTCTGAGAACTTAAGCTGTAGGAAATCTTGAGGAAAATGTGGCCATCATTTCATAAAAGTCAAGGTTCATTTGGAGAATGGGAGATGGTATGTTAATCCCAGCACTTGGAAGTGTTAATTCATGGCCACCCTTCTTCTAAATTGAGAAACTGTCATTCTTCATCAGGTTACAGTCTGTCTTCTGCAAGCTTGTACTTTTATTGTGTTTGAAACTTACTCTGTGGTTAAGGGTGAGTTCCGTGGCCAGAGTTAAAAGTTATGGATTTGTCTCCTTACTTAATCTAGGGTAGACTAATAAATGAGATTTTCTGCGTTTACCTTGGATTTATTTACTGTTATCGCTGCTTTTGGTGATTGCCCATGCCAGCAGGTCTCTGATATGTTTTGTCTTTCTGCCATATATCTTCTTTTTTTCCTTAAACCTTGTATTTCTGCTATGTGTTTTCTTTTGTCCTTAAACCTTACCACTCAACAAGTCCATGCATACAAGACCTCATACATCAGTCACCAAAATGTATGGCAAAAATACACTTCCTCCATTGGATTTATGTAACTTATATTGGTGTCATTGGAAGGGGTCACAGAAGAATTCAGTCACATGTACTTAACTTCTTATGAGAACATAATAAATGCATATTCTACTGTCATAAGAATTGCATTTTTGAAAGCACTGACAAATTACGTTCCGGGATAAAATGAGATGTAAAAGGGGTAACACTAGATGGCAACATGCACACCCTTTTGTCTGAGTTTGATTTCTATTTTTAAGAGAATTATTTGTATTTTAAGAGAAGACATTAATGGTTAATAATGACAGAGGTAATTAATTATAAATGCAGATGCCCTAAATTACAGGATTAAAAATTTCTCAGTATCTTCATGGAAAATTTTACTGTCTTCAAGAAGATGTAAAAGAGCTACTCCTTGTATCTCAGTCAAGCAAAGATCAGGAAAACTTAAAAAATACTTCAAAACCACAAAAATGGAAATTCTTTCTAAGTAGTTAGCATTTTCTTTCTGGTGTTTAATGTAAACATTGTTTAAGAGCAGTTTCTCTTTGTAGGCTGTGAACAACATTGCTCTGAGCTCAGGTTTAGGAGTTTAGAGGGGATTCTTATATGATGGTGGTTGTCTTCTGCAAGCATGATTGTACAGTAAATGTCACTGCCCTGCCCTGGCTGCTGCTAGAAGAGCTGGGGTGGGCTGTCATAGTGCAGGGACTGATATCCAGATATGTCATGTAAATCTTGCAGGTGTTGGAAGAGCCACTGGGCTAATCCAACATTGTGCTGGGGATCTGCTCTGCATGGAGGTGGGAGAAGGATGGAGTGCATTTAAATTTGTGTTTCTATTATGTGGCTTGAAAGTCTTTCAATAAACACTGTGTGTAGATGCTACCGCAAATGTAAGGCATGCCTCTTAGTGATATGTATCTGTGAGTGCTTAAAGGAATACAAGAGTAACAGATCTTTGTTGTTTTTCAGATGTCAAATTTAAGCTTCTGTCCCGTTCTACGTGTGAATGGCGTTATGATGCCTGCACAAGCCCTTGCTTCAAGACATGCAGAGACCCTTTGGGAAAAAACTGTCAGACAGTACCAAAGTAAGTGTATTTTTATAGAAAAGTGTGTAATTTAGGCAAGACACTTAAGCAGGATAATAGGAGTATGAGGGACCAAATGTACAGTTAAGATATCCAGACTGTATTCTTGGGTAAGGAGGTAAGCGAAAGATGAAAGCAATGGAATAAAACCTGCTCCTGTAGCCACATAAACTTGACATTTCAGCCTTTAGTGTACTGTCAGGTTCTGGAATGACTGCTATATTTGTAACTTTCATTTTGGGAGTATTACAGGGTATTAATGAAGAGAGGTTATCACAACTTTGTTTCAAACAGTTGTGCCCTTGCTTTTCCATTATGTCATTGCAACAGCTATGTCTGGCCTTGCTCTTTCCTGTGAAGTGAAATTTGTACTAAATCAGGTAAAAGTGACACTCAGATTTTGACATGTAAAAATATTGTGTGTTTCTTATTCACTCTTGAATCTGTGACTGCTCATTTCAAAAGCTGAGTGTCACAGAGTTCATGCTTTCCCTTAGATCTGAGTGGGAGTAGAAGCATGGCAATGACATTTTGAAGGAGTACACTGAGGTGTACCAGGTTGTCTGCTTAAACATACTTTATATATAGATTCTTTTCCTGAAAATGAATGCTTGATCCAGAAGATACTATTCAACAGTTAATACTGATTGTTTTTCTTTTAGAGTGGAAGGATGCATCCCTGCCTGTCCTCTCAACATGTTGCTGGATGAAATCACTCAAAGATGCGTGTATTTTGAAGACTGTATGTTTGAAAACTTACTTGTATCATATATTAGACTTAGCTTAATAATTAATTAGTTCTTTAGTCAAAATTTCAAATATCAGTGCCTGCATTTGTGTAACTGTGACCTTAGTTATGTGAACCTTGAGCTCACTAAACATAGATTTTAGTTAAAATAATTTAATTCCTCAAAAATATGAGACAAATTTTAAACTAAGAAAGATGGTCTTTCTTCATAAAAGATTTCAGTAATATTAGATGTCAAGCAAATGATTTATTGAATTTATTTTTAAATTTGTCTATGAGTGTTAGAAGTTTAAAGGCTATTGAAAAGATCAGTTTTACGAGTTAACCTAGAACTCTGGTGGCTCCATTGCTATAATGATTAATGAATTTCAGGCTGTTTTCTTGTGTCTGTTTTCAGGCATTGAACCTGCAGATGACAGCCCACCTTTGCTTCTCAGCACTCAAACCCCAGCAGTTCCACATATAACACCAAGTGCAAGTTTGGCAGTGATCAGTGGAGAGGCAACTTCATTTCCTGTACCTGAAGCAAAGGACAGGGAAACAACACTTGCTACAAAATTGCAACTCACAGCAACTACAGGGAAACTGCAATTTTTGGCTACTACATCCAATAAAACACTTCCAGCCAAAACTTTACCTCCAACTATTTCTTCACAGTTAACAGAAATTACTTCTGGGAAAAGCACTACAGCAATAACTGGGACAACAAAATCTTATGTAAGCTTGTCTGCTTCTGTTGACATTTCTCCTTTGTTTCCCTCTGCTGTCAGTTCAGAAACTTCCACAAGGATACAGCTGATCAGTAGTGGCTCCACTAAACAGCTGAGGGCTACAGAACCTCAGGCAGCAACTGCTACACATGCAGTGACCACAAGAACAGAGCCAGAGAGCAAACCAATTGCTACTTCTGTTTTTACTGGGGCACCACTTATACTTAGAACAACAGAAGTGCCAGTCAAAACTACAATAATGGAGTTATCAGAAGTGGCCACAAGAACACTTCCCACGAAAGAAGCACAACTAAGACCAGAAGGACTTACAACATTTACACCCAGCTCATTTGAATCAATAACAGAAAAAACTACTGCCTATGTGCCACAGCTTTCTACATCATCTCTGGAAGTGCCTTCATATACACCACCAGTAAACTTAACAGGAGCTTCTGAAGGGACAAAAATAAGCGTAGAACAGTCGTTTACCACAGTAGCTAATGTTACAGTGACATCATTTTCTCCTATACTCAGTACTTTATCTTTATTAAAGCCAGTGTCTTCAGCAACAACAGGAACAGCAGCTGTTTTAACCAAACAGAGTGCGAAGACTACATTTTCACCAACATCCACACCACCTCTTTTAGCAGGAAAGAGAACTACAGAACCTCCTCTTGGAATGGTTCAACACCTGACTGGTACTCCAGAGGTTCTTTTCACTACAACTTCAGGTCCAAAGATGGCAACTCTACAAACCCAAGAGAGATCATCAGAAACAACTTTGTTATCATTTACAACTCATAAAAAGGAAATCCCAAAAATAACATCTCACGTGGAGCGTACGTCAAGTTCCTATTTCCCTCCCTATTCACCACATCCTAGTTCTAGTACTGAAAAATCTTTCATTCTTTCTACAAAGAAACCTGCAGTGTCTGCTCCTACTCCTGCTTCTCCAGCTTCAGGTGAATTAAAAAAAACATTTAAAACTGTTTCAACTACAGGATATCCCTTACACATGGTTCTAAACACAACTGAGTTCCTGACTACGTTATACACCAAATATCCGGTCATGGCTGAGACGAGCAGTGCGACACCTTTGTCTCTTAAGGTAACATCCAAAAGAACATCCCCTCTTGAAATAGCAACAAAGTCAACTTTGTTTTCTGGAAAAATATCTACTGAATATGAGTCGGCTCTGGTTTCAAGTACAATGAAGACAAGCAGTCCAGCATATCCAGATAGTGTTACAACATCAGCAATGAAAACCAAAGAAACCACTACAGCTCCTTTTGTAGCTACAGAAAGAGAATCACCTCAAAGAACATCCATCACTGGATCTCCACTTGCTCTCCTTAGTGGGACTGAAACCACATTGTTGACAACACAGCCTGATAAATCACAAGTAGAAAGTATTACTACCATCTCTGCTGGAAAGCCATCTGCTTTGTCTTTTTCACCATCAGGTTCTCTGATTTCTTTAAACATTTCTCTTCCTTCACTACTCTCAGATGGAAAAGAAACATCGCTGACAACTCTCAGTCCCATGAGTACATTCTCTGAAATAACCTCTTTGTATCCTAGAACAACTGTACAAAAAACTATGTTAACAACAGAAAAGACCTCTCCAGTCCCAATTTTCTCTATTTTATCTTCTATATTAGAACAATCAAGTTCAATAACAACAGTACCAGATGAAAAATCACTAGTGAATATCACTGATGCCACATTCTCCCCAGCCTCTGAATTCAGCAGTCAGCTCACAACAACCAAAAAAATAATAGGCAAAGAAAAATCCTCTCTGTCCCCTTCTGTTGCTCTTCCAGTGACAAAGCCTTCTTACACTTTCTCCACCTCTCAGTATCTAGGAGATAAATTAGTTTATTCACCTTTAACACAGCTGCTACCAGAAGTAACAACCACACCAAAACATTCAGTAGAAACTAAAATGGTTTCTACAGCTTTAAAACCTGCAGTCCAGAGTATAACAGAAGCAGAGAAAATTCAAGCAGCTGCAGCTCTGCCATCCCTTCCTCCATCTTCAGCAGGCCCCTTCTCCTTGCAGACATCTTCAGGAGCTAAACCTTTGGTACCAACCACCAGGACCACTGTTACACCGCCTTATTCGGCTCAGAAGACTACAGAACTTGATCATCAGACCTCTGAACCTTCACTGACGAGCCAAGTTCACCAGTATCCTGCAGAATCTCTAACACAATCCCCTGGTCAGCCACAGCCTGTCTTTAGCACAACTGAAGCTGCAGCAGAACTGACTTCCTTGAAGACCTCACTACCTGAAGGCACTCATTCCAGTGTGTTACCTCCCTCAGCAGGTCCTACCAAAGTTATTTTACCAACTCAAAAATATTTGCATTTAACTGATGCAGTCACACAGCCACTTGTATCAAGAACTTCTGTTTTGCAGCCTACAGTCCCAGCTAGAGCAACAGCTGACTTGATTTTTGGCACCAAATTTCCCCCTTTCTCACCAGAAGTGCTTGCCACTTCGTCTTCTTCAGCAACAATTGAAAAAGAACTGTTTCCTTCATTTTCCACGCAGAAGACAGCTACAGATCTAAAATTTACACATCAGGCCTCATTTACTAAATCCCTTGATTCAAGACAAACACTTGAAGCATCACCTTCATCGGATTCTGAGTCAACCTCTTCAATGGTTTTGCCACCAGGAACAGCAGAAGTTCCTGTCATGTTGGGCTCCACATCAGGGGGAAGTGGCACGGAGAAAGCTATGGTGTTGCCTGAGCAGGTCACACCTTCAGCCACCATGCACAGCTCCGTGATCCTACCAAGGACAGCCTTGCCCACTGAGCCCCGCTCACCACCCGCAGCTTCAGCCTCTCCAGCAATAAGCAGTGCTGGGCAAAACCTCAGTACTGCATCAGCAGCTTCAGACAAAGCAGCAGCAGTCACAGAGCCCATCTCCAGCTCTCCTTCTGTTACTTCAGAAGAAAAAGGAGCCATGCCCCTCGACACAGTGAAGTCTGAAGAGTCAGAATTAATGACAGAATTCCAGTCTGTCCATACTCAGGGTGTTACTGTTACACCTCAGACATTTTACCCTCCATATTTCACAAACACAACTTCAGTTCTGTCCATTGCACATTCACCTGCTGAATCAAAAGTGTTTTCTTCTATAGCTCCATCATCAGTCAGTACTCCTCAAACTTCAAAATTTGAAGTAACATCTGAGATGCAAACACCTTCTGTGAGTTCACTGCTAATGATATCTGATCATCCAAATGACACAGCAGCTCCATCAGCTTCCTCATTTACTTCATCTACCAAACCACTTCATGGCTTGACTACAACATTTTCTGATGGGCTGACAATAGCTGAAGCTGTGGCAGGAGCTGCAGCATCACCTTTTATGTTGCCTCAAGAAACAGCAACTCTTCAAACTTGTACAGTGAGTAGATATAAATAATTACCTGCCTGCTTTGGAACATGTCTTATTTATTTCTCCACACTGATTAAAAAATAAAATTGTGAGCCATGCCTTGATCTTTAGGATTTAAAATATCTGTATCAAGCAAAGGAGCCTGATTATGTTCTCCATTATATCTCAGACCTTGGGTAACTTCATTATGCATAACATTTTTTTCAAAATGTTGTACTAGACTGGGTTTCAGGCCTCACTTTTCTGAGTGTGACTGTTACAAGAATGGGGTTTTTGACAAAAAAAAGGTGTTTCATACTGTCCAGTGTCAGTGTTTTGTCTCGTTCTCCTCTTTAAAGCACATAAGGCATCCAGACATCCCTGTTACCATTCCTGCTTGTTTCCTTCCATGTTTTCCCTTCTCAACTTTTTTCATTGTAAAGTTAAAAACTCAGTAGTGCTGTTCTCAACTTTACTATAGGACAACAGTTAATCTATCCTCAGAATGGTCAGGTTTTCAAAGATGCTCTTTTCTTGTAGCTTCCATCAGTATCATGGGGATCAATAAGTATTCTGTGCCTGAAGAATGTAAATCCCTTTTTCAACAAAAACGATTCAATATTGTGATACTAAGTTGGTATGAATAGTAACCTCTGTCTTTTATTGAATCTGCCTTAGCCAATCACAGAGAATGAGTGCATAAAACACATTTGTTTGGATGGACAGCTGATCCAGGTTAATAAGTCACAGAACTGCCCATACAATGCTACTCAACCCAGCTGTGGAGTTTTAGGATTTGCTACTCAAACAAATGGTGACAAATGCTGCCCAAAGTGGGAATGTGCATGTAAGTTTTAATTCTGCAGTACTTTTGAAGTACATTCGGGTAACAGTTTAATGCATATGTAAGGAGGGTAAGAACTGACACTTCTATACATAGTATAGAAGTAGAAGATGCACATTTTTTGGGTAATTCATTGTTGAAGGAAATTTATAATTGTAGTTCTATATTCAGGGAAATAAAATAAAAATGCTCCTTTAACATACTCAGCATTAGGTATCTGCAGTGGATATGTTTAGCTCTGATTTAGACAACTCTTGTTATCTCTCTTATCAGGGGACACCTAATCAATACAGGTTTTTTTGGTTCTATGCTTAACTACTTCAGGATGACAAGATTTCCTGGACTGTTGACTACTTCTGTTAACAGTCTGGGGACTCTATTAGCAATTAGCACTTCTGCTTAGGCTTTGGAGTTTGAAATTACTTGGAGTAGAGGTCCAAGCCCACTGAAACACAAAAGCTTTAGCAATAGGACTGAGGAAGAATGAAACTTTTCACCTTAGGAATAAGACTGCAGGTGAACTATGGATCTGGCATGATCTGCTGTCACACATGATTATTCTTTGTTTGGAGTTTCTAAGAATTGCAAGCCTTTGTTGGCAAGAACGGTAAGGAAATAGCTGATTGCAGAGGTCTGCAGGTTGCCTTTCTGAAAATATGCATGATTTGATTCTGCTGTCCATTTAGAAAGATGCACCAGTATCAAATATGTGAAAATATGTGCTGCATATAGGAATCTCTTAGTAGGCTAGTTCATATTATAAAATTTATTGGCTTATCTTCATATTTTGTAAGATTTACTGGAATTCTAAAGTAAGTCAAAAAAAACCCTTTTTTTTTCCTTAGGTCGTTGCACCATTTTCTCTGATCTGAGCATTGTAACCTATGATGGAAATCATTTGGCTTTATTCAAAGAAGCATCCTACATTGTTAGTCAAACTCCAGATGAAACTATAACCATCCATGTCCTTGACTGTAGAATGGTAACTAACATTTATCAGCTAACAAAAGGTGTTTGGTACTGCTAATAAGATGTATCTGAAAGGCAAGAGCATAATAATACTTTATATTGTGGCTATTATTCACTTCTGTGCAATATCTATGAATTGTGCTTGCATTTCACAATACTTAGGACTTTTGTAACACTCTAACACCTGGCTGTAAATGCATAGTGAAACAGCTGGAAGATGAGAGGTGGGTCCATGTTATCCTGTGGTATGTGTAATATGGTGATGAGAGATTAAGTGGATTTACATAATTAGTCACTTCTGTGAGTGCTGTCTTATTACCAATACCACCACAGTTGTACCAGTACACCACCAGTTTCTTTCAATGGAGGATTTTTATCTGTGTTCATATGGACAAACATGGGCTGGAAACACCCATCTTCAGAGCCATGAAAGACTGTAGGAATGCCACCCTGTGCTTTCCAAGTTTCTGACACAGGAGTGAGAGAGACCTAATGGGGATCCTCTCTGATGGGGTAGTGTGGGTTGGCTTTTGTCATGGAAAGTTCATTTCTTGTGAGACTTTTCAAAACTCCTCTTAACTCCAATCTCTCCTGTGAAGGCGATGTCTGTATTTGATGTCTATATGAATGTCCATTGCAAAGTTTGGTTTCAGGTTTCATGTAATGGAAGTTAATTTCAGAAGCTCAATATGACTGATGCGAAGACAATGTGTTTGTGACTTTCAGATTTGTTTTCCTCTTTTATTCAATATCTTCTGTTTTATTCACCCTAATGTAGCTCAGGAAGTATGCATTTATTCCTGATCCACTACCTCTGTGGTGTACATATCATACAGATTCATCATTCCCAGTCTCATCCTTGCAGACCTTCAGATATGTAGTTTGTATTTTTTTGTCCAAACATGTAGTCAACCATATTTTTTTTTCCCCTGAAAACGTGTGTTTCTGTTTTAGTTCCAAGATTGTATGATATAGCTCAGTTGCTGGAAACAATGTCATAGTATTTTGTTTGTTTATCCAGAGAAACTCTGTAGTCTTGACTTGAAACTGCAACCACAAATGGTTTTCCTCTCAATAGTATAATCTCCCAAAATCCTTAATGTCCTAGTACCTAAAACCAGTAAGCAACCAATGTATTTAGATTTTGCACATCATGGCTATGGGTGATGTATTTTTGTTTTCTCCACAGAATAATTCAAATTCAACTTCTTTGTGCCTGGCAATGTTGAACCTAACTTACGTATCAAATCAAATTATTATCAATCGTTTAAGCAGAAAAGTAAGTATTTTGAGGGGTTTTATGTTCCTTTAGGTAACACCTATTTCTGCAGTCAGCTGCCTCCTCACGTGGATACTGAGGAGTAGAGTAGATCACCTCAGGTGTTCGTATGATTCAATGTTCCCGTTTTGTAATTAAATAAATTTCTCCTGGTAAATTCAAAGAGTCAGACTGTGATCCAAGGGCAGTTAATGAGGTAAGACTCATTAGTACCTTTGGTACCTGTATTATCTTTATGGAAGAAAGCCTGACTGCTTCTGAAACTACTTAGGATTTAGATTCCTAAGCTGTGAAAAATCTGGCCTTAGTTCTTCTTCCAGACCATTAACCTCTCTTCTGTGTGTTGTTTAGATAACAGTAAATTCAAGATCTGCTTGGCCTACTGTTAGAAAATATGGATACAAAGTTGAAGATTCAGGCTTCAAGTATGCAGTTGAGACCCCAACAAAAATCAGAATTCAGTGGTTTCACAACACAGGTGTGATGATTATTGAGTTGAACAGTACCAGAGAACCAAGAGCTTTGGGACTATGTGGTAAGTATAGAGCAATGCAAGAAATAAAGGCTTTCAGATGCTTTGCTAGGGAGACACATTTTCCTAATTATATAAATTGTTTATTGCAGGGTCTGTCCCAAAAATGTATTGCAGATCACTGCAAATTTTAAGATACTGTTAGAATTAATCTGTGACTAATTTTGTTTATTGTTGAAATTATATTTGTGCTTATTCCTCTCATCACTCTTTGCCCACAGTGTTGCTTCTGTCTGTAAGCTGTTTGAACCACAGGCATGATTGCAGTTACCAAACCCAAATAATTAAGACAGGTCTAAGTCCACAATTTCAAATATGGTCATTTACAGATTTAGGGTTTGATAGCCATCTGGTAGGAAGTGGTACGTGCTATTTTCAGTTTCTAAAGGTCAGAATTCCCATTAAATGTAAACTTCAGAGAACTAATATTAGTTTAACCTGTAGGAGAAAATACTTTAGAGGGAATTTCTTAATACTGTTGCACTGTGTTAGGTCTGTTATGTGCACTGCTCTGTTAGGTCTGCACAGTTAGGTTCTCCTGCTTTATTTTTTTCTAAAAAGTACAGCCTTGAATAAGCTGGTGGTGTTACAGCTTTTGCAAGCATGTATTTGCTGATATAAATCCCCACTTCGGTAGCTGCATCTGTAAATTTATGCTGTAAATTGAAGCTGGAAATCAGGATTAAGGAGATCATATAATTACAGTGGATATCTTTCCAGTTTCAGAAAGGGCAAATGCCTGTAGCTCAGTATCAAATACCAGGAATAGCTCAGTCCAGTTTCCAGTCCTGCTGACAGAAATGTGCTTCTCACAAAGAGATTTTGAATTCACGCCATTTTGAAATTTGATTGCTAGCTCTTATTTGCCCTAACTTTTGTTTTCAGTATTGTTCTTACTCTTTTTGGCTAATTGGTATTGTATTTAGATAAAAAGAAAAAAAGACAGTAAAGACAGTGGATATTTATAATAAGCCTGATTCAAGTTATCCAGAGAATCTCTTTTGCCTTTACCTGTTTGTTTACTGTGGTAGGGAGGATTGGGAACATTACGTTCCTGGTTTACCAGGCATTTTGATTAGATGACAACACACTTCTGTGGATGGTGTTGCAAGTACAACTTCTTCAGGGAATGTGCTGTGTATTTCTGGTGTCACCTCTGACTGGAAGGTTCTCTGCATGTCTGCCTGTGACCTCGTTGTACTGCATCTTTTCAGGGTGAATTAGTCCAGCCTAAACTCCTTTCTGTGCTTTCTGTGTTAGTGCAGATAGAAGCAGCGTACTTTCGTCTTTTAGCTGAACTGCAGTATTGGTAGGTCTTAATTTCCCACCTTCATGGAAATGCTAAAACGGAAAAGACCATTACAGGTTTGTAGCACAAGCATCCTTTGGAAGGATCCAGAAACAGCGGTGTCTTTTACAGTGCAAGGATTGGGCAAGTGTGGCAGTTGTTGAAGAGCTGGGGTGGGAGATGAGGGACGTGGGAGGGGAACATGAACATTTCTATAGCAAAACTGGCGCAAAAAATTTAAAGCATGTCAGTTCTAGTCGCAATGGAACCTGCCAAGAAAAATGTGGAGTTTTAGTTTTAAAACTGTTTTAAATCTCCTTTTCAATGTGTAAGAGAAGTGAGAAAAGATGTCCCTGACATGACAGCAATCCTTTGAAGTCTTTCAGAGCCATCATGTACTTCCTGTCTGTGTTGCAAATTCAGACTCAAAAGGTTCAATCAGACAGTTTGGAAAGCTGTTTTACTCTCTGAATGTCCGTTGCTGTATCACTGATTGTCATCAGGAACTGCTAAAAATGGTAAAACAGACCAGTTCTTTAGAAAGGGGTAGAATCCACAAATACTTTTTTGAGCAGATAAAGAATTTTGTGGAGACAACAGAAGAAAACTCTCTAGAAGCCTGATACAAAAGTCTCAGAAACTGATTGGGAAGAAAGAATGGGGGTCTGATCCATCATTCTTTTTTCTATCTGCTGGTTTTTAAAGGATATTCTGAGGAGACTACTGCAATACTTGAATGTTCTTTGCTGACCACAGTCACCGTCCATGTTAAATTGCTCCTTTTGTTTCAAAATTTCTTACTATTTTAGTTAAAACAGAAAAAAAATGTGATGCTGCCTTCTGGGATCACATAAACATCCTGACATTGCTCCTTTTGTTTCAAAATTTCTTACTATTTTAGTTAAAACAGAAAGAAAAATGTGATGCTGCCTTCTGGTATCACATAAGCATCCTGACGTTTTATGGTTGTTCCCTTTTCTGATAACATTTACAATTTTAACTTGTTGCTATACGTGGAGGTGCTTTGCAACCTTTTTTAAAATGCATTTTTGTTTAGTGTTTGTGCAGCTTAGGAGCAAACTTCCAGTTTCTTAGCTGGGCTCTCTGAGCAGCTCTTTGATATGCAGTAGATTTCCATTCAGAGATGCATCTTTACTTTTGCTTTCCTTCATTTTTCTGAATTTTGTGTATTTTGATCCTAATGAAGATTTTTTACATCTGTTGTAGGTTGTGATACTGTCATGTTGTATAAGATTTTGAAAAGATGTTTACTTTTTTGAATATACCACTGCAAACATATTTCATATGTGTTAACCTGCCTTTTTTTTTTTTTTCCCCTTCTGGTAATTCATAGGGTTTTGTGATAGAAGCTTGGAAAATGACTTGATGCTTCCCAACAGGACAGTTTTAAGCCAAAGCAGTTCACCCTCGACTTTTATAGACAGCTGGCAAGTGCCAGACACGTTAAAGTATGTCGGAGAAGACAGGCATCAGGAAACTAATTGCTCAGTCATGGACTGCTCAGAGTGCTTAAGAATGGTGTTGAACCAGACCTTCAGCAGCTGTCACCCTTATGTATGTTAACTATTTCAAAGCTTACATTTTGAGAGAGCTGCAGTTCAGATATAATTTTGTATACTTGGTAATTTCACTAATGTGAGGCTACGTGTAACCATATCTGTTGAATGAGATGTATATTTTTGTGTGTGCTTAGTGTTGCAAGGTAAAAGTAATTGAAGAGTATGGCAGCTTGGTAGGAGAGTTGCAATAAACAACTTTAAAAATTTCACCTCTGTTAGTTTTGAAATACAGCATAATTCATAAACCAGTCACAGGTAATTCAGCTGTATCAATAAGATGTAGAAAAATGTAAGAGAAAATAGTTTTAGGATTTAATTAATCCTTAAGCCTTAAGTAATTTAACAAGTCCAGAATTGCAGTAGGTAATCTGAGAACCTGCATTCTCAAAGGCTCGAGAGACAGAGTTCCAGCTTGGAGATGTGAGAGGGCAGAACAGACCCTTGAAAGCAAGCCTAAAGCAAATAGCAAACTCCTGGTGTGCAGATAAATTATTTGTGGTCATGTGAGTCCATTTACCATTTGACCTTTTGTATATAGCTGATTTTGATGAAGAGGAGACCAAAAGTAGGTAAAAATGTAGAGGTAAGAAGGAACAAAGTAATTGTGCCTTCTACTAGAAAAACTGTATTACCTCTTACCTTGGCACTTATAAGAGATGAAACTAAGGAGTATAATCATGTCAATGTTCAGGAAGTCTTACTTTAAAATATTATTAGATTATGCTTGTACACTAATGAAAATTTACCATGAACCAAGAACTTTTGCCTTCTTTGTAGTGAATATTTTTTAAGGTCAGGCTTTCCTACCTAGCATAGCCTCTATGAAGGTGCCATCTCTGTTTTTTCCTTTGTTAGATTCCACCTGAGCAATTCTGTGATTTATGGGCTCGAGACACTGAGTACATTCAAAATCCATGTGTTTCACTAGCTGCCTATGTGGCAATGTGCAACAAATTCAATATTTGCATAGAGTGGAGGAGCTCTGATTATTGCCGTAAGTATTCTGCATGTATGCACACCTCTGTTTTTACACAAAATTTGACTAATTTAGGAATTGTTATAAATTGAAGATACCAATGCTTCTTGAGTCTTCCTGTACTTTGGTGCTGCTGCAGAAAGTGTGCCTTTGGAGATGGGATTAGGGAAATGAAACACCTGTGAGATTAGATGGAGTGTAAGGGGTAAAACCTGAGATCTTAGGGCATTCTGGCAGCAGAATTCTCCCACAGCAACACTAAAATGTAAGGCCAGATGGGATCTGTAGCTGGATCACAGCATCTCCTTATGCTGTCCATGATCACCTAGGAAAAGCCCCCTTCAGTGATAACATAAGAAGGTCTGTGGTTTTTGAGCCAACTTCTTTTTAATTCTTCAGTTTGTATGGATTTTATTAGCAATAACTGTTAAAAGGAGCTCTTACAAAATATAGCTGTTAATATGTATTCGATCCATTGTGAAGGGACACATTCACACTTGTTTTTATACCACAGTGATGCATTTTCTTTGGCCACTGCAAGTTATTCAGATTACTCATTCAGAGCACTCTATGACTGATCTGTGTAGTATTTGTAAATGTTTTTGAAGTTTAAATTATTTTGTGTCAACACTGTTGCATGGTTTGTAAGTCTGCTGCCAGAATGCAAACTGAAGCTTGATGAAAATGTTATTACAAGAAGAAAAGTAGAAGTGCTTGCAGATTCCTTATGTTTTAATTTGTTATGTAGGTAACTGGTCTGTGTTGGTGCTTCAGGATGGGAGATCCAACTCAATTAGTGAGCACAGGAAATTGACAAGAAGACAATAATGTGTTCTCTTAGGTGTTGCCTCATGGGATTACAACTTGAACAATGTCTGATTTATTTATTTCCTTCCTAGCCTTCCCCTGCTCTGAAAACTTCTCCTACCAGCCTTGCATAGCCGCCTGTGAGGTTCCAGAGAGTTGTGAGAATAAAGAGGTGGCTCCTCGGGACTCAGACTCCTGCTCAGTGCTGACAGAAGGCTGCGTCTGTGCTGGAGGGACCCTCCTTCACCGGACCCATACCGCTGTCTGTATTCCTGAAGAAAAATGTGGTATATTTGGATGTGATTTTCTTCTTTATTATCTGCAACTTGGTGGTCAGACACTTCCTTATTCATAAGTTGAGTTCTGGTTTGGTGTTGTGTGAGCTCTGAATATGTCATTCATTTGAGAATTCTAGATATCCAGTGAACATTAACTGTGCAGTGAGCAAGCCGGGGATGTCCTTGTGATGCACAATTTTGTTCACTTTCTCTCAGCTGGAGGATGCTCTTCAAAGTCTTTGCTTAAGTTTATGTATTCAGTTATTGTAATCATGTTAGTCTTGGCCTCCTTTTCACCCAAGGCCTTTGCCAAGGGTCCAACCTTTTGATACCCATTCAAATGACATGCAGCAGCAGTTAATTGCACATTCTGAATAATACATGTGTGTCCTGCCAGCATTCATGTTTATTTTCATTGCAATTCTGCCTCACCACACCAAATAATGGACCAATTTTTCCCCCTAACAGCATGAACCTTAAAGATTCAGTTTATGATAAATCATGCTACTAAAGCACTGTAAATTAATAATAGTTTTGACATTTGGGAAATAAAAAAGTAACTTCTTTTCGGATCGTTACTTTAAAAATGAAGGATGGGATTGGGATTTTAGGTGACTTGCAGTGGAGACACAAAACAAATTGGAGGCCTGGATCTTCTGGAAGGTGTTGAGTGTCTTGCTTTCCTATATAAACTCAGACACAGACTGTCTCCTCATTCATTTTTTTGTGGGGTGATGGACAAAATCAAGCCTTTAAAACGGTGGGATTTTTGTGGTTCATAGATCCACATCCACGATGGAAAAAATGGTGATCAGAATTGGAATTTAAAAGGAATTTCCTCTGTTTTCTGTTGTCCTGATCTAGCTTGTACAGACAGCTCAGGAGCACCTCATGCCATGGGTGAGATCTGGAGAACTTCTTTGAGCGGATGCTGTATGCAAACATGTGTTGACAGTGGGACCATAATTCCAGTGGAGCACAGCTGTTCAGAGATCCACAATTTGGAGTGTCAGCGATTTGCAGAAGTGGCCTTGCTTGTTCCTGATGATCAGACATGCTGTCCTCAGAAGATCTGTAGTAAGTATTTCTTCGTGGTTGTGAATACTGCATATACTGGAATATGCAGATGTCCTTTCTCTGAGGTTTGCTTTCCTGTTGCACTTTCAAAGAAAATGGAAACTACTTTGGTTTGAATTTACAGATTATGTAGAAAACTGTAGAAGCTATTTGGCTCAATATCCAGTTGGTTTTGGAGCAGAGGTAGAGGATAGGAGGACTGAAATAGTGCTGTGTTTATTTGAATATGAATTCTGTTTCCATCAAATTTAGAGATTACTGTTTTATTTTTAATATCCAAATACAAACAAATTATCTGGATAGTTCTGAGGAACAAGAAATCAATGATTGTTTATCTAATTTATAAAGTGAGCAGTAAAAATTGATGGTATTTTTTTTCACTTAATTCTTGCTTGGCTTAGAAAGTTTCAAAAAGAAACTTCAAGCAATTTTCATGTTTTGACCATCTGTGGTAGTGATGCAGTGAGTTTTCCAGAGGAGGTTTGGTTTTTTAATTCTTGCAAGGACTTAGCTCTAGTTTAACATTGCCTCCATGGAGAGTGTTGCAAATGATGAGCACTTCTGAATCCTGTCTCATGGGAATTTTTGTTGCTCCACTGTGTTTTTCATATGCCTGTAATTTGGAGTTTTGGGGTATTTAACTTCAAATACTGCTTGCCACTGCTCCACTCAATTTATAAATGCATAGTTTAGAAGATGCTTGTTCTCTTTTTTTTTCCTTTATGTGACAGTTTGTAATCAGAGTCTCTGTGAACTCCTAATCCCTGAGTGTAGCAGCTTGGAGAAGTTGGTCACCTACTACAGCGAAGAATCCTGTTGTCCCAGCTACGTTTGTGGTAGGTTTCTTTTGAAAGGTGAAGAAGTGCACTCTGTAAAAGACATTCAGTGAACTAAATAGATCGACCCAGAAGGATAAGGGTAGTGTAGATACCATTGCTTGTATGGCCATTTACAAAATTCACTTTTGTCTATAGCTTGGGGTTGGTCTGTGCCTCAGTTTGAGCAGTCTTGTGTTAAATGATCAGGCAAGGTCTTGGGATACAAGGTAAAAGCTTTTCTAAAGCAGCTTGTAGTACCTCTGTACTCCACACTGCCTTTCCTCGGGATATAGCATAACACAGGAGGAATGCTGAGCTTCATCTGAAGGAATATATCTGTTGCCCTTTTTTTCAGAATGTGACCCAGAAAAATGTGAGCCATTGGAGCAGATGCCAAGCTGTCAAGATGATCAAACACTAATTGCTGCTCGGGTGGAGAATACCTGCTGCATTTCCTATATATGTGGTACAGCAGCCTGACTGGTTGAGATTGAGTGTGGTTTTGCATATGCAATTATGTCTGTTATTATCTTGCCAATTAAGATTCCTTGTAGTTTAGGTCTCCCAACTTAGTAAGGCTTGATGCAGTTAAAAAAATGGCATTAATTTTCTAAAATATGCCAACAACATAAAATTAATTAAATTAATTTTCTAAAAGTGCCAACAACCATCAAGAGTCACAGAACAGCTTTGTGCAACTGAGTGGTATTCCTTGGTCAAGTAAAGGAGTTGTGGTGGATGAAGGAATTCAGAGCTTTTCAGATTGTCCATATGCAGTGTGAACTAGATACACAAATATTTTATCTGAAAGAAGACTGAAGTTGTGTAGGCTTTTATTCCCTGTACCTTACTGTCTCAGCTATGGCCCATCTTAATTGATGACAAATATCCCATATTATAGTATTATGCATATTTATTATTATTTATTTATACTTTTGGGGTTTAGCCTTTAATGAATTAATTCAATAATAAAATTGCACTTTTGACATTAGTGTGCAAGCTCTAGTCTTACCATGCAGTTGTTTTCTGCTTGATAATAATCTGATAATGAGGTGCTGTTGAGTTTATTTTATTTTTGAACAGATATCCACATGCAAAAAAAATGAGTGTTAATTGGAAATGTGAATTACAATTCTGTTATTTAGAGTAATCAGATGCTTTGATCATGCTAGCAATGGGCAGCATTTGGCTCTTGTCACTGTGCACAGAGTCCCCTTTTGACTCTTTTTTGATAAAATGAGTGTTTGCAGTGTACATATTGAACAGTTCCTGTTGTGGTTGTCATATGTGTTCAGGTAGGAGGATAGCACTGGGATCATGGGAGGTGCGTTTTATTGAAGGTTGAAGATTCCTGAAAAAAAACAACAGCAGGAGAGAAGACCCAGAAAAATTTTTCATAACATGAGAAGCAGGGAAAATCATGTTTGCTCACAAAAATGTATTAATTTTTTATAGCAGGGAACAAAGGAGAGAGGGGCAAGCTGCACTGAAAATTAGCCTTTTGTAGAGGGTCTATAAGCAGTGAATGCAGAGCACCTCTGCTCTCTTTGATATGACTCTGGGACAAACTTAGAGGAAATTTTCTAGGTGGTAGTAAAATTTCTTCCAATGTTTTAGATTGAAATGATTGTTTTCTCCAGCATGTGGGACTTGCTCGGATCAAATTCCCAAATGTCAAGAAGGAGAAGTTCTCATTGTGGATGGCAACACTACTGACAGGTGTTGTCCTACATACCAGTGCAGTAAGTTTGACCTGATTTTAATATTTTAAATAACAGAACATGGGAAATGTTGTGGTGTGGATGCTCAGTGTCAAAGTGGTGGATTAGAGATGCAGCTTCACTTGCTGTATAAGCAAGTTATCATCTGTAGTCCTGAACAAATAATCTTTACTTTTAAAACTTCATGTGTGTAAAGCGTTTTCTAATATCTGTATCATGAAATATCCAGATTTTAATAATTTTAAATTTCCAAAATTGGAGGCCTGAAACTACAAGTGAGTAGTTCCAGATCTTAAACTGTAGATATTTAAAATTATTTAAATACTGTCTATTCTATTTTGTACTCCATACTGTTATCTATCAATATCTAACAGTCAAATTTTTACTATTAGCCTTGTCAATTAAGATGTTATCCAAATGTGTTTATTGTAAGTCATTTACTGTATCTTGATTAATATTTCCACTCATCTAAAAATGACAACATTGTATTGATTGTTCTTTCTTTCCTTTGATTTCAGTCTGTGAAACACATCGTTGTCCTGAATTCAGATGCATGCTGGGCATGTCTCTGGTGGAGGTTTGGAGCCCGGAGAAGTGCTGCCCCTTCCGCACATGTGGTAAAATCACTGATTTTCACTAAACCTGCCTTAGACAATGAGAGGTGACAGCAGCTTTGGCCCCTTGGTTTCAGCCAGCTACACCATTCTGAGCTGCTCATGAGCAGATGATACAGAAAAGTCATTTCATGCTGCAGAACTTCCTAATCTGCCTGTTTTGCTTTTCTTGCATCCTGTAGAATTTTTCTGTCCAAACTGGGTTATTTACTATCTTGAAAGTGTTGTAAGAGTTACTGTATTGGGTTTGCTGACTTTTATACCTGGAATTTTTATTCTCTCTGTTGCTCTGTTGTAAGCAAATGGCGTATAAATTGCTACCCTACTGTTTCTGATGTTGTATTTTGTTTCAGAATGCGCGTGTGAAACAATCCCCAAACCACAGTGCAAACTGGTATGAAATGTATCTTGTCACTATTCTTTTAATAATTTCTTAATAAATCTCTTTATCAGTATCTGAATAATAGTTTTATCTGTGAAATATGAAATGGCATAGCATCACCTATTTTTTAAATAATTACTTTAGAGTAATTTTTAAACAGTAACAGTTTTAAGAAGCCACCTAAGTCTAAATACCTTGCAAAATAAAATGACTCTACAGACCTGATATTTCCAGAACTTTATTCATTTGATCTGTTACCATATGAATAAAGCTCTGAAATGACTATCAGCCATGATATTTCCAAAGCTTTCTATTACCATGTTCTGCCCCAGTATATTGGTAGAGTAGGACTGCTTTCATGCACACAGAACAGATAAGTCAGGATAAAATTTTGGGTTTAAAGTGTTGAACTAAATGCTTTCAAGCATCACAGTTAATATTACTTGTTATGGTGAATATGTTAACATACATCATAAACTCAGGGTGCTGACTAAACAGAGAGATACTGCTACCCAAATTCTGCAAGAAAGTTGTTTAAAAGAAAAATATCACATAAATAAGAAAACCCACTGTTGCTTCATGTATAATTTTTTTTTCCTGCTTTTATACCCATAGGGGCAGAAACTTCAGATAGATGAACTGTTTCAGAACAGTACAGAAAATGTCTGTAACTGTGTGAAGTACAAATGTGGTAAGTCAGAAAATAATTTAATTCAAAGAATTAGTCTTTCAAGTGCTAAGGGAAATTAGGAATTAAAAATCAGGAATTTACTTTGAACATGGCACTGAAGAGGACAGGATTAATTTACTTAATTCATAAATAGTGTTAATTTTCCTCTGTGTCCTTTGTAATTAGTGGGGATAAATAGACATTTCTCAGGTACATTTCTTATCCTGAAGTAGTTTTACAAAATAAAACAGTTGAAGAAGCCTGCACTGTCACTTGGGTGCAGCTAATAGAATATTATATATTTAGTTTTCGTGCATGGCTATATCTGAGAAGATTGGGTGTCTACAGCAAAAGACTAAATTACTATTAATGGTTTGTTTGAAAATGTGGCCCCTAATTCTAAAAGAGGTAGAGTAGCTTTTTCCATTCCTGTTTTACTGTTTGAAATGTTTTTAGTGGAGTTTTGATGCCAAGCTGATTGTCCTGAGAATGCTGTTTGTGTTTTCTTGCAGTGAGAGACAAAGTTTGCCTGAGTAATGAGAGAGGTGTGCTGCTTCCTGGGCAGAGGATCGTGGAGCACAGTGCAGATGGCATTTGCCATATTTCCTATTGTACAAATGTGGTTGATCCCTCCACTAAATACTACAGAATAAACACATCTTCCATAGACTGCGCTGTCAAGTGCAAAGCTGTAAGGAATTCAGAAAGTTAGACCTGTCTATTGTGTCTGACCTGAATTACTTTGTGATGGGTTTTGTTGAGCAGATGAGACTCGTAGAGCAAATGGGAAAGAGTAATTAGGATATTTCCCTCTAATGATGTGCTACAACAATTCTGATGGAAGTTTGAAAAGTCTCCTTCCCTCCACTGTTTTCTCTGCTGCATAAATCATACACAAATTCAAGTACATAGTGAATGCATCCTTGGGTTAATGGCATGCTGCCTCCTTGTATCCCTGCAGAGCTGCAGCTGCATTATGTGCAAACTGCTACAAATTCCTGGCAAACATTAGCTGAATAAGAATCAGAAAGAGAATAATTATGAATAGAAGAAGAATTCTAAATGCAGTGAAAACAGCTTTATAAAATAAGCAAATGTTATGTTGTCTTTTTATAAAATATAATGCATTACCATGGCAATATTATACAGAATTTTTTTCTGATTTTATAGTTACTTAATGGCTAATGTGTAAAAAGATTTCAGTGGTTCTTGAAGTAAGCTGTTGTATTTGAAAATGGTAGGAAGACCAGCTAATTCTCTCAGATTTGGAACCCCTTCCCTTTTACTTCAATTAAGATTAAATGTATTTTATAAAAGCCTCATGGGTGTGCAATGCCAATGTAAGCTATGTGGTTTTGAAAGTTATTTTAAAAATATCCCTAAAATCAAATACCTGAAAAAAAATCTGCCTGTTACATTAGTAAAACACTGAGCTGCAAGATGATTTCACACAAGGAGTAATCTATTTGATTTTGGCAGAACCAAGTCTATCAGCCTCCAAAAGATTTAACAGCTTGCTGTGGTAGCTGCAAGAACTTGTCTTGTCTCCACACTTTCAGCAATGGCACAGTTACCAGTTTTAAGGTGAGTTTCCATATTTTATTATCTCATAATATTTAAAAGCAAGCAAAAATCACAAAATATTGTACATATCTTGCCATAAAAACTGTGCAGAAAAGAGCTTTATTTGGCCAAATACTAGGAATAGTTTTGCATGTAAACAGTATTAATTTCTTGGAAAGTCAACCATATAACTGTCTACAAAAATTGAAGGATTATGATGTATGTGAGAGAATTACCATCAACTTGACTATTTTAGAACCTGCTAACATTATGTAATTTTTAACTGGGCTTTCAAATGCAGTACTTAAACAGAATATGCATCTAAATTATATTTTGCTGTATTACTGTTGATTCCAGAAAGATCAATGAAAAAAAATTCAATGAAATTTAAAAATTAATACTTAAAATACTGTTTTTGCTGAGTAAAGTTTCTGTTTTAAAATTTTTGACAGCCCGGTGCTGTTTGGATTTCCAACTGCATCAGATATGAATGCACCAACACAGCAATAGGAGCAGTTCTGGTGTCCTCCGCAGTTGGATGCCCACCCTTTAATGAAACTGAATGTGTGAAGGTCAGTGTGCAAGACACTGTTTGCATTCTATCTGTGATTTATGTTTGCATAAAAAGATTTAACTCTGACAAAAGATGCTTTTTCCTCAAGAAGGGAGAAATTATTAATTTTTGTAGTGCCTGTATCTTTTTCCCAGATATTTAAAGGTAAAAGGTATAACCACTCACCAGACTTCTGTGCCACCAGGTGCTGAGTTATGGGGCTGGACACACCTCTTCTGATTCTTAGAATATTTTTTTTTTAAATTGGGATATGTGATATCAAACTAGTCTTCATACAACTGTCTGAGCTTGGATGCTTTTCTGGTCTGGACCTCCCCTTTCTAACATTTTCAATGTATAACAATGTGATTCAGCATAATGATCAAAAACATGGAAAAAAAGGCAAGATTATCTGACAATCAGGACCATCTTTTCTACAGTGGCACATAAAGTTTTATTAACTAATTTTGGAGCAAGAACAAAAGTTCTATTTGAATATGCAAAATGAGATTATACTAAGTGCCAGGGAATGGAGGCAAGGAGAATTCCTTTGCTGCTCTCTGCAGTTCCACATTTACGTGTTGATAGAAAGATCCTCTCCTGGGTGGGTGATGTTACACAAGCAGGGAGCAGTCCTGCAAGAACTGAGGGGCTGTAGTTCTTCCTCACAAATAGCAGTGGGCTGGTTCCTCAGAACTGTCTCAGTTGTGTAGCCAAACCTTCATCCATTCACTAGTGCTGCATTTGCCTGAACAATGATGCAGAGCTTTATCTGAAAGATATTTCTGTTTCTAACAGTGCAAATACCTGGGAATGAATGCCTGAAAAAAATCAAATTTTTCCTCTTTATTTTCTCTCTTGGTCAGGTTGGAGGCTATGTTGTGCCATTCTTAGAAGGCTGCTGCAAAACATGTAAGTGATTATTGACAATTCCTGCCTCACCAGTCTCTGATCTGTTACCTTATGAATAAAGTGGATTATTTCCCATATAAAAACTTGATTCACATCAGAAAGCCTGTGCTTTTCCTAGGTCTACTCATGTAAATAACACAGAAAATAGTGGAGTTAAATCAAAAGAAAACACTTCAATATGGAAACATTTACTCCACTGATAGTGATTGTAGCTGGTCAGTTCCATGAAATTCCTACCTCGACTCTTTTGTAGTTCTTGTGTAAAACTCCTCAAAATTTTAGGTACAGCATTAAGTAAAATAAAAGGTACTGTATTTTAGAAGGCACCTTAAAACAGTGCTTCATCTACATTAATATCTTCATATTTTGTAGAAGTGAAGATTGATTTATGTCATTTGTAAGTTAATTTTGTAACTAATGAATATAGTAATTAATAGACAGTTAAGAAACCTTCAAGGCAGTATCTTTTAAAAGAGTCTACAATTTTAAATTTCCCCTTTTCTTGATTATTTGTGAGAGCTAATAAAGATTGTCTGAGGGGAAAAAAACTGGAATAAAAATTGTCTAGAGAATAAGTTTGAAAAATCTTATGTCTTAATACAAATCAAGAAAATAGAAACTATTTTCTTTCTTAACACATTGGTACACAGCTGAAACATTTTGGTTGATCTCATGAAGGCTTTAGGCTGAAGTTTGATATTATTAGAAGCAACTGAAAAGGAGATTTTTACACTGGGCAGTATAATATTATTTAAAATTGAAAAAAATCTGACTTAATTTGCGTAAGTGGCTGGAAGAGTGACCTGAAAGTGTGGGAGAGAGCTGGAGAAAAGTGCAGATATTTCCTGCTGGGAGGGATGGAGCTTGCACAGCTGTGATACCTGACATGGTACCATGTGCACAGTCACTGCAGTGGGTTATGTGCTGACAGCTGGGAGGTACCTTTTGGTGTTACTGGCTTGGGTTACATTTTGTAGTAAAAAATTTATTGAAACTGTGCAAGACTTGGGTTTTTTCTCCACTCCCACCATAAGGGTATGATAATATCCAAAATTTTTCCCTGTGGTGGACCTGTGTTTCAAACACTTGTCCTACCTAGTTCTGTGGCAAATTCTCCATAGGCACACTGAGATCAGTTTTTGAGTATCAGACATTGCCCTTCAATGCCCTAGCAGCCAAATAAACCAGCTTCTGAACAAATTAGTAAGACAGTTAAACATGCATTGAGCTACTTTTCAACAGGGCAGAACATCTTGCTGCTATGCTTAGAGAAAGATTATAACAATGCTCCTTAACTGTTAAAGACAAAAGTAAATTAACCTGGGGCATGCCTCACAAGGTAAAATTAAACCCTTGAAGAACCCAGTGACTTCTGAGATGCATTTACAAGTACATTCCTAGAGTTTTGATTTCACACTGGTTTGTGCACAACACAGAACCCCTGTAAATCATGTAGTTCATTCTGACTCCAAGCAAGCTGCCATGAGAGCTGTCAGCCAGTTGTAATTGTAGGAGATGTTTTATGAGAAGGATTATCAGTGTTTTGTTTTCTTTTGAAGTACTTTGTCATTAGAAACAATTGTGATTTTCAATTTCAGTTTTAATTGGTCTTGAAAATGAAGAGCCAGGATCTCCATCAAAACCTAGGGAGGAAATTACACTATTTCTCTGTTGTAGCCCCAAAGGACATACTGAACTCAGGATACCAGATTGGCTTGGTTATACCAAGGTAGACCAGATCCTTCCTGGTTTGCACATGGGGTTAACAATGCAAGTAATGCCTGGATGTGGTACTCAGCTGCTGGAACTTCCCTGCCTGGGCAGAGAAGCAGGACCAGGGGTCCTCCAGAGGTCTCTTCCAGCCTCAGCCATTCTGTGATCCTGTAGTATACAAACATTTATAGTTGAATTCTGTTTTCCAAAATCTAGTAACTCCCAAATGTTTTCATACTACCTACAGAAATCCTCTGTAACACGTGCTCTGTTCCATGTGTAATATTCTCACCAGGTTCTTCAGTGTCAGTGCTCCTCCCATTCCCTGTTAGCCCAGTCACTCCTACAGCCTATGTTGGCTGTCACACAGGTACCTTTTCCTGAAATAAGTAGGACCAACCCAAACAGCATCATTGTTGATTTCCAACAATGTACTCCCTGATAGGAGCGCCAGACCTGTCGTTACCCAATTATTGCCAAAGCTGCAGTGTAGCACAACTGCTCATGGTTGTTCAGAGTGGCTCCCATTCTGGTTTGTTTTGTACTTTGCACTGTGTGGGCGGTGCATTGTTGTCAGCCAACAATGTACTGTTGGTAGTAAGCACTCGCATAGTCTTTAGCTTGCTGCATGTGTAAAATTGCTGTGTTTAAAAGGGTAAACTAATTCCATCATGTTTACAGTGCACTTAGAACATAGAGACTAATTGCTTTGCTTGTTAAAGCTTGTTATGTCAGCCACATTTTTGCAGATGATGTGTCATACAGTTTTGCTTCCAGTGCCATGTACCGTAGAAGCAAGTAATTGTTTTCCCACCCATAGTTAGGACAATGTACTGAAAACAGCAAGCCTGTGCTTAGTCCATGAAAATTGGAGATTATCTTTGTTCTTTTTCATAAAGCATGTTAATTCTTTGAATTGTAACATGCTTGTTTTGGCAATTGTTTCATGAAAGCAACCCTCCAAATTTCTGTAAGAGAAATTATGTTGACTGTAATTTTGTACACCACTGAGTGATACATCCTACATTATACTACACCAGCTCTACTAAATCAAAATCGGTATTTCTCTTTCATATTGCTGTCATTTTAAGTGACCACAGTGTTATGAGTCAACCCAAAAACCAAGCAAGGATTTTCAACCATACAGTTTGGTGCAAAAGAATCTCATTATATTATGACATACATAAAATGCTTCCATGTTTTGTAAGGTTCTTCATGTAAATGTTGTAAAGCTCATTAAAAAAGCATTGGATATGAGAATACATGCATGGAAATACATTATATATTTATTTTGTATGAGATACGATGTACTTTCACCATAGCCTGGATGAAGTCATAGTCACAGCTGCACTGAATTCTCCACCCTACACACCATGTATAATGTAAAAGAAGAAAGAACCATGAAAGGAACTGTGAAAAACATGAAATAATGGTGAGTTGGGGTTTTTTAAAAACAATTTATTTTTTACTTTGTTTCTCAATTTACTTTTTCCCTAAGCAAACATAATTCAGTGACAGTCAAGCAGTAGCCAGACATTTGTCTGTAGGTTTCTATTTGTTTCCAAGAAGATTTATTGCTCTCCTTTCTCTCATGTTGTAGGAAACTCTGCTATGTCTAGAAAGGGTACCAGGCTTATATCATTAAAAAAAAAAGGCAAGAAAAGCCCCAAACAAAAAACGTCAAATCTCCAGACAGACATTTAAAATTTGTTTCTCTAAGAAGTGATATTACTAGTTTGACAGTGATTAGAGCAAGGAACTGGACATTGTGCATCAAGATGTAATTAAATTGTGTCACAATTCAATACTGGATATTGTTCAAAGCAACAAATCCTTTATTGCCCATGCTTTTCTGGAGCTAATAGTATTTCCCTTTTGTCAACATCTCTGGATTTCCTGGCTTAAAGAAAATGCAGCTCTGTAAGGGGAGAGTCATTGAGGGCTGCATCATGGTGTGTAAAATCTGGTGTGAAACAGTGGAAACTCCTCTGATGGAATGGGCTGTTCATTCTCTTACAGATCTGCAATGTGATGGGGTTTGTCAGCACAGAGAATCATTCTCAGAAGAGCCTGCTCTTCCTGTTCTCTTGCAACTGAACTTCACACTGAACATCTTTATTTTGCTTCCAATGTTCAGCATTCCCTTGTTTAATTTAATTTAACTCCTCATTTAATTTCATGATCTCTTGTGATCTCTTTTATTTGATGCATGTGCCTTGTACAAGAAAAATTGTGGAAATAATGTTAATGAAAATAAAAGTTTCATTTTTTCACTGGTGTTCTTTTATTTAATAAAAATATACAGAAATGTAAAGCCCCCCGAAGCCCTGTTCTTTATCATGTTCTGTTATGTATTCTGTTACGTATTTATTTTAAATTTTGTTTATACCACTGGAACACAAGTGCTGCTATTAAATTTTGTTGTATTTATTTCATAGAAAATATACTTTAATTTATTAACAAATGTACCATTTGATAATGATACCATTTGGTATCATTAACAAGTTAGAATAATTAACAAGTTTTCTCACAGAGTTTGATCAATTTTACAAAAATTTTTGAAAACAGTAGACTTAGTCATAAAAGCTTCTGAGTGAAGAACACACCTTTTATAGTTGTTACTAAAGATAAAAAGAGATACTTTAATGAATGCAATAATCTTAAAATTGATTCAATGTGTAGCTAATGTTACTTAACCAAAGTTATGTATGTGCAGTGATGTACTGGGTATTTTCTTCTTTGTGTCTCTTGAACCCAGTAAAAGGTCGAGTGTTCTTGTCTCTGAGATGTTAGAAATTTGAGCTGATATTTTTAAATCTGTGCCCATTTTGCAGGTAAGGAAGATGGTAAATTCTGTAAGAAGGTGACTGTTAGGATGACCATCCGCAAGAATGACTGCAGGAGTAACACACCAGTAAGTAGATAGCCATTGTGACTTCTCTCAGCAGAGGAGAAAAATTTTGAGCTATTAAAAAGAAGAAAGAAACGGAACTCAGGTTCCACAAGGCCATTGTCTCCATCTCTGTTGCAGAGGCAGAGGTTTCTGTGTTTCACAGGGCTGTTTTAATGCTTCCCTACATTCTCAGCAGTCATCTTCTCAATAATAAAAAAGGAGACTGTTACTTTTTTTTTGTGTTCATTTAGGTGCATGCTGATTTAATTTTATTTCACCCTGTACTGCAATTATTCTGTGCAAATTAACTATTAAAACTGAACTTTGCCCTGATATTCTACAGCTAAAACAACTGCAGATGTGTGTAATTTTTCATCTGCCCAGGGACGGTGTTTAAATGCCAGCTTCATGAAGAAAGGAATCCTGGGTCCTGAAAGCTTTTTTTAGGCAGCAGCATGAGCACACTGTGAAATGTGAAGGAAGAATGAGGCACTATCTGTGTGTCTATCAAAGGATTTAGTGTTGGAGGACACCAACCATGTCCTGCTGAGCAGTGAGGCTGAGAGCGGCAGCAAGGGTGCAGACAAATGTCTCGTGTGAGATGTGTAAGAGCGCCTGGAAAAGCTGTAATAAAAGAGAGTAGGGAAACAGCTGTAGCCTCTAAAATGACTCCAAGAGTACATTTAGTGTAGAGTAAGCTGTTGAGCAGCCAGGAAATTTATTCTCAGTGTTTCACTGAAAAGAAACACAAATCCTGACTATAAAGTTTAAAAAAAAAAAAATTATCAGATTCTTAATCCTATTTGTCTTACAGTCTGTATTACACATTTGGTATTGTTAGAAGTAATTCCCCTTGGCTTTCTAAAGGATTGGTTCTTTTATTCCTTCTTGCTGATACCCAGTATAGCAACATTGCATATATACCCGGTATAGATACTTTTCAGTGTATCACTGAAATGAATACTGTAGGGAGTTGTGGAAAGAACATTTGGTGCCATGTTCAAGCCAAGGTTGTTATGAACACTTTAAAATTCAAAACTGAAATTGCTTCTTTGTTAAAATAGTGCAAATCTGTTACTGAAATTGACAGAAAAGTCATCATTAACATCAGTAATATTGACATTGAGACCTGTCTGGGCAGCGCACTTCAGAGGTTATTTCCAAATGTAGTGGGATTTCATAAGGGAGTAGAGGAAATACATCCACATTTCTCACTGCTTTGCTATTGGGTTTGGGTGCTTGATGTCTTCATAATCCCTTGAGAACCCCTGACTCTCCTCCCTGCTCCCATTTGTTAATGCCTGCCCGGTGTGTTGCCAGGTGAACATCGTTTCGTGTGATGGGAAGTGCCCCTCTGCCAGCATTTACAACTACAACATCAACACCTACGCCAGGTTCTGCAAGTGCTGCAGGGAGCTGGGGCTGCAGAGGAGGACCGTGCAGTTGTACTGCACCAGCAACTCAACCTGGGTCAGCTACTCCATCCAAGAGCCCACAGATTGCTCTTGCCAATGGTCTTAAAAAAAGAGAAAGCAACAAGCCCAGCTGTTCACAACGTAATTTTATAGTAGTTTATCTATTAAAATATAATTGAATTTCACCAGTATACTGCAAAAGACCACAAATACATTTGGACTTTCCTAAGTTTCTGAAAAAGCGGCTTTGCATCATTTGTATTGTGATATGTCTTCATTTTCACTCACAGGGATTGTTTTAAGGGTTCTTGTGATATGTGCCAACATAAAAGGTGATTTACATTAGTGACATCTAAAGAGAAAGAGCACCATCTGTTTTGTTCTGGAAGGCTGATCCCCTCTTTGTCAAGCCCTCATTCCAGTTTTACATCATTGCCTGACTTACCTGGCAGTAGGTCACTGTTTTGAAAGCATTGTAATTGTGCAAGTATGTTTAGTGTCTATTAAGAAAAAGTCTTTGGACAACATGAGAACAATTTTCAGTTTAAATCATATTCCTGTTGCTAAGTAGAGCATGTATAAGAAATGTAGGATTCAATGTAGGATTCTTTTTTTTTTTTTTTAGTCAGGGAAACATTATTCATACTGATAATTGTATGTAACGTTCCCTGTGAATCATTTCAGTTTTTCTAGTGTGTTTTGTATTGTAGTGAAAAGCATTATGGCAAGCATGTGTTTATGGAACAGATCTGCTGTCTTTAGGCTATCTAGATTAACCTTTAGTCACATTATCTTTCTGCTAAACAATATGGCATAAACTGAAAATACACAGATTTTAAAAAGGAAAACCATTTTATATTCCTTTTTATAGATATAACTTAAATGAAAATTTTCATCTTATGAAATGAACCATACTTAAATTGTCTCTTTAGGAGAATGAACATTGTTTAACACTAATTTTAAAGATGTGAAAGTTCATTAGGAAAAATAAAATGAGGATTATATGTATCTGCCTCAAAGAAAAACAAAACTGAAAATCTTTGTCACCTGTATAGTAGATGCAACTTCTTAAGGTAAGTGCTTGAAATTCAAAATGTACAATTGTAAGGTTTGAAATTTCAAAAACAATTTTTTTATGAACTTGAAAAATTAAATTTTTTATAATGAACTGATTTTTTTTTCTTCTCTAAGCTGATCTTACTATTCTGTTCTTCTTTAACAAATGCCACTGAGATTAAGCAAAAATTCAGTAGCTTGTGCTTTGTAGATTAAAATTGTAGATAGCATGCAGTGATACACTTGAGGTCTATAAGAGTAAACAGATCTCAGCACCCCTCTTTGGAAGCTGCTTGTCTGCAGTAAATCCAAAGAAAAATGCATTGTTAAAATCAATCATGTAAACATTTTTGATATTAATTTTGTATACTGTACATTTCATTCTTACAATATCTAATAAACAACAGGAAGTCTTATTTTGTTACAATTAATTTTGCTATCATTGCTAGAGCATCTTACTGCCATGTGATGAAACACGCTATACTTACTAATATTTTTCTTGAGTGGTGCACATGGGTAATTTTACGGTTTACTGATATCATAAGTAGTACATCAAAGAGGAAGACTTGCTCATGGATTTTAAAAAATCTGCATATTTTTCTGATTTCATCACAGTTCACTTTCAGCCTCAGAAATACAAAATTCATCTGTGTCAGTTTGTTCAAACAACAAAATTTCAAAATTGGAAAACACTTCTTCATCAAACTGTAGCAACACTACTTTGACACTGTCAGACTGTTTGTCCTGGAAAAACAGGGGGAAAAGAACGTGAATTTCTGCACATCCCTTTCCATATTTTTTTCTAAATTAACCTTCAATTTGACTGCACTGTGTGGACTGTGTTTTGAGTAATTGTTGTGTAGTGGTCATCATAGCTAGGGCCAAATGTGTCTTTAAACTCTACCTGCTGTTTGTGCAGCCCCTGCTCACTTTGCAGATGATGTTCCTTTTTCAAAGCTGTCTTCTAAATAACCAGAAGTGGCAGAATTTGGGAGGAGTCCATCCTTTGGAAATCCAGGGGGGAAAAAATGCTGTTTATAAGGCATTGAGCAAAGTTGAATTCTTGACGCCCCGTGCTTAAAATTTATGCTTTGACATTTTCCAAGGAGAAGTTCAACGTTCCTTAGTTTACCAGCTGGCAGATGCCATCCTAGAGGGCTGGAATTAAGAGACATTTCTTTTGCTCTCAGCTGAGATGATAGTTGTGTGAAGTGCCAGATACCACCATGAGGGACGGAACTAGAGCAGGAATTAAGCCAACCAACATTTTTCCCTCTGCTGCAGTGTGGTCCTTCCTCTTTCCACTTGAGCAGAGCTGATTGTGTCTATCAGCTCAAGGCAGTAACTCTGAGAAGTATTTCAGATCCAAACTTTCAGCTCTTTATTGAAAAGATAGTGCAGGCAGAGAGCAGAAAGTTGACAGTAGTGTGTCTGGTAACCATAACCAAACAGTACTGCTGCTGCTACTTCAGCAGTAAAATAATAAACATTGTGCTAAGTCCCTGCTTCTGCTTTTGTAGACTTTAGGCTTATGCTGGGAGAAGCAAGGGGAAAGATTCAAACTGCTTCTGATGTAGCATGCAAAGCTACTTTAATCCTGCCTCCGTGTTAAATTCCTTCGCATGTCCTCAGCCTATCTGTGTTTGTTCAAAGCCATCCAGGCCTTCACCTTGTATTTACCTTACACTGTATTTGCACAAAGCAGCTCAGCTGGAAAAAGTACTTCCACATTTGTACTTCCACATTTTTGGAAGCCAAAGGGACCTCCATGTGGGTTTCATCTGGCCCTTCCATGCTGGAAGTACTTGGGCTGTAACTATGACTGAGTCCTCAACCAATTTTATTTTCTTTTCATTAAATCCTTTGCTTGAAACTGACCTGCTTGAAACTGAGGCTTCTTAACATTTCTTTGAAAGTCTCAGAACTTTATCCCACTCCAATAACCCTGGTCTCCTCACATGTGTGGAGTTTCTTCACAAAACTGATTCCTAATGTTGGGAGGGAAATATCACAGGTTTATGTTTCATTACCTTCCTAATGCTAGCTGGTTTTCAGTCTTTGAATAAAATGTGTTGTATTTGAGTATGGAAACATTGGTTGGTTGTACAGTGCCGATTGCCCATTTTCATCTCGTTTAAAAAACATTTCTTTTGCATTAGCTCAAGCAAGCTTACCCAGCCTTGATTCACAGGAAAAGATGAGATTTGGCAGCTGTACTCTTGAATATTATGGATGCTGGCCCTTGAGAAAGACCTTTAAGAAGAAATACAGTGATATCAATTGTGTTTTCTAAATGCTCACTCTCTGGGGTTATTAGTACATGATCTGGACTCAGGATAATGGCTTCTTGAGTAATGCTTCCTCTAATTAGTGATAGGGCTGCCTGGTGGTTTGGTAAATTAATCTGAGATATTGGCATTTGCTGGGCTGCAGTTTAATGTGAACTATTAGTCACAAGTTAAATAACTTACACCCCCTCAGACAGCTTTCAAGTATGCAGCCCATGAAGTCAGACCAAAATCATTCAAAAAATTTTTGCCCTCACTCTTATCTCTGCCCACACCACCATCTCTCTCCCCTTTACAAGTGGCTGGCTATGAATAATTAAAACGAGGTAACAGCTGCTATGCAGATGGTGATTTTTTGGAAAAATCCCCTCTCAGTGTGATGAAGACATCTAACCTCTTCAGAAATAGTACCTGACAGACTGCCATCCCCCTCAGATCTGCTTTCTGCATGGACTTCTGACCAAGGCTTTGATCATGTCACTTCCCATCAGCTGTTTATAACACAGATATCTGAATTAACTCAGGTGTCCTGGCTTCATCCATCACCAAAGAGAGCTGCATCCAGAGAGTGACTCAACCCATCCTAATATAAGTATCTAAGATTGATATGGTGATTTATGTGCCATCTTTCCTTTTCACTGTGGAGAGAACCCAGATGGAAAAATATGGTTAGGTAATTTGCTTTTGGACTATTAAAATTAGTTGGAATTAAATTCATGTTTAATGGTTAAAGATATCTCAACAGATGTCTCAAAAGATATCTCAAAAATCAGCTACTCTGATAGTGATTATGGCATATCTTATCTGACAACCTCATATGAGGTGATTAATGGTAATATTTGATTTGCATGAAGTTGAGTTGAGTGTCCTCTATCTTGTTTGGTGTTTCCTGTATGTTTCCAAGAATTCTTACTTTGCATAACAGCTATAAAACTATCCTGTATTTCTAGAGCGGAAGGCAGACATCGTCATCAGCCAAACCTCCAAGATGGAAAAGCACAGCTGAATTTGCAAAGTTGTCATGTGTTTATTTCCATGACAATGTCTTCTATTGGCTGGAAAAGATACATAAGGTAAATGAATTTCAATATTTTTTTTGTTTTGTGGACTTTTCATTGCACCAGTACTGGCTTGAGATCTGCAGGTGATTTGTGATCTTGCTTTCCAAGCTTTTGGTTTCCAAGATATTTAAGGTAATGTGATTCTTCAGAAAATAGTGAAACCCCTCTAGGAAATATAAACAAGTGCTTATTATATTCACTTAAGACAACTTTGAATGAAAAAAAAAAAAAACCAACGAAAACCAACAACAAAAAAACCCACCATGTTTGGTTAAAATCCCTAAAATGCTACAAATGGTTTTCTGGTAACTTCCTTATTTTCAAATATTTAGTTGAAATACCAATATTTTAGATCCTGACTCTCATCCTTTTCATTTCTGCTCTGGAAAAGGAGTAGAAAGGAGATGAGAGATCATGTTTTTCCTGAAAACGTTTAAGAGCTTTTCAGATTGGACTGGCAAGCCCAATTATCACCAAGTTGTTGCTCAGGGGACAAGGGGAGTCAGTACCTAAGGGAGCCTCTTGGGATTTTTAGTATTAGAGGTGGGAAAAAAGTCCCTCCCTTGACAATGAAGGAAAACTGACTTGTTCTGTGATTACTGATGGCAATGGGCTTGAGTGCAGCTCTTGTGCAGGATTACTGGAGGTAATAGAAATTTCTCTCCTATCTTATTCATATGTCATAAGGCTAAAGGAGAAGTGTGGGGCCTCCAGGTAGCTCTAATAATGAGAGTCTTGTCATTACCTGTAATTGACATGAAATGAAAGTTAATATAACCTAGTGCCCTATAAATGCTGTATTTAAGCTGATCTCTGGAAGGAAATTCACAGCATTTGCACATTTTTTTGTTGGCTCCAAGACTGGAACACAGGGGGAAGGGAAGGTATCATTTTTAGGCTTTAGATTTGGCCATATTGTAGCACTTCCAAATCTTCTGTCAACACTGGCGTGATGTTGCATTCATTAAAAAATGCATGACCTTTTAAAATATCCATCTGTTATATAAATAAAAATAATGCAGCCTTATATTTTTAAGGTATGCTAATCCTGCATGGCCATGGTCTAATTATCAAATGATTTCATGCTACCCTGGTGGCAGGCAACATCCAGACCACTGAACACTTGCTATGGATCTCTCATTAAATCCCTCTTGCACAGTTTCATTCATAAATTTACCATGGCTTTTAAAACAAAATAGTTTGATGCTTATACAGCAATATCAAGTAAGAGCAGTGTGTTTCCAGAATGCAGCAACATTTTTCAGATGCTGCACTTCATGCATGACTGAGTAATGGGTGGCAAACTCTGTTATTGCTGCCTTTTACCTTGAGTGGAAACCTTGCTGCTGGTGGGGAGAGCGTGGTGGTTGTGCCCAAAGATGAGATGTCCTGGATGTCACCTTTGTGGAGCTTGGATATTCTGCTCTCTGCACCAAGCTTCATTTTGGCCATAGGTGCCCCAAGCTGGGTATCAGCACTCCTGACCCACACCCTGCTCCTTTCTGGCTACCTTGGAGCTAGCACAGAGGTGCTGGGGTGCTCATGGCTCTTGCCTTCTCTGATGTTCCTCCAGCACTATCCTGTGCCTGCTCCCAAGTGCTTTAGAGCTTTGGAAACGTGTCACGTTAACCTTGGAGAGCCAAAATGCAAAGAAAATTGTGGGTTTGTTGGTTATGTTGTTAATTTAACTTTGGAAAGGCTTGGAAATTACTTGGTGGAAATGGGTACTGAAAATGTTTGCTTATTTCCTTATTTGCCTTATTAAGGCAAATTTTAATTTTTGAATTCAGTGCAAATGGCTTATTCCCAAGTGGCCACACGATTAACTCCATTAACAGTGGAATTATTAGAAACACAATTAAAGTGCTTGTGCGGATTTACCTTAGACTGCAATTTACCCTAAATGATTTCATGCCATCTGTGCCAACTTAGTGCCATCTGCTCTTTTTGCAGCCTAACAAGAAATCTTCCTTCTGTGTTGTGGCTTGAAGTACTCTGGTAGTATCACTTTCCCC